TCCATCGGTACGTCTTTGTTGGTTTTGGTCGTCGGCTGGATCTTGATCGCTTGGATCGGTGGTTTCTTCCATCACTTGAAGCTCGCTACCCCAGAGCACTCTTCCGTCAACTTGCTCCATTACGCTCTTATCCTCTTGATTGTCGGTGTTCCCGTCGGTCTTCCAGTCGTCACCACCACCACTCTTGCTGTCGGTGCCGCTTACCTTGCTGAGGAGAAGGCTATTGTTCAAAAGCTTACCGCCATTGAGTCCCTTGCTGGTGTCGACGTTCTCTGCTCTGACAAGACTGGTACTCTCACTGCCAACCAATTGTCAATCCGTGAACCTTTCGTCGCTGAGGGTGTCGATGTTAACTGGATGATGGCTGTCGCTGCTCTTGCTTCTTCCCACAACGTCAAGTCTTTGGACCCTATCGATAAAGTTACCATTCTCACCTTGAAGCGTTACCCAGCTGCCCGTAAGATCCTCGAACAAGGATGGAGAACTGAGAACTTCGCTCCTTTCGACCCTGTCTCCAAGCGTATTACTGCTATCGTCGTCAAGGATGGTGTTACCTGGACTTGTGCCAAGGGTGCTCCAAGTGCCATCTTGAGAATGTCTGAATGTTCCGCTGAGGTTGCCGCTATGTACAAGGCTAAGACTTTGGAATTCGCTCGTCGTGGTTTCCGTTCTCTCGGTGTTGCTGTTAAGGAAGGTAACGGACCATGGCAATTGCTTGGTATGCTTCCTATGTTCGACCCTCCCCGTGAGGATACTGCTGCCACCATTGCCGAAGCTCAAGTTCTTGGTCTCTCCGTTAAGATGTTGACTGGTGACGCTATCGCTATTGCCAAGGAAACTTGCAAGATGTTGGCTCTCGGTACCAAGGTATACAACTCTGACAAACTCATCCACGGTGGTCTTACTGGTACTACTCAACACGATTTGGTCGAGCGCGCCGATGGTTTCGCTGAAGTTTTCCCTGAGCACAAGTACCAAGTCGTCGAGATGTTGCAACAACGTGGACATTTGACTGCTATGACTGGTGACGGTGTTAACGACGCTCCTTCCCTCAAGAAATCTGACTGTGGTATTGCTGTCGAGGGTGCTACTGAAGCCGCTCAAGCCGCCGCTGATATCGTTTTCCTCGCCCCTGGTCTTAACACTATCGTCTCTGCCATCAAGATCGCCCGTCAAATTTTCCAACGTATGAAGGCTTATATCCAATACCGTATCGCTCTCTGTCTCCATTTGGAAATCTACTTGGTCACCTCCATGGTTATCATCAACGAGACCATCCGTGTCGAGCTTATCGTTTTCCTCGCTCTTTTCGCTGATTTGGCTACCATCGCTGTCGCTTACGACAATGCTCACTTCGAACAACGCCCAGTCGAATGGCAATTGCCAAAGATCTGGATTATCTCTGTCATCCTCGGTATTCTACTTGCTCTCGGTACCTGGATCATGCGTGGTGCTCTCTTCGTACCAAACGGTGGTTTCATCGAGAACTTTGGATCTATCCAAGGTATGCTCTTCTTGGAAGTCTCCCTCACTGAGAACTGGCTCATCTTCGTCACCCGTGGTGGTAACACCTGGCCATCATGGCAATTGGTTATCGCTATCTTCCTTGTCGATGTCATTGCCACTCTCTTCTGTGTCTTCGGTTGGTTGTGTGGCGGAGCTGGTGAGCCATCTGATCCAGCTACCCAGAACGTTCTCCTTTCCCAGAACGGTCACACTTCTATCGTCACTGTTGTCATTGTTTGGGGTTACTCTATCGGTGTCACCATCATCACTGCCATTGTCTACTACTTGTTGAACCAATGGTCTTGGTTGGACAACCTTGGGCGTGCCAGACGCAGTCACGCTGATACCCAAATGGAGAACATCATCGCCCATCTCTCCAAGGTTGCTCTTGAACATTCCCAAGTTGACGGTGTTCACCGTTACCACATTGTTCAAAAGCAAGCTGAGGTTGAGGATGACGATTAGATTATCTCATTCCTAATTTGAGCATCTCTCTTGCATAGACAAGATAGATGGAAAAGTAAAAAAATATTTAAAAGTCACAAAAAATCTGGAAATTTCACATGGAGAATATGGAGAAAGACAGGCGTTCCTAATATCCCCTCGTCATCCTCAATTCGGCATTTGTCATTGTGGTTGCGAAACAACTTGTCAACATAGTTTGCCAGTACAGGGCTACAAACGTTTCGACTTCCCATTGACTTGTCGACTTACACCTTTAATTGTCGCCTCACCTTAATCCATACTATTTACACCTTATAGACCTTTATTACGAGATGCGAGATTTTCAATTATGTTTTATGTTTTATGTTTGAATAGTACCTATAGATGGGTAAATGGGTTGGGATATTCCAGGGATGTGTTTATGTCACAGGAGCAGAAGAGGATGATTAGATGTATATACTGAGAAATGGAACGACTTCATTACAATAACTTGATTTGTGAATTGTGACTGTGAATAAAGTTGTGCCACATTTATCTGTTTCTTGATTGCTTTGACCTTGAGTTGGATGCGAAACCTATCTGCCGCTTTCCATTATCCTTTTTCTCCTTTACAATTCTGAGGCCCCATCCATTTCATTCTCTATTACTCTACGTTTCATTTCCGTACCCTTCTAGGCTCTCTCTTTGATACAGATCTTCACTCTTTTCTCTGTTAACCTTCCAAGGTATGTCAAAGTCACACAGTTAAGCGCCTTTTGCTGCCCATTCATTAGCCAATAGTTCGTACAGCCAACCCCAAATCAACATAGATTTATTTCATTCTATTATAATTGTTATTGTTCTTGTTATTATTATTATTATTATTATTATTATTATTATTTTAATTATTATCATTTTTGAAATCTTTTTACCTTGTAGTCTGCCGTACAAGCTCCAATACAAAAAAAGATAATCCAATCTCCACAATTTGAAATTTCCTCACGGATTTGGTGCCTGGTTTATCCCATCTTGAACTTAGTAGACAGGTTGAGACCCGCTGGTTCGCGGACGCTTGAATGGGAGATGGGTGGTTAAGGCAGGTACAAAATTACTTGCTGTATGTGTGGATAATTTAATAGCAGAGGACCTGGCCATTCGCAGGAACGGGTATGAATTTTGGCAGGTAATTGTTACGATATCACCCGGGAAACGAGATGGATGCTACGATGACCAGGGGAGGACCTGGATAGACAGGGAATTCTCCCTGCTGGGCTAGCGATATGGAGGAATCCATCGTGATTGTAGGCAAGAGTGTATCCATAGCGTGCCTTGAAAATTGGAGCGATTGTACGGAATTACCAGCGTGAACTTTGAAGGAGGGAAAGGAATGGTCCACAGCGGAGATGGGTGCGTTTTCTGGATAGGTGGCTTGCTCGTTTTGCCTTCTTTGCTACTGCTGGTAGAGAAGCTCGAGGTTAATGCGCGTAGCTATGGTGGGGCAGTGATTGTTTGCTTCCGTGCGACTGTTTGGGGAAAAGAGCTTGTGTTCATTGCTGTAGTTGGTGTTCATCGAGATGATGTCTTCCTCTGCCTGTGATGGGTGGAAGATCTTCGGAGAATTTTTGTAAATACGATGCCAATGCGCAACATGCTTAATCATGCCTGACTGGGTATTTGCTCTCGCTCGATGCTACGACAGCGACAGCGACAGCGACAGCGAGTACGGGTGCGAGTGCGAGCGGTGAACGGTTACGATGGCACGGTGAATATTTGTTTCTGCCATTGCCACACGTTTCCGGTCCCCATAGTCATCCACCGCTCCTGAATTCAAATTTCGAACTCCATCGAAGAACGTGCTCCACCGCACCAATGAATGCAATCGGCCCGCGCCCGCTATTCTCATGCTCCACGCCGAGGAAGTTGAGAGATTTTCCTTTTGATGTTCCGTCCACATCTCGATTCCCCCCATCCGCATTTTGTATTTCCTCGGTCGGGGTCTCCACTCACCACTCCGTACTAGAAGATAATTTGGAAGAAGTTGGAAATGTGGAGGATGGAGAATGGAGGAATCTGGGCACGGGGAAACTTTCGTGGCAGCGTTGATAGAGTGCGTGGAGCCCGAACCTAACCGCAAGCTGTGGCATTATTGAGAGACCATATCCGCACTTCTCCCAATGGGCGGATCTCAATACCGATGCGGGATAAGTATAAGGTTAATATGTCTTACTTTGCTGCTATCGATATTGATAGGGACGGTGAGTATCGATATGCGATGGATAGGGGAAATTAGATGACGATGCATTCGTTGTCGATTGTGAGGGAACAAGGGGAAGGAGGTTGGGGAATTATCTTGGCATTTTGGGGGCCATTTCCCGCAGTATATGTCGTGGCATCAAAGTCTCACCGTCTCGCGATATGTGTGCATTGACATGAAAAATTACTCCTTTTCAATTATGCTACGTCGGTTATGAAAATGGATTAATGAATGAACAAGTCATCACAAATGTACAGGCAATTAATGGAAACGACCGAAGTTCACAATTGCCAAGTCAAGGGTCAACTCTTGGAGATGCGGAAAAAGTCTTAACGCTCATGAAATGTCAATTCAGGGACGGATCAACTTGAGTATGGAAGATTCTGCTTTGGTGAATTTGCGAGGGCCGAGTCGCATGAAAGGATAAACGATTGAGTGCTCGGCCGCCAAGGAGACAATCATTCAATGCTACCAAGACCCCAAAACTCTTGGAGACAGCGATCACAAGTGATAGATTGAGGTTCCGGGCAACGATTTTCTCATCGCTGTATCACATCAAAGGTACCTGCGAATTACCGTGTGGTAAAGCTACTTGGCGGTACGTTGATTAGATGGGAAAATATGTATCTAATATCGAGAAATGTCGCCCTTCGGATTCTTGGCTTCAAGAATCCGTTGAGCTGAGTCAATAAACGACTTTGGCTTTGTATTGTACTTGGCGAGCGACTTCATAGATGAAGTGCAGAACACGGAGCGTAAGCTTCATCTTTTTTCAGCTGCTGGCTTGAAGTGGGTGACCAAGGGTATTACGACTTATTAATTCCACGATCTAGAATTCATCATGTTTTGTCTCATTGAGAATCTGTCTGGGCTTGTGTCTATCTGGCCAAGGCTTGGTATTTGATCACAGGTATGTAGGACTACAAAACTGGAGCGAATGTTACACTGAGAATCAAGCCGGTACAATATTCGCATACCTTGAGTGAAAGCTGAACAGTCGTTGGGAGGATGCATCAGGAAACTTTCCATTGCATTGCTACTTTCGAGCTTTACGGGTACCGTAACAATGCCAGTTTGAATAAATGAAGCAGTGGGCGAAAAGGTAAGTGACACAGTGGTTGCTGTACTCCGATTCTCTCAGCTTCGACGAAAATATTGCAAGTGTGATGTTTTCGGCCAAGGTTAGGTTTTCATACCTGCAGATGATTTGTCAATATTTCTTTCTACTGTGGACAATGACCATAAATGGTCCAGGTGGAATCGGATAATCCATCATCAATGTCCTGATTCAATATGGAATATTAGGCGGTATGCTATGGCTTATGTGCCAGGCGTCATTCTCAGTCATGGTGCTCGTCTCTTGAAGTATTTCCTATCAGGTGAGAGAGAAGAGTTTAGTGCTTTTGTCGGCTCGTGGGAAGCGGATGCATTCGATGCCATGAGATTCCTACAAAACATCATGCCTGGACTGCTCAGATGGAAGTTTTCTCAACACGCTACACTCATTCAAGAGATGAACCAAGTTTACTCTTCCAATGGCTAATCGAAGTAAATATCAGGAGAAAATTATCCGGTGTGCATTGATTCCCTCCTAGAATCAAGTACTCGGCATCCGCGTTCTGAGAAGATCATTTCCTTCTAGTTTTTAATACAAAAATGGAGAGATATCGTAATGCGATGTAAGGAAACGTGTAAAACGAATGGGAAAGCTTCCAGATACATACCAATAGGTATCGTTCAGTCGTGATCAGGAATACAAATACATGCTCTAGCTTCATTGGACGCACGTTGTCATAGATTCAAATGGTTCAGTTCAATCTTCCCATCTCCACGACTGTGAATGACAACTCACGTGAATCCAAGTGCGCTCTGGGAAGTAGCACTCTAATATTCTTGGGATGAAATAATGTCAGTACAGATATAAACAAGCTGATCAGGCGATATACGAGTCATATATCGAATAGTATGAAAGATGATACCAAAGTCCTTACACTTCCGGCGTTTGATGAAGAGTTACCGCCCCGTTGCGCTTGTATGATAGTGCGTACGCCTAGTGGGATTGAATCCACGAAAACAGTGGGAACTTGTAGTGCAGCAACAGCCAGAGCATAGGATGATAAACTCATGGAAAGTACCGTGTTATATGAAAAAGACTGTCTCTAGACCTTCTCGCCCCAATTAACTGCATCTCCAACGATTTTCCATTTCACTACATTCACTCCCATCCACTCTACCGCATTATATGCTACGCGAGTGACGTTTCCACATTGTTCCTGATCAAAGCCCATTTCTCTCAAACTCTTCAGTTGATTTATTATCGGTAACTTCATCACTGGTTGTTAACAAGCAATAGCTATATAAGTAAGCATCTTCATTTCTACCCAACCCAAGACATCATCATCGGGATAGAGAATCCCAGAAGCGGCCTCCAGAGTCAACTACCACCAATCCCCGTCTCAGTTGACCATCACGCGAAACACTCACTGGGATATACTACTTCAGGGAAGGAATCACTATTTCCACTAATAGGGAACCTATAGCACGGAGATTCCCTATGGCTGGTGGGCCAAAGATGACAATGGCAAAATTTGATATGGATACATATCCTGATGGAATCATCGCGATATATCCCGATTGTGTCATTGCATCAAGACTGAGACTGACACGCAGAAGCCCACTTTGGGAATTAGAACACCAATTTCGACACAATGCATAAGCGAAATCCGCGGAAACGATAGTGCACGAATCACAATTCGAATGTCAGTTTGAGAAAGAAACTTCGTGATATACTTACTTACTCATAAAGAGCCACCAAATTACAGGGGTAATCCAACAGAATCAAAGCCGAAAACTATACAGGGGATATAGCACTATGAACGAACAGCAAAAAACGCGCAAGAAAAAGGCACGTGGAACGTATATGTTCAATAATAGAATAACAGCATCCCAGGCCAGGAGTGCGATAGAAAAGCAGGTGAAGATTAGCATGACAAGTAGCGAAGAAATCATCGCGAGGAGTCCTTGCTGATACTATGGGCACCTACTGTTGAGTCTACCTAGGTACGTTCTTATTGGGATCGAGGAAGTAAATTCGTGTTTGTTGGAGATACTGCAAAATCGAGTGGGAGAAGATCGTTCTGTTGAGGAAACTTTGGGGGAAGGGAGTATATGGAAGGAAGCACATATTTTCCTTTTTACTCTTTGGATTTGGAGTAGAAATGCTCAGTGCGACGCCCCAAGTAAGTGTCGAGCGACTACAGATAATTTGGGATTCAGTTGGATAGTCGTAGGGTCAGATACACATCATCACCCCTCGCACCGGGCTTGAAGAGTGATGCTTAAAGGCACAGCAATAACCACCCAACAAAACATAATTATATATCGAGGAAGGAAAAAATCTACATATTCACGACTAAATAGTCCGCGTACCAAACAATCCACCCTAGAAGAAACAAACATTGAAATCAAATATTCATTACAACCTCAACTAATCTATCCTAAGCTATTCTATGCCATCGTATTTCCCTGCATACATGCAATTTAGCATACCACCCATCAAGCTATCCATCTACAACATATGATATTTTTTGTACCCAGCCAATCCATCCATCATAAGTATTTACTTTTATTTTAGCTCAAGAATTCCCCATCATCATCGTTCAAGTCATGATTTCGTGATGCAGATCACTCGCATTCATTCCTCCAAATTGGAACGAATAAACTGCGGTGTCTGAAACCATTTGATGCCATCCCATACCATGTAATAAAATCTTGTCTGCGCACCAGCCAGACAGGCAAATTATACATCGATTTACCTCAACATATCATCGTAGCATCATACGAGTCCCCAGTTACCCAAAAAACCATCTATCCATCACAATGTTATCTCACACATTACCTCGAATCATCAATCAAGCCCCCTGGGCCAGTTCTTGCAACTTAACCTTCTCCTCATTCGATAATGCCTCGTAGAACTCATTAAAGCCTCCTACATTTTCTCTTCCAGCCTTAACAAAGAATTCGGTCAAGTAAGCTTGAGTCTCATCATCTCTGTTTCTTCCGAAACCCCCTCTTCCCTCTCCAAATGCCATAAGATCCGCTTTTGTACTCGACAAGCCTAGATCAAGTACACTTGGAAGATCTTCCCATGAGTCATCATCTCCATCTTCGTCAGCGAATTCTGCGGCTGCTGCTGCCGTTGCCGCATTTTGAAGTCCCGATGCTGAAATAAGTTCTTCAATGAGGACTTTGATGATTTTCAACGATGCAGGAATGATTGTGTATTGATCGGGGTCTGATTGTCGTGTTAGTTGTGGTGGGGGGGGTGAAGTATGATCCGTCCTTACTGAGTTTGGCCTTAGATCGAGTCATGATCCGATTACTGGTTGGAATGACTAAATCACCCTTGACCATGGTTTGACCAACACGTGGATCATTGAGACTGAAGATTTTGGAGAGTGCGATGACACTATCTATGATTAGCCTCGGACGATCGAATTTACGAGTAGAATTGGAAAGAGAAACATACTTTTGTCTAATCTCATCATATCCTGCAAACATAACCGAATGCTCCAACCATTTGCTTAAAACAACTTGTAAACCACTTTGGCCATTGATTTCAATTTGGTTCAAGAATTCAACAACATCATGTGCTCCAACCAAAGATAAGCGAGCAAAAACCAAAATCAAAGATTGGATGAAAGGAGCAGCTTCTGCTGTCGCAAGACGTGTAGCAACAGCTCTCAAGAGTTGTGGCAAATATGGACCAAGACGTTCTTGACCAGCTTTCTCAACAAGTTCAGCTGCAAGACCTCCAACTTCTGATGCTGCATTATCTTCCACTTCAGGACCAAGTAATCTATCAATAATGATGAGACAAACTTCCAAACCTGATTTATTGCTCTCATCATGCCAAGCAAAGACTTGTTGATGATCATGCATAAGCATATACTTGATTGCCTCAGCACCTGGTCGTAGAATACCACCTTCAGTTGTGGTCATCAAAAGTCGATTCAACTTGGGTAATACGGCAGCGACATATCCAGCTGGAAGTGGCTCCGATCCATTCTGGGTAAGAATAGTAAGTAAGTCTGCGGCAAGCTAGAAGAAAATATCAGTATTTAGCATCAAAATATCGAGAGCACCAGAAAATTTTACCTCTACCAAAGGATCATCATCAGTTATAGATCCCACATCAAATGCACCGATCAATGAAGGCAATACTTTAGTACATAAAGCTGTGTAGCCCGGTCCGCCAGTAAATGACTCAACAATTTCTTCGAATGATTCAGTGACCAACATGGTCAATTGAAAGTTCGAGGCACCATGTTTTGCAAGAACAAACAATAAATCCAAAGCTCCACCTTCATCTGCAAGTGTCACTCTTGTATCCATTTGAATGGCAGATCTCAAAGATTCCACCAAGGTAACAAGAAGATCATCGGCAGATTCGAGTTCTGTAAGATCCTTGGAGTGAAGGAATTCGGATATGGAAGCAATGATCGGAAGTTGTCGATCAGCAGGTACATTGTGAGCTAGAATGTATCCTTGAATAGATTTTATGCAAGAAACCTTAACAACTTCGGCCTCATCCAAGTTGACACCTCTGACTGTGCGATCAAGTAATCCAAGAGAAACCTGAGGTAGACTTTGTGCAAGATTACCAGCCACCAAGTATCCTCTGGCACGCAATAATGGCTCTTCTTCTCTGTTGATAGAATAATCGATGAAAGGTAAGAAAGCTTGGGAAACCTCAGGGCGAATCTCCTTGTCGCAATCCAAGAAATCGTTTGTGAGTTGAGTGAGAAGGAACAAAACTGCCTCTCTCATTCTCCATGAAGCGGCGTCCGAGGAAAAGATCATTTGGGTATAGGCCAATAAACCTTCCAAAGCACCATGAGACAACCACTCACCAAGTTTGATAAGGAGGTCTCCACAAGACATTCTGAGAGTGTATTGTGTGGTAACTGATGATTCCTCTGCCAAGAATAAATTGACATCAATATCCCATAATTCTTCCTCTTCCTTGAGAATTTGTGCATAGTTAACAGCAAGCTTCATAACATCAACAACCCAAGGGGTCATAGCTGCACCAGCATTTGCTTGTAATTGAGTTTCGAGTTCTTTTTGTACTGGTGGAGCTTTCAAGCATGATTGTAAAAAGTCGAGTTCCTCCAATACCAAGAAATCTAAAGTATATGGCAAATTATCCGCATCCTCCATGCGACCTGGCATATCATTATCGACATACATCTCTTGAAATATAGGTTGTGCAGTTGACAATTCTGCCCAGGTGGCGCTGAACAAAACTGGACTTTGTGGAAGTAATAATGTTGGGAAAACCGATTTGATCTTCATCAAGGTCTTAACAACTTGTAACTTTAATGCAATAACTCCACGCCATTGTTGATCGACTGGTCCATCCTCTTCTGATTCGTTTGGTGGTGGAGGTAAAGGTTGCTTCATAATAGCCACAAGGAATGGGGTCCAGTCCTTTAGGACTTCCTCTGCAAATGCTTTAACTTCCGTTCCATGTTCGTCCTTGACCATTTCCATAATATCGAAAGTTCCGCGGAAAACAGATACTGATAATGCGCGCAATTTTCCTAGACGTGCTTCATTGACTGCTACACCATAGACAGTATTGACGATATCTCGTGCGACGGAAAAGAATTGGTCTTCACTCAAACTTTCCTCAACAACATCTGCTAATACCTTCAATGATCCGTGTAATTGTAAATCTGTGCCGGTTTGAATGATGTGTAGGATAGTTGGAAGGAGATCTGGCCATTGATCTGGATAATCGACATTTGCAATTTTGCTAACTACCATACTATTCAACAAATTGTAGATTAGCATATGCGCCTTTTCATGAGATCAAAATGCCCCTCCATGAGCATATTCAAGACCGAGAAATTGTAAGGAAAAGAGTTTCCACAAACCTAGCTGCACCCTTAATCTTCCTTGAATCTACATCACTTGTAGCAATACCCAACATTCGTGCTCGAATCTCTGCCTTTGCGCCCTCCTCAATCTGAATGGTAGGATTGCCATTATCATCATGTCCAGTCCAATTCTTGCTAGTAAAGTTCTTTAAATTTAATAAAGCAGCTTGTCGAAGCTCTGATGGGACGTTAGAATGAGAAGCAATTGATGCAAGCGTGGAAGGAAAAGCTGGATCATTTTGAGCAGATTTAAGAAAGATTTCTGCTTGTCTGCGGGGTCCATCTGCAGATGATTGTGTATCTGCTAGTATTTGGAGGAGTTGTGTCTCGTGCTGTGAAGCCATATTTGATTCTTCAAATTAAGAAATCGAATGTAGAAATGAAATAAAAGAGGAGAAATAGAAGAAGAGGTATCTCGAAGGATTGAGTGACACCTTTTTAAGGGGGGTTGTAGATAATGGAGTGGGAGTGAATAAATTTGAGAGAGAGAAGTGTTGGAATTAATTCGTAGTCGGTATCACGGTAAAGTTGATCGTCGTGGTCTAAATTCGCGATTGGTAAATTGATCTGATTTGACCTCAAAATTCACCAATCATTGGTCCATATTTTTAGAGTTTTGTGATGGGTAGGTAGATGGGTAGGTTTGAAGGTTTGTAGGTTAGTAAATCTTATCAATTACATTCTCTAGATTCTCTAGATTCTCTAGATTCTCTAGCTTTCATCGAATTTTTTTATAGGAAACTTTATCAATCATTGACATTCAATCATTGACATCATATATTGAGATGCATACCTAGGTAGGTAGGTAATGCGTATGCATTGGGAAACAGTGAATTTCCAATAATGATATCAAATGACAAGATATGTATGTCATGATGGAGTAACGATAACTACTACTATACACCTACAGTCCAAGTCTCGAGCAAGCCAATAAAGATTCCATATCAACCACCAGACATTCTCTACCAGGTCGCCCTTCAACCAACAAGCTCTCCAACTCTTCGAAAAAGTAACTCACACACAACTCGATAACCACCATCCACAATGCCGGCACGCCCTCCACCGCTCAGTACTCCTCATTCACTACACACGCACCTCCTCTCCTTCCTCACTCTGTCAATCCATACAATCTTACACGCGCGCGGTCTCTATCCCGAAAATACCTTCCTCCTAACGCGCGCTTTTAATTTCCCGTGAGTTTACTGGTTCTCTTCTTCTCAATCCCATCTCCTCTCAATCTTGAGGTCTATCTCTAAATCAGATCTCCAATAGCTTTCTTTCTCTTCTTTCCCCTCCCCAAACTCCAATTGACCATTCCCAGTGTCCCTCAAAACCGCCACCCAGAACTTTGCGCCTACATAAATTCCTGCGTCAGCGCCATAACCCCTCACCTCCAAGCTGGAACAATCAATACCGTCTCCATAGTAATCTACTCCGATTCCCCCGCAGTCGCACCCTCTTCCTCTTCCGCCAATATCTCCTCCTCTCCTACAAAACCTTACCCATCTTCCCCCTCGATCCAAATACTCGAACGCTACATCTTTAATCTCTCTTCCTTCCCTTCTATTCCCTCCAACGAACGCTTTACATTCCTCGAAGGACGCGCTCCTGCAGATATAAATGCCATTCGCAATATTGATGTCGAAGAAGAATTGCGTGCTTGTTTACGAAAGCTGGCCTATAGCGCGAGTAAATTAGAAGACTTGAAAAATCCAGAGGAGTGTACCTGGGGAGTTGTTATGGAGATGAAAGAACATGAGGGAGAGGGGAATGCGCCAATTGGACATCCGCAACGATGGGAACCGGCAGTAGCGGAACTGCAAATCCCAACTGGAGGCGCAACAGATATTAAAGGAAAGGGAAAAGCCAGTGATAATGAGCCGGAAATTAGGAAAGAGAGTAGAGTTGGCAAGGCAAGAGGAGGTATAAAGAGTACAGCTATCAGGGCGGTGGAAGTCGGAGATTTCATCATGGAAGCATGGATTGAAGAGGGAAAAGCCAAGTTTGAGAATCAAGAATCGCGCTCCCGAGAAGAGGGACAGCAACACAAGTATGAATGATGAGCCATCATTACCACCCAGATGAGCAAAAGCAAAGGCGTCTCCATCAACAAAAACAGTAGGCGCAGAGCAGGAAACATACCGTAAGACACATGCGCCGTGTAGCCATGAGATGGCAAACTCAGGTCTCAAAATCGTAGAAGTCTACCTGCCTACCTACCTACTACAATCCTCGACTCAATTGACTGTGCTTGATCATGGATAAACAATCCCTCAACGCAGTCGGCACTCTACTCCATCCCACCCTCAAATCCCGAATGTCTTGAAATATATATCGAGGATTTAAAGGAGAAGGGAAAGGAAGGGGAATAAGAACTCCAAATGTGTATACCTACCTAGTAGATATGCATATTTAAAATCAGCAATTAAAACTCTAATGACTATGCATAGAAATTCGAAGATTTACAGATTTAAACATATCTACCCATCCAATCATCCATCCATCCACACAAACCCAAACCATCCTGTTCCATCTCATCCCATCCAATTCTCCACCTACTCTAGCTATCATTCAAATTCAGATCATCAGTTTCTTGGGGGAGGGGGTGGTCTGGCAATACTCGAAATTCAAAACTCGAAATTCAAAACTCGAAATTCAAAACTCGAAATGAACAAAGATAGACCCTGGATCTTGGAGATCTTGCAGATGGTCTGTCTGTTTGTCAGTTAGTCAGTCAGTCAGTCAATCTGTTCGTCATGTGTCATTTCACCTGTCATTATCATTACTGTCAGAATTAGCAAGTACTATCGACAAGGTATATAAATCTTGTGAAGATGGAAATGTCGTGGAAATGGATTATGAGGATATGAGGATATGAATTATATTGTATATGGATTGTATAGTTAGTATAATATAACGAAATACACGATGAACCCCTGAAATCACACCTTTTTATGTTTATATGTTTGTATGTATATGTAGGTTTTGATACCTCAACTGTCAATCTTGCTATGATATACCTAGTAATATGATATGACATGCTATGATATGCTATGCTATGATACGATATGATACGATACGATTCTAGATACCTCTCCCTCCCCATTTCCCTCCCTCTCTATTGAGTCAAGTCAAGTCAAGTCAAGTAAAAAAGTTATCGCTCATCTTCTTTCTTATCTATCTAGTACTACTGAGTACCGCGAAGCAGCGAGATGAACCGGTGATAAAATGAGATACCGTGGTATGCCATGCTCACTGCTCACTGCTATATGCAATGTGATGTGATGTGATGTGTCATGTAATGCAATGCAATGTAAAGAGATCCGCTGCCGCCCATGTAAAAAGTAAGGAAAAGATGATGGTATAATTTCCTTTTCTTTCTTTTCTTTAGCACCATGTCTCCTCCAGACCAACCAAACCAAAATCTAACACCACCCATATTTTTCATTTCCCCACCACTCCACCTCCTCGACCGTCCCCTCTCCCTCTCCATACCACATCAAACTGGCGACACTCTCCTCCTCCCTCTCGACCTTCCGATGGATGCCCTTCTCGCCCAACTCCGACCTATTTAACAAATCCTCCACCAACGCCGTCGGATTCCAAAACTGCACTTCATTCATCTTCCACTCGCTCGCTTCCCTCTGCGCCTCCCGCAATACCGCTTCCAATTTCTCCGCGTTCGCCGCACTATTCGATTCATCCTCGAGCACCAAGCGCAAGATGTGTAGACAATTTCCCGAGGAGGGGGAATTGACGGGACCGTAGTAGCCGCGGGTCCAATAGGCCCAGACGCGAGAGCCGGGGGAACCGACGAGCGCGCCTTTGATTTCGGGGGCGCGTCCGAAGATGGAGACGGACATGACGTTTTCGCGGAGGTGGTGCCATTGGATGGTGGGGTAGTCGGGGAGGAGCGCGATGTGGGTTTTGTGGTCGTTTGCGCGGGAGAGGACTTGACGGATGTAGGTGGTGTCGAGGTCGCAGAGGGGGGGGAGGTCTTCTTCTTTTAGGAGGGTGATGAGATGTGACGAGGGGGAATCTGCGGGGTTGGGTAGAGGGAGGAGGGAAATGTGCGAGGAGGGAAAGGGATGCCAGCCGTGGTTTGCGTAGAATTTTTTGCCGATGTCTGAGAAGAGGATGGAAGCGGGGGTTTTTTGACGTCCGGGGATATTGGGGTCGAGTTGCCATGTTTTGAGGATATTGCCCAGGTCTGTCATCATTCGAGAAGCATATTTACGGCCTCGATTTTTGGGAGGACAAAAAACAGATCCAATTGAATGAATGATAACTTCTTCAACTTTTCCTTCTTTAGATATAAAAGCCTTTTTACGGAGGGATTCGCAGGAGGCATAGATTTCCCGGTTGTTTGGAGGGGCGGATTTATCGACTAGACACCAGTAGGTTATTCCATCTTCTGAGGTCAAGGGAACGCTGGCGAGATATTGTTCTCGATGAAGGTAATCTGACTTGGAAAGTGCTTTGCCCCATTCTTCATAATTGAGATTCCACGTTGCTAGTTTTTCTTCTGGAGTTGGGTGAGCCAGATGAAGATCTGGGGAATTATAATCTGGAAACATGTTTGAAGAGTAGGAACGTAGATTGAATGAAAGAGATCTATGTAGGAAGATGGAGAGATATGAATAGAAACTTCTTTGTGAGATTTGGCACTCTAATAAAGTTATTCTGTTCCCTCTATTGTGGGGAATTGAACTTTGATAAGAAGGTAGATATGTGGTGAATGCTCCCAAAAGAAAAGTAGATAGATGCTAGTATGCATTTCCTGTGGGGAAGGGGTCCTCTTTGAAGGAAGGGATGCAATATCTACCTTCTAAATACGTCTTTTAGGTCAACCCATCAGACTCACTAAAGACCAAACAATGATTCGGGAGTGAAGGATTAGCAATTGGTGAATACTTCCACATCAAATGATCACAATCTCCGCATGAAGCTGAGTTAATCTTAGTCAAAGCTCTTGCCTTTCAAGGTATTGATGACTGGGTACCGGTATGTTCAACCATTGACAAGTTCGTATCGAGGAAGTTGATGATTTGATGGTTGGTGGTTTGAGACTTTGAGGAGGAAGAACGGTGAGATCCGGGGCCGACAATAACCGGGATTTATGGAGGCCTAGGCAGAGATATACTTTCCGCTATGTTCATGACGGGATTGATGGAAACAAGAGAAGCTTCATGCTCTTCTTGAATGTTTCTTCGATGAGTGAACGAGAGAGAATGTTTAGCTACCTTGTGGTTATGACCATACATTTTGAATCGAGTTGAAGTTGTGTATGTAATTCTATATATAATAGTCAATTGGAGAGCATGAATTAAATGAGATTGCCCAGGCTAAAGGTACGGTTAATCTCGGGGGAAGCGATAACGATAGTGATAACGATAAGAGATATATCATCATGTGAAAATCTGGAGGGAAGATGATCTTCTTTTTGGTAAAAGCATTAGGTAATGAAGGGATCAGAGGGGTCAAAGTGGTCAATTCTACGATATCAAGTTAGTGATAATATGGGGTGCATTGACTTACTTGGTATGTACGTAGTAGGATGTTTGATCAAAGACTTCAAGTAATGATAGTCGACAGAGACATCGTTGGTAGTAGAGGAGAGAAGATCTACTCTGAGGTAAATGTTTCACTCCTGATATATTGGATTGCAGTCACTTACCTCGTCCAGCTTGAGTGTACCTGATAAATGCCTGGAGAAGACCTTACATGTAGGTATCTATAGGTAAGGTATATAAAGACATATATGTAGATATATGTAGATATATGTCAATAGTAGAAAGATCATCAGCAATAGAGAAAGAGAGAGAACCTAGGAAGTGATGGATTAAATTCATATCCATATTCATTTCCGTCTTGCCAAACCCGAAATGTCTCTCTTCTCTCCTTTCCTCTCCTCTCCCCCCCTTTCTCTTTCTACAATCACTTCCAAATCCCTGATAAATAAAAAAGAAATGATTCAAAATTACTGTACCATCGACCGACCAAAGTATTTCTGATATTCGGATGGATTTCTGATTCCTCAGAAAGGACAGCAAGTACCACGCAAAGAACGTGTTGGATGTTTTCACTGGACCGATTCATTACGATGGTGGCATCCTTCACATGCGGTGTTTGGATACTCCAATACCCATGAATGAGAGATGCGAAGAAGAATTTCCCGATCAACGATACTGTACGTTATCGGATGTCGTATTGGTGTGAAGTATGCTGTGTCTCATTGGGAAGAATCAATTACTTTACTTCCTACATGAGAAACCTCTTTCCAGAACGATTCCAGTGGTAATGTGAGTGGGTGGGAAGTGAGTGAAAGGATGAATGATAGGTCAGAGAAGAAGAGGGAGTGTATCCATCTATTTAGCTACCTAGGTATTTTATTCAAAATGCTTCCATAGAGTCATGTGGAAGATTGATTTGACGATATGAAATCTAGATCTTGATTTTGATTCTATTCTACCACATTGAACTGGTAAACATGATCAAGTACCTCCCTCGTACCTAGTAGTTATCGAGTAGAAATAATTGGAAACTCGTTGTATATATTAGATACCTACACTGCCTGACTGCCACCTAACAAAGGCCCTTCTAGAAGATTTCCGTTTGTGTATCTAGGAACTCTATTACCCTACCTACCGACACGTCCTATTTCACCCTTCACCTTCACCCTACCCTTCACCTTCTCCTTCACCCTCCACACTCTTCTCCCACTTTATCGAGTGATGCATCGTTTTCCCAATGTGGGGCTTTTTTGCCTCTTTCCCCTCGTCCGTCCACGTCCATCAAAATTCAGATCAGCGACCCTTAGTCTCAAAAGAAAAGTCTGTGCTCCATTTGACAGGACAAGGTAGGAAAAGCTCTGACCAACATGGAAATGTGGGAATAATAAATATCTGCAGAGTGCTACCAGATACCTAGTACGTACCTACATCGTAGTATGATCGTAATATGGTAATATCGTAATATCGTAATACTGTTCCGATCGTGCCTATCGTGCCTATCGACTTTCGAGCGACCCTAGTCAGAGATGGAAAAAGGTGGAGAGAATGATCACGTGTAACCTATGATCTTCCATCATTTCTCAATATGCATACTAGGTAGAGACTAGGTAGAGACTAGGTAGAGACTAGGTGGAGCCAAGGGAGAGACCTCTACCTAGCATCTAAATTAAAAATACCGGTAATCATGATGAACCATCTACCTTGGCTTCCTTTTCTCAACTCTACCTTCCATTTTCACTCATTTCTGCCTTGACTTCACTTCACCTCTTCAGTCTTCACTCTTCACTCACTCTTCACTCACTCTTCACTCACTCTTCACTCACTCTTCACTCACTCTTCACTCTCACCTATCTACTAGGCAGGTATGATTAATAAATACACACACACTTGGGAATATCTTCGTAATTCTAATTCGGTTGGCAAGCTCAACTTCTTCTCTTCTCCATACAGTACTTTCCTATCAAATTAGTCCAGAATATACTTGAAACTTTATATCATTCGTTGTAAGGCTATAGTATAATACAATATAAATTTGGAAAACGCTACCTAAATACATACTGTTGCATCATACCTATATACGTTTGACTTCATTCATAACCCCTCACTCACTCTCCAAAAAGATACAACCTGATATACCTGCCCTGGTGAATACCATAATTCTTCACTTCTTCGTGGTATGATCTTATTCTTTACTTTCCCTCTTCCAATCTTGAGACTTTGAGAACATACCTACCTACCCATCGTTTCATGTTTCTTCTTGCCATATACGGACAGACGATGTACTACTAGAACTTCTTCCGTCGAGTCTCTTCTATTCTAGTCATCACACATAAGGTTCGATTCCTCTTCGGAATCTGCACATTCACTTCGAGAACCGGATTCGGATTCGATTCCCCCAAATCTTAGAGGAAGAATCTACTAACGTCGAATAATCTGCTAGTACACTACTAGTGTCATCACCTTAGATTCTATAGAACGTCACTCGGTTCATCAGTTCTCTTTACTTATCATTCACCCACTATCCTCGACAAATTCAAACATCTTGAATATGCAAACGATCATTCTCACGACACTCTTGACCAATAGTCCCTCTTCAACAACTTACATTATTCCAAAAAACCAACTACTCAAGAACTCATCATATTGATCAACCGTCAACCGCAAGCAAATTCACTTTGACGACATGAGTCAAGCAGCTCCAGTGAACCATACCAATGGTCCACCGAGAGATAAACAGCCCTATATCCAAAATGCAGTGAATAACTTTATCGAAATCTCGGATTCGGACTCCGAAGGCTATGAAGATGCTTTTAATGGACCTCAAGTCCCCGCGCACCCCCCACATCTAAATTTACAACACCATCAACTCGGAGGGTATTTTGGTGCCAACGACCAGATATTTGATCTCGAGGATAACAACCTAGTGTACCCGGGTCGATTACCTCAACCCGCAGTTGCAGCTGTACCCGAAAATAAAGCCATGGCCAGAAATCCTTCTCTTGTCAAGAACGAAGAAGGGGAAATGAATTGGGCACAGTGGATGGATGAGGAAAATGACGAAGGTATCAATCGTGTACTGTTGGAAGATTATACCTTTCAAGCGGAATACAATCGAGCTTCACATGCTTCTCCTTCGTTTGTTGATCCTTCTCGTCTCCATCAACCATTTCAACCATCACCAAACAATTTAAAGCAACCGATGATGGAAACAAAGACGGAATGTATCAATGCAGTTGTTGCAGTCTTCCCAGAGATTTGTAGGGATCATGTCGCTAGTCTTTATGAAAAAGTATCTTTCACTTCTGATCGATTGATTGCTCACATTCTGGATCAAGCGGATGCTGGCACTCCTTACCCAAAAGCAAAAGATGTCCAGAAGCAATTGAAGAGAAAGAGAGTACTTACCGAAGAAGAGGAAGCTGTACAAAAATATGAAGCTGCCGATCGCATCGTTGGGCCTGCTTTATATTTGGAGCGGACACTAATGTGGGTATATTATATACTTCATCCCAATTACTTAATCATTTCCTCATTCCATTTTTCTTTTGCTAACATTTTTCTAGTCGGAGCATCCTCTCATTCGAGTTTCCAGTAACTCCATTGACCTTTATAGATGAAACACTACGTTCTACTGGTCATCGTCTCTTCTCCGCCTACCGCACACTCGAGGAAGCAGATCGAACTTTTGATGCTAATAATCCACCATATAGGAGAATCAAAACTCCGAGAAAAATGCCACAAGAATACCGAGGTGGTAGAATTGAGGAACTAATTCAAATGAATGAATCGCCCGAGAAGGTAGAGACTTTAAAAGAACTACTCGTATGTCGGAAGATTCGAAAGACTGCGGAAAGTCGTCGCCTCGCGGAACAAGAAGCAATACTTGCAGAAGAAGAGAATCTAAAGAGAGCTGAAGCTGAGGGAACTATGACAGAATGCTGCTGTTGCTATTCGGACTATCCACTCAATCGCATGGTTCACTGCAACAATGAAGAAGTCCTGCATTGGTTTTGCCGTGGGTGTGCACGACAATCAGCGGAGACCGAAATTGGAAATTCCAAATATCTACTCATGTGTATGTCCACGGATGGATGTGAAGCAGGGTTTTCTCTTGAACAAAGGTGAGTATTCTTAATCATTAGCTCCAGATTTATACTTATCTATCATGTAGAAATCAATTCCTAGACGAATTAACCATCGTCGCCTTGGAACGTAATGAAGCAGAAGCTGTCTTACGTATGGCTGGTATTGAAAATCTTGCCAGTTGTCCATTTTGTCCATTCGCAGCAGAATATCCTCCTGTCGAAGTTGATCGAGAATTTCGATGTCAAGCTCCTGATTGCGAAAAGGTCAGTTGTCGACTTTGTAAATTGGAGTCACATATCCCTATGACTTGTGAAGAAAGTACAAAGGCAAATGGTCTCTCGATTAGACGACAAATTGAGGAAGCAATGTCTGCAGCAATGATTAGGACTTGTAACAAATGTGGCACTCCATTTGTAAAGGAAGAAGGTTGCAATAAAATGACATGCACACGCAATGGATGTTATAATGTCCAATGCTATGTTTGTTCCAAATCATGCAATTACGATCATTTTAATGATGTAAGGAGAGGTGGTAAGGATGGAAATTGTCCACTGTTCGAATCGGTGGAGGAACGACATTATGATGAAGTTAAGAAGGCCGAAAAAGAAGCACTGGCAAAAGTTCGTGCAGAACATCCCGAATATTCCGAGGAGGACTTGAGAATCAAGATGTCGGAAAATGTCACCAAGGATGATGAAAGGAGAAAGGCTGCGGATCCAAGGATTCCTTATTATCGACCTGTGGGTTAGTACTTCGCAATGATTTTTTTCGTCGTTAATTGATACCATAATGTTGTGTGATCTTTGGCCTTTGGCAATGGGTGGGTAAATCTTAGAAATAGTATTCTATTCTTTCTCATTTTGAAATCAGATACTACGTAGTAAGATAAATACCATTACCAAAGTCTTTGGGTCGGATGGATGTTATGTGGTTATTTTTATTTCCCCTCGTTTTGGAGTAATCATGTAATTGCGATGCATGCATAACGCAACATATCTAGAAGACATCAATGCATATTTGCTGACTAATGGGTACACAGAAGTACCACCACACGAACTCGAAGTATTGCCTCGGCCTCCTGGTGAGTTATATTTGTATTTCATTTTTGGTTTTGGTTTGAGTTTTGGCTTTGGGTGGGGGTTTTTTTTGGAGGGGGGAGAAAGAGAGAGAGGTTTTGGGAGTTTGAAAAAATGGTGGGAACTGAATTTATGTGTACTTTTGTTTAGTTTTTAAAGTGGTGGCTTCAAAGTTGAAACAGAAATTTAGGAGGTTTAGGGGGGGTGGGGGAGATGGAGTAAAGGGAGAGGGGTTAGAGGGTTAGAGGGGTGGAGAATTGAGGCGGATTAGGATAAATAGGTAGATTGGGGGATTGAAGGACTGGGTGATGAGACTTGGGAGGAGGGGGTGGATTATCTTGGATACTTTTCTTTTCTTTTGTTTTGTTTTGAGTCTTGGATATGCAGAGGGAAGAGGGGAGGAGTGTTTTTATTTCTTTTTGAAAAGATGAACTAATTTTTTGGGATGATAGGTGTGTATTTGGATCATGGGCGTTGGTATCGGCTTGAGAGGTATTATCCGGATGAGGAACTAGATGAGGAACTAGATGAGGAACTAGATGAGGAACTAGATGAGGAACTAGATGAGGAACTAGATGAGGAACTATATGAGGAACTAGATGAGGAACTAGATGAGGAACTAGATGAGGAACTAGATGAGGATGAAGAAATGAATGGGAACGAAGGAGAGATACAGCCTGCACCCCTTGCTCAGCAAGTGGAAGGGGTTCACTTGAATCAACCTTTATATGCGGGAGCTCGTCGACATCCTGAATATGCGGGAGCGGTGAATCCAGGTGAGGGGAGGCTGGTTATGGGTATGGTTCCGGGTGGGTATTTAATTCCTGTTCTTGTTCCTGTTGATGCTCCGGGTCCTGCTCCGGGTCCTGCTCCTGCTCAAGTACCCAACCCGGAACCAATACCAAAACTCAGAAATCGATATCTGATTGAGAATTTGCAAGAATTGATCAGAGAGGCTGGGGCTGGTCGGAATGGAGAATTGGCGGGACGGATGGATGAGGTATCGGAGGATGAGGATGAGGATGAGGATGAAGAGGATGGAGGGGATTGGAATGGGAATGGAAGGGAGAAGCTTCCTAATCCACAAATACCTCAGGTGCCGCGTGTTGTTGCGAGAAATGGAGATGAGGAGAGAGATGCAAGGAGAAGGGATGGGATGATGTGGGAGATGGCAGAGATGGCAGAAATGTATCGTGTGCGAAATGCAGAGAGGATAAGGGTGAGGGGGGTTGAGCCACAGAGGCTGTTCGGAGATGAACGAGATGGGCTGGGTGGGGATAGAGAAGAGTTTGGGAACCTGGCGCGGCGGGGTGCTGAGGGGATGGGTGATGAAGATGAGGAGGGAGAGGGAGAGGGTGGGGGAGAGGCAGATCCCTTGAAATATGTACGACAACTTCGTGAGAGGTATGGTTATGGTTCAGGGGGTGAGGATGGGGAGGGGAATAGGAATGGGAGTGGGAACGCATATGGAAATCAGAATCAGAATCTTCTTCTTCCAAACCCTGTCGTACGGAATGGAGATGTATATGGAATTGCAGATGCGGCTGCAGAGAGGGAGAGGGAGATGGAGATGGAAAGAATTCGAGATGAAGAAAGAGAAATTCATGAAAATGCTCGTCGGTTTTATGAACGCCATCGATTGCGGGGTGAGAATGGAGATGCAAATGCAGATGGAGATGAGGATTACAATAACCAATTTCCCATTTATCTTCCTCAGCCGCAACTTCGCCCTCATTCTCCGGTCGCTGGACCCCCTCGTCTGGAAATTGGAGATGCGGGAGAAATTAGAGGAATTGTGGAGAATCTTCCTGCTCCTGCTCCTCCTGCTCCCTTTCGGTATGAGCCTGAAAATCAATTGGGGAGAAGAGCGGATTTGGTTGATGGGGGGGTTAATGCTTTTGGAGGTGGAGGTGCAGGTGCAGGTGCAGGTGCAGGTCAAGTTCAAGGAGCAGGCCGAGGTGTAGAAGCGCGTTATCCTCCTCTTGGTAGGATTGAGTATGGTGTCTGGAGACCGATGCATTTTCCTCCTGATTTTGATTGGGACCAGAGTGCTGGCTGGAGAGAAATAAAGAGGAGAAGAGATGTGGAAAGGGAGATGATTGAGGGGATTCCGATGCCCGAGGAGGATGTTTTTAGTGATGAGGAGGGTGGGGTGGATGGGAAAGGGATGGATGGGAAAGGGGAGGGGGAGTGAGGGAGGGATTGCATGATTTGGAGACGGGGGTTGAGATTGGCAAAAATGGAAATTGGTTCGAGATATTTGCACAAGTTGGCTGGGGTTTTGGAGGATCTTGGTCTCTTGCTTTCTCGTCTTAAATCTCTTTCTACAAATATAGCGTTTTAAATTGCTATCCTTCGATCCGTCTGGTTCTTCATCTTCATTGTAGTCCTCCCTGTCGCTGTAGTTGGTTATTAGATGGGGAATTTCATCTCTTTCTAGATTAGATGGGTAGATGAGATGGGTGAATTGGGTGAATTGATTAATGGATTATTCGGCAGGCAGGCAGGCAGGCAGATACCTAGATAAACAAATAGGTAAACGAACCAAAGAAATTCACAAAAAATTTCATTGTTCCCTCTACGATAGATTTAATTCAATCACCGAGCTAAACCGAGCATTCTTTATTTCGCGAACAGCGAATACTTCTCAGAATGCTTTGTGAGTTGAAAGTTGAAAGCTATAAATAAATTGAGCCTATTGCATTACATTAATCTAAAATTCATTTAGATGTAAGACTTTTTTATTGCGGATTGTTAGTATATCTATGGATAAGTATCTAGGTAGGTTAGGTTGTCAAAGAAAGAAAGAAAAATACATTTCGAGTTTTGATTCTTGATTCTTGACTTTGGATCTCGGATTTTGGATTCATATTAATTCGATCGATATATCTATCGCTATCTCGTTTGTTTATTTATTTATTTATTGTAACGAAAGTTTATCTCGGTGGCACTATTTTATACGGTAAGATTATATTTTGTAGATTGTTATTCGATCTTTTTTGTTTGATAAACTGGGTTGGGTTGGGTTGAGTTGAGGATTACTTGTTTTGCGAATAGTAGATGGGGAGTTGATGGGATGAGAAGATTTTTTGCTGGTTCACTAAATTGAACGATTGACTAACTTCTTGCGAGAATTCATCATCATCATGCCTTTCGTCTTCGACCCAGTTGCTATAATTGCTTCCCGAGGCCCTAAGACTCTCGGTGAGCAATTCGAATCGTATCGTAGACACGCGGTTCTTAGCTTGGAGCGTGTGGTCGAATTCCGTCCATATTATGAGGCTCATAAGTATGTGTTCAATGTTCAAATGGAGATGCAATCAATAACATCCATCTCATAGTGATGAATCGGAAAGCAGAGACTTGAGTAAGTGCCCTCCCTGCGGACGACTACGCTTCCCACTAAATACATCGATAGTCAACATCACCGACGACTCCTTCGAATTCGCCGCGGCCAAGTTCGACGTATCGCAGGATGATCTACGTTTCGAATTGGAATCAATGAGGACCTTGTTTCCGCGCATCCAGTACGCCAATTGGCCTTACAGACAATTCCCATATCTTCCTAAATGCTTACTCTACATGTGCGGTTGATAAGTCCAGATCGCTTGCTCGGGTCCACTGCTTGAAGAAGTAGGCTGGCTAACTCTCGCTGATACCTCAACGCTTTGGCAAATGCTCTCGTAGCAGATAGTAATCCCGTATCCAAGATTGTTTGGGGCACGACTCAAAATGCAGCGTTGTATGCGGGTAGTCCTCGTTTGCGTCTCAAATTACTCGTGGGCCTCGGGCTCTCGAGCCTGTGGTCTTTCACTCGGGCGTGCAAGATGGGTATCATCATCTGGTGCCGATTTTCGCTGTATGCTTTGATCAAGAAGTTTGAGGCCGATCGCTTGGATAAGCGGGATGTGCATGCTTTGGAGAGTTTTGAGTGGAGGATGCTGTGGTTTGTCAATATCATGCATTCAAATTCAATTTGATAGCTGTGATCGACAAGCTTGACCAGGCGAGTGTCCGAAGATGATATAGAGAGTGTATTCAAGCTTGTTATTTCATTGTTACATAAGCCACCTTTAGCATGCAAATTTGCCGCGCTAATTCGCGAGCATCTGTAGTCTGTTATGTTGTTTAGAAGTATAGAATAGTATTTGAGATAGAATTTATGATTTTCGAGAGTAACTTTCTATAAGCGTCCACTCTCCATGGAAACCTCTCCAACACGGCTGTAGGTTGATATGACCATGTCGTTGCAGAGAAAAAGAGGTATGCAACTTCTAATCATCTCTCACAAAAACACAGGTTGAAGGGAATGCGTATCCCGTCTCTATGTAAGCGAAAAAACAGGCGGAAATTGAGTACTTTTTGAAAGGAATTTTTTAATAGATTATAAATCCATCTCAAATGAATTATTAAGATTTGAAAACAGCAATCGAAAATTTAAGTCTTCTTTGTAGTAATGATGAGCATTTTCATTCTTTAATATTAGATTATAAAAAGATCTTAGTTGTTAAGGTTCTTTCAAATGATGGTCAATTCCCGTCTGTTTTTTCGCTGACGTAGAGCCCGTCACACTACGATACCCGAGCCTGCAGTCCGTGTATTCGTAAGCGATCACTAGCGAATCCTCACTACCCTAATCTTTCATCTCTTTCAATGACTATCTCCAACTTCTCCACGCCCATCGCAATGATCGCTATAGCCTCCCAATAGCAGCTGGCCAGAACATCGTCAAACTAATGGTGTTGACTGTTGTCAAGACTCAAATATCAAGCCGAAGCTTAAATTCTCGAGCCTGTCTCATTTGTGTTGTCAGGTGTTGGTTTTTTTATTGTATGCTTGATGTTATCATTACTGCGGCTCAATGCGTCTACTACGTTTCAAATCTCTAGACTGACGGATCCGCGAGCGATCGATAGGGGGGAGAATCCGAATTCGAGTCCGGCGTTGCTTCTTTCTAAAATTTATAATTTAGATTTCGAGTTATATTTTAGACTCGATGATTCGTGCCTGGATTCGAATCACAATTTGACTCACAAGTTGGAGGAACAAATGAATAAGTATACCTTGTAGTCACATACGATTCACTCATTTGAATTTTGATTTTATAACTTACTTATCTATCTATGACCCAATTCAAAGTTGATAGCGTATATTCTTGACGTGTTACTAGAAAGCATCTAGGTATATCGACAATGATTCTTCTTAGTATCCTTTGGTTATATTTAATCTGGAAATAATTATTATCGTAATCAAGTATAATATAAATATCTATTTGCGTATGTCTAGTAGTTTAAAAAGGGATTTTTTATAAAAAAATTCTATCTCAAAATTGATATGTACTCGATTGACTCCTTTTAAGAACTCACATAGATCTGTAATAGAAATCGAAGGAATATAAGTCGAGACTTTCTAACTCGACCGAGTTAAACGCGAGCTCGAGGACGACGCCAACTCGCACTCGAGCATTTTTGATCCGAGATATAAAGCTAGAGTCAAACGAAAGATCTGTCTGGTAAAAAATGAAGCACTCGGAATATGAGATGTTTGTACTAATAACCCCAAGTCAGTATTGAAGTATTGAGACTGCTAGCTTGATAGACATACGAGTATCTTTTGTATCTTTTGTATCTTGAAACTCATCAACAAATCCAGGAACTGGAAAGCATACTCGAAATATATATTTACCAATCTATCTCTCTACTCATGACCTGTTCTTCCTCTCTACAGTTCCTGCTACATATTCAGCAATATATATGAGATATGATTTTATATTCAGAGCATCTTATACAGATATACCGATCTCCGACCTCCAACCTCCGACCTCAGACTCACCGAACCCCCCAGTATACAACACAATAAGATACCACAAAGCAATCACACAGAAGCGAACCACATCATCACAATGCATTTCTTTCATCTCCAAAATTATATCATATTATCATTACATCATTAAGAAACCACCAAGAAATCAAACCAATCTCCCTATTATATTTACCTTACAAAATGACATTCCTTCCTATCTATCTTCTTTCGTGAGAATTAGAATGATATATATAGCAACGAGATGAGGAGTCCCTGTGGTGGCAGAATCCGTGGTTGACGAAGTGATCCTTTCGTAATTGCTATAAATTCTACAATATCTTTATCATATATTGAATAAATCGTTTTTAAAGTATTAATATAATTAATCTAAGTCTTTATACTTTACAAAGCTTATTTTAATTAATAAGTTCTTAATGAATTTCTTGAATTCTGGAAGGTTAATTGAAAGTTTCGGCTTAAAACAACAATTATCTATCAAGTAGAAAGCTTTTAGGTTTTACTTGCTTTTTAATCTCCTTTTTTCTTTTCTTCTTTTTTTCTTTCTAAATTGATCTTTTATTAGATTTCAATAAAATGATAGAAAAGATCTTTTAAATCTTTTAATTAGAATTTATTAAGGATTATTAATCTTTCTATTATACTTTTATTTTGAATCTTTTATTGAATTCAAATAAAAATTATAATTTATTAATATATAGATTGAAGTTAGGTTATATTCTTGTCTATATGATATATTCTGTATTACATAGTATAATAGTATAGCTTGTGATTTCACTTGAAAGCTTTTTTAGAGGTTTTCCTTATATAATGTAATTCATAGAAAGAACTCTATTCCCTTTTAAACTTTCGACTAATACCTCCTACCCACTCCTTAGCTTCTATACTTATTCCCCTTCTTTTCTTTAGCTCTTATTTACCTCTTTGACTTTCTATATATATACCTTTTCATTCATCTTTCTTACAACTCTAATATTCAAAAATCTTGAAAGCTCTAAGACCTTTTAAGATCCTTATTTATTTTTATTTTTATCAAAATTCAATAATAAACAGATTGCAAAAAGAATTGATTTGATTTGTTAATAACAAAAAGCTTTATTCATTACTAACAAATATATATATCAATATCATAATATACGAAATAGAAATTTGTATAGGGATTTATATTGAATTTATCTTCGTCCGGAATATTAACTTTGCCACCATAGGGAGTGAGGAGGAGTGGAGGGAGAGGAAGGGTGTTCTTCTTCTTCTTCTTCTTCTTCTTCTTCTTCCTCTTGAAAAAGGGAGAGAAAGGGGGGGGGGAATTTATTATTATTAAAAATCTCTGATAAGTTGGGAGTGGGAGTGGGAGTGAGAGAGGAGAGAAGGGGAGAAGGGGAGAGGATGGATGAGATAAATGAGATTAATCGAATTCAAAGATGAGAATTTATTTATATATTTATTTTATGAGAGATTGGTTGTGTTTTTATATCTTGATATGCATGTAAGATCTTATATTATACATCTACATAGGTATAAACAGATATCTGGGAGGAAGAGAGAAGGAAGGAAAGTTCTCTGTTTTACTGTGCTGTGCTGTGCTGTGTTTCATTTCATCTCGTTCCCGTGATCTGGATAGACGGATGGATGGATGGATGGATGGAACAATGGATGCGAGTCTATTTATTTCTATTTATTCCATTTCATTTCGTCTTACATCTTGCTCGATGAAGATTCATCAGAGTATGAAATCGACTAACCAACCAGTTAGCTAGCTGTAATACCTGTATATACACACAACTCAATATCCCATCTTAACCTTTACTATTTGTACCACTCCCCCTACTCTTTGCGAATTTCTCATGCCATTTATTTACTTTTCCCGTGGTAGTCTTTTTCGAGACTTCGGGTTCTTTTTCTCTATGCTTTTCTTGTCCGTCAATGATTTCTTCTTCTTTTTCGATTAATTCGATCGTGTCGGATATACTTCCTATTCTCGTGATGCTTGGTTGGGGTTGGGGGGTGGAGGTGGAGGAAGAGGAGGAAGAGTAGGTAGAGGGTGAGAGAAGCATCAGCGGATTGGAAGTATTTTTTTGGCGGAGGAGGTAGGTTTTTTTGGTGGTGGTGGAGGGGGTGGTGGAGGTGGAAGCGGAAGAGGGAGAAGGAGATACGAGGAGGTGTGCGTGGTGTGGGGGCTGAGGGGAGGAGGTTAGGAGGAGGCTGTGGTGGAGAGGGAATCGGGTTAGTGTGTGGAAATGGTGGTTGTAGGGAGGAGCGGAGCGGAGGAAGCTGGCTTACGTGGGAGGAACATCGGATTCTAGAAGGGTGAGGAGTTCCGGGGGTAGTTCGAGGAGTTTGAAGGGTTGTTGAGTGTGGTTTGCTGTCAAGGGGATTTCGGTTGACATTTTGGGGGTGGTGTGTGGGTGGTGGGTTGAAGAAAGATTTGTTTTTGGATGAGTGGGTGTTGGTGGTTTGAAGGTTGGTGGTTTGAAAATTAAAGACCGAGGTGAGGTGAGAATTCGAATTCGGATTCGGCTTGGTGGAATGGATGTTGTACTGTACTGTACTGTATTGTATTGTATTGTATTGTATTGTATTGTATTGTATTGTATTGTATTGAATTGATTGGGAGGTTGAGTTCACCAAAGTTTGAAAGATTCGGAATGAAAGATGGTTGATGATTGATGATTTCGGCTTTTAGATATTGAGTGATGGTTTTCGGGAGTGAAGTTAAGGTATCTCGTTATCTTATCAGGATGTTAGATAGTTATTCCGAATTTAATTAATATTGTGAGGTTGTATAAGTTCAAAGGAGAGATTCTCTATGGAATAATAAAATGATATTGAATTTATCTACGATATACATCTACAATATTCATCTACAATAACTGCCCCTCATTCATACCTAGTATAAGATCTTCATTACCAAATACCAAAATCTCCTCTTGACCTCATTCATCCCTCGAGAATCGAGATTTGCCAAATCCAATAGAAGGATATTATTCTCGAATAATCTTTTTTTCTTCTTCCATTTCTTACAAGTTAGGTTTAATTTTAGTGTATGGCGTAAGAGGAGGAACGAGAGGTAACTCAAATTAAATTGGTGTCATCAAAGACAACTCAGCCTTAAGTAGATCACCAACCTCTTCTTTTTTGGGGTGTACGAGGAAGAAAAAAAAAGATCAAAAAATGTCAAGTGAATAATTAAATCATCAGCAAACAAACAAACAAACAAAGCTCAGCTGGACGGCGGGGTAAGTAAGTGGACTTTGGCTACTTTTTCGTGTTCCATTGGAAAGGAGTCAGAGACCAATCATCGCGTGGAGAATAAATCGAGGGGCTGGACGCGGTTACATGGGATTGATGGATTGATGGATTGATGGATTGATGAATGGGTGGGAGGGATATGAATTTGGATGTGAATTTGGATATGGATATGGATGTGGATATGGATATGGATATGGATATGGATGTTATACAATCCTATATCCTCCCTACTATGATTCTTTATATAGAGACAAGAGAAGGAAGAGAAGAGAGAGATACGAGATAATAGATAATAAAGATAACAATCAAAAGATCAAGGAATAACGATGAATAAACATGAATCCAACGACACAAATGTATTCTGCGGTTCATATACAATGTTCAAGATCAATAGAACCAGCCATCATATAATATACATGTCATTTGGAATACTAAGAAGGAGATCCACAATCACTTGATAGATGTTTGAAGTGTTGTACATACATACATAGATATCTACCACCTACCTCCTACCTCCTACATATATATACTAATATACTCGAAATGCGCCACAACGCGTTTTTTCCTTTTTACCGTCAGAAATGTTGGAGGAACGAGGTTGATGAGTAAAGGGAGGAATGGGAGGAAAGGGAGGAAAGGGAGGAAAGGGAGGAATGGGAGGAAATAGGAGTGAAGGGGTGAGAGAGAAGGAAATAAAGAAAAGGAAGGGAAGAAAAGGAAGGGAAGAAAAGGAAGAAAAGGAAGAAAAGATAGAAAAGACAGAAAGGTAGGGAAAACAGAAAAGACAGAAATGTAAAATGGATAACTATCAAAACAATGATGATATAAACAAATAAAAGAGATTAATAAAAATACTCTATTTCTTACTGGAAAAGGTTATCTACGAGGTAATCAAACCAAATCAATACCTCATTTATTACTATATTTACTATATTTTGCATTTTACTTTATTACGCCGGCCTTCTTAATTATTCTTTTCTCACCTTATCCACTCACTCAACTCAATCATCAAGTGTCATCTCTGCCGCAATAATTTGATATCACCATAATCCCCTCCACTCCACTCCACTCCCCGTACCTTACCAACCCTCCCCAAATTTTATGATACAATACTTCTGTCTGTTTGTCTGCCGGTCTCTCTGTCTCCTGTCCTCTATCCTCTATCCTCTATCCTCTGTCGTCTGTCCTCTATCCTCTGTCCTCCATCTGCTGTCCATCTGTTTGTCTGCTTGTCGGTTTGTGCAATATCAAATACAATCAACCAGTCGGGTTCAACCAATTCTATACCACAAATCAATACCCACCACAAAATACTTTACCTTCTTTTTGATTTAGATTTGTCAAAAAACATCATCACAATCTTTTCAATCAATCAAACAAGGCTAAGGTAATCATCTGTTCTTTTGATCTTGTGTTCTTCAACCTCTGCCAAATAATATTGAGAGAAAAGCAAGAAGGAGAAAAAAAGGTCATATATTTCATTCCATTCGCCATGAAGGAGGCCACACATTAAAGAGACCCACGATTTCGGAACCATACCATCCATACCATCCATACCATACCATTCACCCTCTCAAATCCCAATCCGGATTCAACACCTCAACAACCTCTCACATTTTCTTCTACAATGGTTCGAGTTACAGATGAGCTGGCTTTGTCCCTCGATCATCTAAACCTATTCTACGCACACGATCCTCACCTGTCAAACCTACCCGTCCTCATATATCATGGTCCTTCTACCACCACCAATTCGACCCTCAATAGTTCACGAATTCAACTGCATATCTTCACCGCTGCAGGTTTTCAATCGTACCAGCGCATAACCATTTCACCAAACTCACCGCTATACGAATCCGTGAACTATCTCCCGCGCGAGAAACAAGGAGATGAATTATGTCGCGGTCTGGCATTCGGTTTATTCAAATATTTCAAAGAGTTACCAGAGGTGGTGAAGAGTGCATTAATATTACAAGTTGCGAATACGTCAAGGAAACAAAGGCCAGGTTCGGCACCGACATTATTCGGCGAACAACATGCGGCAGATTTGGCAAGTTCGATGGTGAGGGTGGAAAATACGCCAGATGTGACGAGAGATATTGAAGCCGCTTTACGAATACAAAATATTAATTACGTGGATGTAGATTTGGTTCTGCCGCCGGGCTCGATATCACCTTTTCAAGAATTGGAGGGGGATCTGGATGAGGAAGAATATCCCGATCTAACCTTGAGGCAATATGGATCATATGCATCATTGGTCAAGGTCTTTGGAGAGGTGGCATTCCTTCCCACGTCGAAATTACGTCGAGCCCCTTCGAAACCGACATCATTGAATCGAAGTAAATCATTTCAGAAGGATCAAAAAATGGCTTTGCGACGAGAGATGGGAGAATTGGTCGATACGGAAGAACGTTATGTGATAAAGATGCATGAATTGGTCAATCATATTGCAGATGATTTTCGAGCCAAAGCCAAAAGTCGAGCATTTGGAAGTTTCAGTCCGTCGGAAGATGATCTACAAAAGCTCTTCCCACGATGTTTGGATCGCATCCTACAAATTAATTCCACCTTCTTATCAGCGATACGAAAAGTGATGGATGAAACCGAGGAAGAAGCCATGCAAGATCTGGAAACACCAATAGTCAGCTCCACCTCATCTCGATATGGTGGCTCGGGTCGTTTGAAGGACCCTACGGGTGCACTGGCCTTTGCCAAAGTCTTACTTGAATGGTTCCCACAATTTTCCGAGAGTTACCAGCAATATATCCATGCTAGCCAGGAATTTCCACAAATCATTTCGAGCTTCATGAAGCAACCAAGTAGCTTCTCAAGTCGGGTACAAGCTACCGGGGAACAACGTTTGAGATCGGCTGTAATTGAGCCTGTCCAGAGATTACCCAGATATAGTCTCTTTATTGATAATATTGTCAATTCGCTTCCAGTGCTACATCCAGCTTTACAACCTATGTTGAAGGCTAGAGATATCATTACTTCGATTTGTTCACTTGATCCACCAGCAGCTGACAAGTCGCAAGTGGTGAATCGATTAAGATATTTGGTTGACGCTTGGCCTTCCACACTACACCCTCAAGGGCGTCTAATCACGGCGGTTGATACGATAGAGTTACCACCTCCATATCATGTTGAAGTCGCGACGGGTAGTAGTGCAGGTCTTGCCAAGGAGGGTATACTTTTACTCTTCGCTGATTGTATCGTTTTGTTGAAGAAGAATAAGGATTGTTTACAGACAGCTCGAGGTGTCATGGCGGAGATCGATAAACCTTCTGCTCAAACTATGATGGCATCAGTTACCGCAGCAGCTGGTGGTCAGAAACATCTCTATGACCTTTCTTTTACTGGCTGGCATGTTCTTGGAGATACTAGGGTTACATCATCTGATGATAATCGATGTATCTGGTTAACTTCCTTGCATGAGTTGAAAGACGCAAATATGGGACGAGATCGTAATCAAGCTGCTACAGTTCGAAACTTTGTTTTGCAAGGAGCTTACGAAGCCAAGGCATCGAGGTTGGGTGAGGAATTGATCAAAGCTAGACTTGAAGGAAGATTCTCGGAGGCTGAACGTGAAACCGATAGATGGAGTTTACGATCGATTAAGCCGGCCGGAATCCACATTTATTGTGCCATTTTTGCTGAAGGTGTTGACGATTTGGTTCAAGGCCGGAGAGAACCTGCTCCTGTTCGCTTAGTTGTTGATCACGAGAAAGGTACAAAGGGTGCTCCTGTGGGTCATTATGGTGTTGATATTGTAGCCAATGTCACGACATTGGCAGGAGGAGAGAAATATAGACTTGAGGTAGATGGACTTAATGATAGGGTGTATGTGGATGAAGTACTGCCTGAGTACTTGATGGTTACATTTGCAAAGAGAGGTAAGTGGTTGTGTGTTATTTTTGAGGACTGGGCTAATAATCTTAGTAACCGACTTACTTCGACTTCAACATCAAATCAGCAATCCAGCTCTATCTGCACCTTTTACCTCTTTTTACTCGAAAATTCTAAAATCTATCGACGTTCTGTGTGAGGGTGACAGATCAAAATCGTATCGAGCACATTCTCCTGTCAAAATTCTTTCCAGCTTACTCAATAGTGGTTTCGGAGGTTCACCATCAACGACGAGTCTTAATGGGTTGGCATCTCCTGGTAAAATCTCTCGACCTATGATAATGGGGAAGATCCCATCATTGGAATCGCCACAAATCGTTCGAACGGGTAGTAATCGATCTTTACATTCAATCCAAGATTTCTCGGATGGTAAAGGTAGTGTTCGAGCTCCTTTTGAAGAGGGTAGACCCGTCAATCCACTTGTCCGACTGGAGGAAACTTTCACGGGCTACATTGCAGCTCTCCAATCAAGAAAAGGAAACGTTGTTGGAAAGAATTTGCGGAATAGAGGAGCTGCTGATGAATTGGCCGTCAATGCGTTATACAATACTTTTATTGAGAATCCTTTCGATACTCGAGCAGCTTCCGAAACTTCTTTTGATGTTATTTTTGTGGCATTCGAAAAGTTTCTACGATTGGCATGGAAGGAACAAATGGGTTCTGTTATGTCACTTGATTCTCTTGATGCTTTACAAGAAAGATCCATCAAATTATTCCCTGGAGATTTCAATGAATACGTCAGATTGATATTCGGAGAAATGGCACCACAAAATAGGAGAGCATTTATTGCCATCATCAAACTATTGGCGGATCTGTTGGATGGGTGTGGTAATGATGGTGATCGTGGTTCTCTTACAGTCGCTTTTGCTGAGTTACTGGTCGTTGATGGAGAACCACACAACTACATCAACTTATTGGATCGTGTTGTCGAAGATTCCGATAAATTATTTGATGATCTAGGACCTGGACCTGGTATTGGTCTTGGAGGTGGTAGTAATTATGGTTCCGTGGCAAGTCGATCAATACATTCAGCCACCGGATCTATTACATCAAATACATCATTACGAAGAAGATTTGCCGATACTGTCTTTCGTCAAGGTAGTACCAAAGCTGATGCTGACCATCGTCCTTCAGTTTGGAGAACATTAAGTAAGACTACCCGTAGTGTTGCTACTGGAGATCAATATGCTTCAAAACCATCCTTAGGAAGAGCTCATTCAATCGAATCACCAGACCGTAAAAGTCGACCGGCATCTCGTGATAGACCTACAGTCATGGGGGCATTTGATGAAAGACCTGGTAGTTCTGATTCAATTGCACCAAAATCGAGGCTTAGCACTATCGGCGCATCACCACCACCCGAAGATTCGAAGGATGATGGCACTACCAGATCATCGAAAAAGAAACGTCGAAGTTCTTTGTCTGATCTGAAAAATTTGATGGCTCAAGCAACACTTGGACCAATGACTCCATCTCCTGAACAACAACCTGCTACGATTACACCGCCAAATAAAAGAGCAAGTTCTCCGCCAAGAACTCCATCACCTGTAAAGGTTCCAGCCTCTCCATTAAAGATTACGAAAATTCCAGCAAACGGTTCAATTATGGACAGAGACCGATCTTTAATGTACCGAAGTTCACCTGCCCTTAAAGAAAACCTACCCATGATCACGTCTCCTGATCGGATCGATCGCAGTATGGGTAATCTAACCGAACGAGCCCAGAATATCATGTCGTCTCTGGATTCTACGCCATTTGCATCACCGATTAAAGAACAATGGCGAGCCGGTCACAATAAAACAGTTTCCCTCTCATCAAACATCCCGACTCTTCGTGGAACTCCTCGTGATCCTTCTCGTCCAATAACATCACACGCAAATAACTTGAATGGAACTATCAAATCTCCTCAACGTCTTCGTCTTCAAAGTCCACAAAAACTTCGCGAACGTTTACAAAATGAAGCCAAAGCAATAAATGAAGCAGAAGCTTCTCTTCAAAATGAGTTGTCTAAGATTGGTGAAGAAATGGCAAAATTAAATGCTGTTTCTGCTATTCCTAGAACTTCAGATATTGCTAGACTTTCTGAAGCAGTTTTATTGTTGGAGACGAAAATTCCAAATATTGTGAAAGATTTGAATGAGAGAAATGATGCAGTTAAGAAGGAGTTGGAAGTTAGTTTACAGGCGAGCGAGTTCAAGGTTAAGGGATTGGATCAACTTTACAAGGAGAGTAGTGCGGAGAATGAGTTACTTTATGAGAAGTTCAATGCAGAATTGGGGAAGATCGTTAAGGCTTTGAGAGCGAGTAGAAAGGGTGGTGCTGGAGGTGAAGATGGGAATGGTGTGGGTGGAACAATGAGTGCGAAAGAAGAATTGGTTACGAGAATGAGAGAAAGTAGTGAGGAAGCTGCGAGAGTTAAGAAGGAAAATGCTAGGTTGAGGAGAGAGGTTCTTACATTGAGGACTTTGTTGAAGGGACAAGAAGGGGCGGGGACTGGGGCGCCTCACTAGGTGTGAGGTGAAGATGAGGATTCGAGAATGTGGTAGGGGAATTGAGGAGAAGAGGTGAGATGGAGGTGACAAAGTAATGAATTATGCCGTTATGTCGTTATGACTTTCTTTTTCTATCGGCGGCAAATATTGTTTTTTTGTCGAATTTGGCATTGTTTTGGTTTGGTTGTAGCTAAACTGGCAGGCGTTCGACCCTTCTTTTTTCTCGATATACCCATAGCATTCGTGTACTTGGGGTCTGGGACGGGGATGGACGGACGCATGGTTTGGTCATTATCAAATGGGGGGTATTTGCATTTAATAGGGGGATGTATGAATGGACGGATGGATTTTGTTGAATTTTTGTAGAGGGATGAATTTGTTTGTGGTAATGGATTGTGTGATGGATTGATTGGAGAAATTATTTGGATGTGCATGCATGCATAATGTTATGATACCAAAGTTTATGTTTTTTCATGTTTGGAGGGATGAGATGAGTAATTATTTGGATTTGGATTGTGGGAGGGGATTGGGGAGGAGGTGAGATGAAGTGAAAGGGTGGGAGTGTTGGTGATGAAGGTGGAGGTGGATATTAGCGAATAAAATAAAGGGGTATGGAAGGGGAAAAATAAGATTAGATGAGATGAGATGAAATAAATCAAATACATTTTTTGTGTATATGTGTGTGGATGTGTTTATGTGACTAGTGAATTAAATGAGATGAATATGAATACGAACTTGAATATATACAGATAGGTACATATCTACTTCTCACGATTACCTACTTGTTATCTGTTACCATGTACTGAGAGAGAGAGAGAGAGAGAGAGACAATTCCTTCCTGTTTTTTATTTAATATTACTAATTGATTAGACTTTAGACTTGTAGTGAGTACCTAGTCAGTATTCTTCTGATGAATGTAAATGATATGTATGATATTACTATTCTTTTCCCTCTTTAATTTTTCCTCTTTAATTCTTCCTCTTTAACTTTTACTCTTTGAGTTTTTTTTCTTCGAATTTCTTCTTCTTCTTCTTCTCTTTTCACCTTACGAGGGAGGTTCTTATGAGGGAGGTTCTCATGAGCACCTCACAAAGTAGCAGTGTTAGGTGGAGGACTGGTACATGTCGATATAGTGGTCCACTGTTATTGATGGTATGGATGTGGTTAGTATATTATGTTCTATAATATTGCATTGATGTTATATTATGTGTATGTGTATGTGATGTTTTTATGGTTGTAGGGGAGGGGAAGGAGGAGGAGGAGGAGAAGGAGAGATGAATTGAAAGGGATAATGAAATGGAATGATAATAATACGTACGGGTAAAGAGGAAGTTGACATTGGGCTTCCGGAAATCGTTTCTGCTTTTACGAGGACGGGGATGATGGATCCGGTTACGAGGCTGAAGACTTGGTGGTGGAGGACTGTGGGGTGGGGGAGGGTGGTTAGTATGTTGGGATGTTTTGGGAGGTGGAAGGGGAGGAAGATAAGGAAGAGTAGGAATTTTTGGATGGGGTTGACGCTGGGAGAATGGGCTGAGTGGGATGGTTTGTATGTCTATCGTGAGCGAAGTCTGGGTTCTTCCCCAAGGAAACGGCCCATTTCACCTTGGCACCGGAGAATGTGGTGTATATGCCGTCCTACTGGGAAACGCAATAACCAGGGGCGAAAAATCAACAAAACAATGGAGAAACCATACACACCTCTCAAAATACTAGCAATTTCTCCGGAGTGACTTGTGATACTCAACCAAGTATGATCATCACTTCCAAAAATATCGTCCAAAACCTTTTTACTTCTGATATCCTGATCGGTAGAAACTTCACCCTCGAGTGCTTTCCAGAATGGATCGTTCTCTGGGAATCCTTTCTCGATCTTATACGAGGGGAAGGATTCGTGAATGAAGGTGCGGTTACTTCTCCGATCACATGTGTGACCTGAAATACCTTCTCTGAGAAGTTCTTTGACTAGTGGCTTGAAAGGACGAGATTTCGGAAGAGGGAGAGTGGAGAATGTGATGTTGGATGTTTGGAGACAGCGGTAGAGTGGAGATGTGTAGTAAGATTGTGGAGGTGGGATGTTTTGGAGTTGGATACGGGAAAGCCAGTAGTTTGCGGCTTTTTGAGCTTGAGTGATCCCGTTGGGATCTAAATGAGCATCTGCCCACTGAGGAATGTTAGCTTCTTCTTGATAAGTTAAGAGGTAGGTGGTGGACTCGTGGTACGTACTGTGACAGTGGCATTACCATCCATCTCGGAATAATAGCACTGCAATCATTAGTTTCATCCCACGATTAGATTTCATTCTGATAAGAGGTGCATACATTCCACTACATTACCGTTAGCGAGTAATTCATCAATATATCTCAATCAAAAACTTACAGCAGGAGTTCCATAATAAGTCTCAGCAGCATTATGCCATCCTTCACCATGTCTCCCCATGAATAAAACTTTATAGTTCACATTCTTTTTCGAGTTCTTATTTAAGGAAGTTACGTATTTCTCAAATCTCTCCCATTGACTTGCATTTTTAGAGGTACGGGAATCCGTAGGATAAGTTCGGTTTAGGAGACCAAAGTTCCATTGAGTCTGTGAATCTGATTAGCCTTGAAAAAGCTAGTACGTGTGTAATAAATGATGTTTATCCAAAGATTATAAAAACAAAATATAAAAATTCATACATAGTCGAAAGTCGACGGAACAGTCGTCGCTTCATCCTGTAAAAAGAACCCCGGCACGGCTGTATAATTTATCCAACTCTTATCGTGAGATCCAGAGTTCGATCGAGCATCATAATAAGGAGCTGGCGTAGCATGAGGAAATTGCGCACCCGGAATCGCACCCACGACCGAGAGAAAGCTCAAGCAAACCGTTAAAGAAAGCATAATGACAAACGATTCATATGATGGTTAATTTTCAAACCCGACAACTGAAATATTCCATCGCCAAGAGTAGGAATCCATCGTCCTTTTATATACAAATATAAAGACCTAATCTCCATATGTATCTAGGATACATATTGAAATGCATCTCAAAGATGATAAAAAGTAAATTGTCTCTGCAGGTACAGAAAGTTCGGATGAAGTTAAGGTCCTATGGTTGATGCACGTGGAGGAGAATATCCCACTTGGCGTATTGGGGAAAAGCGGGGTATATCCATGAAGATGGATTGCGGTGAAATGCTTCCCTTGTGGTGAGTGAAGCCGAGGGGTATAACACGTGACGAATCGATGAAATGAAAGAAAATGAAGACATTTTGTATGTTTTCCTTCCAAGATCTGCAATGGTTTCCACAATGTATGTTCACTAAGTTGTGTCGTTCGAGTCGACAGTAGAGACCAAGAACCAATGAGGTTTAATTCACGTGACTTCCCAAAACATTCAAGACCTCGCAGGTCCTTGAAGTTTAATCGCGCTCGTACAGTCGATGGAGAGATATGCATATCATTGTTAACTGTTAGAGTTCAAATGCAGAGCGATGGATAAAACACACTCATGATACTGAAGGAATAAACTCGCCTTATCGGGTAAGAAAATCCATCTTTCATCTTATTCGTCAGATAAGATTAAGATTTCACTCGAGAATGAGGGAATTGTAAGCAAGCGTATTTTATACATCTCAATGTCATTCACCTGAGCGATTGGTTTGACATGAAGTGATCTAGACAACAAGACTCCTCGGTTTCCAGATTCCTCAATTGAATTACTGTATACGTCTGAGCAGTTCATAACATACCCAGTAATAACGACGAAAACCTTCCACTCTGAAAGAATGGCAACCTCAGACCCGTTCCTCGATTCCTTGTGGGATATGATTGAAAAGATGACTCATTATTTCAACGCAATCCACATACCTATTCTAGGAGAGTGGTCCTTCCGATCGATTTTCCAAATCGGTTTGATATGGTATCTTGTGATCAGGCTATCAACCCGAAGTACTCAGCTTGAGGAGTACAGGAAACGACTTCAAGATGCCGAAGCACAGATTCAACGAGATGAAGCATCCCGGAAAGAAGTTGCAGAAATAGCTTCGGATCTTAAGGAGATGTTGGAGGGAAAGTCAGGGCTACTTGAGAATAATCATGAGCTGGCTTCAATTGTGGAAAAAGTAGATGGGATTTCATTGGCCACGGCTTCCACACAACAGACAGATATTTCAAATTCGATATCTTCTCCGTCTGGTCCAAAAATGACTATTAGTCAAGTAAGTAACACAATTTTCCCCTGGATCACTATCCAGCGTTCAGACATTCAACATTCAACATCCAATATCCAACTAACATCACATAGCTCTACATCTACCCCATAAAATCTCTCCGAGGATGTTCTCTCCCCTCGGCCACCCTAACCAAAGAAGGATTTTCCTACGATCGCAAATTCATGCTCCTCCGCATCCGCGATCCCAATTCCAAATGGGGTCGCTATCAAAATATGCATATATCCGAGTTTCCAGAAATGGCTCTATTCCACACCTCCATCACAGACTCCACTCTTCACGTAACCTATCACGCCCCCTCTTCCTCACCCCAAACCCCAGTCTTGCCCCACCCAACCCTAACCATCGACCTCTCCCCCTCCACGCTCTCCCGCCTCCCAGAAATCTCAGTCACGATGCACAAAAGCCCCATGACAGCTTACGACATGGGATCCACCTATAATAATTGGTTTTCTCAATACTTCAAGTACCCCGTACTTCTCGCTTACGCTGGCCCCAACCGACGTCTCGTTCTCGGCAATATCCCCGGAAAACCCGCAACTTACACTCCTCCCACTCGCCCCCTCCTCCAAAAAATCCCTCTCCTCAATTCCCTTCTTCCCACTCCCAAACCCCCCTCCATCATCTTCAACGACTGCGCACCCTACCTCATCATCACACAATCCTCTTGTGATGACGTAACCAGCCGTCTCCCCTCTTCATCCCCCAAAATGGACATTACAAAATTCCGCGCCAACATTATTATCTCCGGTTCCCCCCGCCCATACGATGAAGATTACTGGGGCGGTTTAACTTTCTCCTCCAGTTCCGACCCCAATTCCAGTTCCCCTAAAGAAATTCTCCTAACTGCCAACTGCGGCCGCTGCGTCTCCCTAAATGTCGACCATGAAACCGGCACCCCCGCTCCCAAAGAAAAAGAGGTCCTCAAACTCCTCATGAAAGATCGACGCGTAGATGACGGCATGAAATATAGTCCTATATTTGGGCGTTACGGATTTCTTGGAAATGGAGATGTGAATGAAGGAAAGGTGTTGCGAGTTGGTGATGCAGTGCAAGTTTCGAGGAGAAATGGAGAGAGGACAAGATTTTGTAGGTTTATTTTCTTCTTCTTTCTTCTCCCGGATGGTACAAACCCCCCAACGCCCAAAACCCAGCTAATCACATCCATTCTTCCACCCACCAGACTGGCCCGGCCTTTCCACCTAACCCAACACGTACAAGTTCTTGAGAACTTTATTGTACACATGCACACAGACAGCTACCTACATAGCCTGTCTAGTATATCTAGCAAGCAAATTAAGAACCTAGAAAAGATGAAACAAAACTATAAAAGGTAGCTTGGAAAGAAATTCGAATGAATTGTTTATTCTTATAATTTTCCATAGAGTGTTTTGTTTGTAGGTTAGGCAGGAAACTTTATTTACTCGCCCATCAGACTGACCTGACTCTGCCTTTCTGTTCAATCCGTCCGTTTAATCCATCCTAATAGTTCTCACAAAATGCTTCATCACATGTAGATATCCAGCTCTCCACCCGATAGTACCTAGTTAACCCAAAACCAAATATCAAATATCAAAACGAAACTCAAACATCAAACATCCAATACCTACACCAACTCCCTACCTCCCAATAATTACCTCCCTACCTTCCTACCTTCCTATCTCCCTAATTCTCTTACTTTCTCTTCTCTCCTGATGCACATATGAAAATCATCTCTTCCATCTCCATTCCCCACATGTGACGGATTCTTTATTTTCATAAAATGTCAACCTTTTCGAAAACTTCCAAACAAGTGTCGCGATATAATTGCGTTAGGAATAAGTGTTATAGTTTCTGATCTTATTTGCGATCATGGTGATGAATTTCCTTTATTCTTTTTTTAGTGAGGATGTGATTTGGATTTGACTACAACATATCGACCAACCGCCCCTTTTCTATAGGCATCAACTGTCATATCAAAGATGATAGTGATTTTAAATCATACAAACCATCTTCTCAGATAAGGTATCGGATTATATAAGCATTCATTCATGTAATCATTGAGGAGCCAGCTCTCTCTTTCAGGTCACATAGTGTCGCATGGTTGGTTGTGATGTGAATTCATAGTCGAATTTGTGATCTTGCTTTGGATACCATCCAGGGGTTGAGTTTCTGGTCGATTGAAGATGCTGGGTTATAGTGCGTGATATGTATGTACATTAGTGGCCGAGAATACAAAGTTGAATGGCGGGATTGAGATTTTTAGTTTTGGAGAATTTGTATGGAAGGAGGGAAGGGGTGTGTAGATATTGCGGTGAAGTAGTTGGAGGGAGAGATATGAAAGGAAAGGAAAAGATGGTGAAGAGAGAGGTATATCTTATAGAAGAATATTGTGGGGGAAAGTTAATGAAGATGTATGAGCACTTTGGAAGGTTTTGAGGCTGTGGGATTGGAGAAGTTATATAAGTGATTGGGGCTTTGTAATGATATGAGATGAATGAATGAATGAATGAGAAAAGTAGATGATATAAGAAGGCGATGATGATAATTTTATAGTAAAATTCAGAAGGGGCTAGAGGTCACATGAGTCATACTTGAAATGAACTCAAGATGTTGGGGAAGACTAGATGTAGCGAAACTAGGAATTGAATCAAGTTAATCTAGAAGCTAAGTTCTTATGGGGGAGTGCAAGTGTAATGGACTATTGGATTTATGTCAGTATTAGTGCGGAGATGGTTTTGAAGAAGTGGGATGTAAGATGGAGTTGAGTGGAGTGGAGGAATACTGTAGGTACCTGGTTTGTTTGTCGAAGCTTGTAGAAAGAGAGAGAAGGCGGAAGTAGGAAGGGGAGTGAAAAGGAGGAAGGGAAAGGGAGGAGAAGGGAGAGAAGAGGAAGAAATCCAGATACGGCATGAGAAAGAGAGTAAAGTGAGGACAAGTAAGCAGCAAAGAGTTAAGCGAGGTCACTAGTAGCTAGATCGAGGTTAAGCGAGGGATTGTCTCCCTCTTATTTTCATTATGAATATGATTACAGGAAAATAGGAAAGAGTGTAGATATGGCATCATAATATCGGGAAAACCCTGTAAAAATTCTGTAAAGACTCTGCATCACAAGATATTGGTTTGGTTGTAGACATCATGAACGAAAATTTACAGGAAATTACGAATTCTCTTCAGTAATTCCATCATATTACTTGGTTTCGCAGGAGCAATTATATGATCACAAGCTCATCGGATCATTCGGAAGTCTCATAATCTTTACTTATGGAGTTGAAAGAAATTTAGTCTCCGAGGAAAGTTCACAATCACTGAGATCTTAGAGATTTTGATACATATTTCATTATTCAGAAGAAACATTCCTATGCCTTTTCATAAATGGAAAATTCAAATAGTATACTTAGATAGTATGCTAAGACAATATAGAAGATAATGTCACTAGTGATACTTTTGATAAACACCTAGACACGCTTTAAATGGGCGTATACATAATAGTACTCTCGTACCTCATCAAAAATTCGTGATTGTAAAATCATTAGGTATCCCACGCTCTTATGTCCCAAACAGGAAAATAGAAGCGAGGTACTGAATCATACTGCTCAAAAGCTGGAGTAGTGAAGGAAAAGTATAGCAAACAAGCATATGCAGAACTATAACCGTCGAATCGTTGGGTAGCATACACTACTGATTTCCCAAGTGAAAGAATGTGTGAAGAGCCAACAATATGACTCAAGAAGTAAACATTAAACATTAAAATGCACTGAAATGGCCCATCAAAGTCATGTCAAGAAGTCGAATATCCTAAGAATAGTTGTAACGTATATTTTGGCCGAGGTGTCAACGTAAGATAGTCACAATGTCAAAAAGATCCTCGAAATCAAAATCGACCCATTCCTCCCTTTTTGCCTCTTCCTCTCTAGTGCCGAAATCGCCGAATGATGTATGCGCTAGTCTCGATGCTATCAAAAGAAGCATAATTGGTCAAACCAAAGCTTATTTGGGCAGGATGCTCTATATGTTCAACATTCGAAACTCTGTTATCATCGGTGGATGTCGGAAGTCGATAGGAGTCATCGGTGAAAGATAGGAAGTTAACTGAGGTTAACGACGGTCGAGTCATTTTCTTCTTCTTCCACAGAAGCAAGAGCTGCTAAGATGTGAGAATACTATAATTTCGAAAAGTTAGCTCAAGACTTCTTTTCCTTTCTTTATCGATGGGAGGGATGGAAATGTATTTGATGCTAAGGGATTGAATGGAGTAGTTTGATCATACATCTACATCTCGTGAGAGTTGCATATCTTGAAGAACTGCGGCGATGAAAGCATCCTTTTTTTGATCATTATTAGCTCTTAACTATTTGCTTCCAAACTTTTCTCAAAACAAGTAAGTAGAGAAATCAAGATTTAGTGCAGATAACAGATACAAGATAGGTAATGTCGAAGAATTAAATGCTAATGTGTGACAATTGTTTTATTAAATAGTGTACATATTCAACACTCGTTGCATCATGCTCTATTAGTTACCCTCCGATCCTTGATGATCGTAAACTAAAAATTAGAAGTAGCCACGACAACATAATTCTCATTCTGTACAAATGAGCTGAAGTCCCCGGTCTATACTCATTTAAATATCTTTCTTGAGTATCAGAATTGTACACTTATTGTACAAATTTTCTGAAACCGAGGACCAGATATTATCGGGAGTGACAGTATTATCCCAAGGTTCTTATCAGGAACTTCTTGACAACCAGACCGTCTCATCGAATTGGGTGTTTGGTGGAAACGTAGTATTATGAAGCACGGGCCATTAAAACTTCTCTCCTGAACTAAAGGATTCGAAAAGGAAATGAAATGAAGAATTTGTACTTTCTCTCGGGGTCAGGAGGAGGGGGATAGGGAAGGAAACGAAGGGGGCTGTGAATCTTATTGAATCAGAAAGTTCGAGGTTGTGGAAGAGGTGTTGAAAAGAAAACAGAACAGTGAGTGTGACAACTTGCATATGTGGCGTATAGTAGACAGCAGGAGTAACAGGAATAATAGAAAGTGACATACCATATCAAAATCTGAAGATGAACTGGTGACCTGACCAACAGTTGCGTGGTTATTTCCTTGATCATGAGCGTTTTCGCGCATGGTGACAGGACTGCCACCTAAAGAGGAAGATGGACTATCTGTAGCACTAAAGACTTGAGCATTCGCAACTACAACACTTGAGATAGTGCTTGTAGGGGAAGTCGTAGTGGTGAGAATGTTGCCTGTCAAAGAATTCAAACCAGCTTCAGCAGTTTGAGGCGCATTGGTGACCTCAATAGTTTGAGTGACCTCGACAGTTTGAGTGATCTCAAGAGCGTGAATGACTTCAGCAGTCTGAGCATCTCTAGTGACTTGCGCAGCAACAGTGTTGGAAAAACTTCTCAATGCCATTGTAGGATACTCGATATCTCTTTCAGCCATCATAGCGTCATAACGGGCTCTTTGAGCTCGGAGTGTAAGAGCAACATGTTCCTCAGCATTTCGATGAACGAGACGAGGACGATGGCTCGTCGAGGTTGGATGATCACGTAGAGAATGACTGGCTCGTGAATGCATTGGAGCCGGATGAGCAGATTGATTCATTGGAGCTGAACGACCAGGTTGATTGTTGTTGACCGGCTGGTTCATTGGAGCTGGATGATCAGGTTGGTTCAACGGAGCTGGATGAGCAGATTGATCATTGTTGACTGATTGATTTATTGGAGCTAGATGACAACTTTCTTTAAAGTGGGATGATTGACCCATTTCGTTGGCAGAAAAAAGTTATGACGGGAACTTTGATGCTTCCAATAAATCTGCTTCTGTTTTCAATAGTATGGTTAGTATTCAATCCAGTAAAGAACACCAAGGCTTCAGGATTCTTTAGTAACACGTACCAATGCGAGCACGATTTATTCTTTCGGATTTATGTCGTCGCAAAAAGAATTGAAGTCTCAAGTTCTTTTTGTGGACGAGAAAGGGGAATGGGACTTTGGGGAAACGTAGGGATTTTATACTAATTGAAAGTAGTAAGCGACATTGGCGTATTTACCACAAACTGTTGTGTTGAGGGATAAAATCTACCAATCACTTGCCCAAGACAGAAAGAAGATTGGAAAGGGAGAGAATGGTAGGTATCAAATCTCGCGCTATCGACGCTTGTGTGCGTTTACAAGTGTGATCACGTGTGAAAATGCTCTAATTGAGAGAATATAGCAGTCCGTCTCTTCTCTGGTGATGATCATGAAGCTAAGTGAAGAGCTCTACGCCTTTTCATTCGTTCACTTGGATCTTTTCCTCGATGAATTCCACTTTTCTTCTCTACCCAAGATCCATCCAAGTGGTCCATTGTATCTTGGTGATGATAGTTGGAATGCCTTCCTTGTTTTCTTATACCTGTTATCAAGATTCTCCAGGAAAGGGTTGAGAAATTTGTCAATTTGCTTTAGTGTCGGGGTGATCTACTAGATTCTGTCAAAGATATCGGTACATGAACTGCCAAAGGCACGGATAATTTTGTCAAGGAGCAAATATTACGCGAGGAAAGAACTACGGGAAGAGTGGAAGTTGACACTCCCAAAATAGAACACGAACGACAATGTCTTTTGAACGAATTCAATTCAGAAGTTAATACCAAGTGAATGAAAAGGTGTTTCGATTTGAGGATTAGTATACGGATAATTGTCGCATTCCTCTCACCGACATACTCTACAGTATTCTTGAATGGTTGTCTTAATCTTGAATGGCTGTCTTGATCACGCCATATCTACTGGAAACTTAAATTTGGCCATTCAATGTTGGTACAGGCGATCTCGCGCTAAAACTTTCGCTAGACCTGGGTTAGGTGAGTTGGAGTGAACCCTTTTTTCCAAAAACCACGTTTTGACATCCTCCCTCTACAATCAGATATCCAAGTCGACTGAGAACTGATTTTGATCATAAGAGTTTTGAACATTTGATATCTTCATAATTTACACAAACAATTTGTTGCACGCCGAGTCTGGGGTACATAGGAGTTCATTCAGCACACTTCGGTTAACAGCTCGGCATTCCTCCTCCGCGGCGATCATAACGCTAGTCAAGAGCCTCACCGGCATCCAGTGGAAGATGATACCTTGAATACTAGTAGAGAATGAAACTAGTAAAGTTTTTGACTTGTAAATACATTTTAACATTGAATAGGACCGAAAGTAAAGCATATTTCGATTTTATAGTCATTGGGTGAGAATCTTGAAAGCAGAGGGAAAATGATTTGATTTGCTTGATTAATTATGTTTGCTTGGGTCAAAATTCGTGTACGTCAAGCCGTAATGATGCTAGACGAAATTTGTGATTGCAAGCTGAACATACACACAATTTCCTGGCATTTTGTATTCTTTCCAGTATCGAAACCCAATACCCTGTGCATCAATTTCAGGTCTCTGTATTCTTGACTCCGGTCATCCTGATAATAAAAACACCTCTTTTATACCACACCTGCCATACGATCCTTCAACACAAGCAAAAGACTATCAGGTATGAACACCTGTCCGTACTGAGATATACTGACGTATTGATAGTCTACTCCTCAGAGCGTAATGTAATGGATGAGATCAAAAATAATACTTCAGATGGAAGAATCACATCATCATCGTCATCACGTTTACGATTGCTCACACCGACCATTTCGAGAAGGCCCCTTCAGTATGGGAAACGTAATAATGAGTCAGATTGGACACTGAACTTTGGCGATCAAATTAGTTTCAGTGGTTAGCACACACACCCTCTCTCTCTCTACTTTTCCATTCTACACAGCCACCTTCCCAAATAGTATCCCGTCCATCATCCATTCCCCCTCTCCGGTAATCTCCTCTCTTCGAACGCATCACTTCCCATCACCCACACCATATCCTGAGTAATCTCTACTGATAATTTACAAACCCCAAATCATCAACCTCAACATCACCGAATGATTACTCAAAACCTCTCATTTCAAACCGCATTCACACGCACTTTACATACTCAAGTGAAGGATAAGTTCATCCAAAGATGTATGTATAATTCACCCGTCCATCCTATTTATCCACACTCTACTGGCTATGTTCCTCTTGTATCTACAAAGACCCTCGAGGCAGAAGAATTATGTCTGCTCATATTGTTGTTGATTATTCACCATTGATCTTTAATAAACCCACATCAATCATCAAATCTTGCCTCACATCTTAAATATTTAGTTTAATAAATGATAAATTGACTAGCTAATCAATTCTATAGATGAATCTTTGGATTACCCACTAAACTGCATGTAACAACCGCAAAGTGTGATGTATTCATATCCATATCCATGTAAATATGCTTTGCGGCATCTTCTTATGTCCGCCAGATGTATGATTGATCCATTTCATCTCAATGTTGACGACAACGTCATGAACGACGACTAGATCACCTGCCAAGACCAAAAAATCGCATGACCTAATATCACAAAGCCCGCTTCAGTAAACCCATATTCCTCCCACTTCAATTTATTCTAACCTCCAATCTACGTTCCATCATCTGGTAAGCAAGCCTCGCAAACCCCCAGCAACGAAACTGAATCATAATATCACACTCATCTCTAGCCAGACACATCTTCATATGTGCCTCCCAAAGAGCCTCCCCCAACCTCTCCTTAAGTATCGTCATATGACGATCCAGATCCGTGTGCTCATCCAATAGTTTATCATCATCAATGTCCATATCCTCCAACTTAGAAAATCGACGCATCATGCTCACATCAACCGCAATTTCCAGCTCATCCAAAACACGAGTACATACTCTCATGAATGAACCCGGAAATCCGATTCTTAGTAGTGGTTCAATGAGGATTCTGATCTTTTGCTTGATTGTGCTGTCGATTATGCATACTTGTGTTGGGTTTCTGACGCTTGTGATGCAGACTACTGTTGCCGCAGTAAACATGATGTATTGAGGAAACTAGTATATAATAGATTAACTTTCAAATCACGCAAACATATAGAAGGAAAATATGAAGAAAGAAGATATGAAGAGACGTGACAAGATAAAACATACCCAAGCACTTCTAAAAGCGTCTGATTTGATAAAATCCGCGTATATCGGAAACTCATGCTTCCAAAGTTTTTCCTCGTGTTCTTTGAGGAATCCTCTAGGACGTGGCTGCACGATATCGCAAACGTATTGGCACGCATTTGTAAGCTTTTCGATCATTCCATCTCTCGCCGCATCGCCCTCGGGTACGAGAACATAAGTGCGAAGGAGGAGAATCTTGGTATGGTGATATGATAACCACAATTCTGATCTTTGACGATTCTGTACTTCATCCAAGTCCTCGAGTTTCGCTTGAATTAATGATTCTGCTTTCTTCTTCCAGGCGGGAAAGGTAGTGACGAGGTATGATTGAACAATTTTCAAACGTTCTTCAGGTTCGTATTTGCGGAATCCGTAGAATTGGTCGAGGATGTTGCTCGTGATTATCGCAAGTCTGGAGGGTATTTTGGTAAGTATGTTCTTGAAGGCGGCAGGAGAAAGAAATTACTTACTCAAATTGAAGGTTAGATGCAAGATTTGTGGAGAGATCATCTGGAAAAGCAGGTACGAGATTGTTGGGTGTAAATTGTCTGTCGTTGAGGGTCCTCGGCAACTCCTAATTAAATTGTTAGTCGACCCTTTAATCCAAGTATACTCATTATGATATTATATCCATCCATATCTGACACCTGCAGTACAAACAAAGGATAGCTGAAATTTTAACGTCTGCCATGATTGTTTGAGTCGATAAATCAATGTCAACTAAACAGATTATCCGAGCCCCCATGTATTCGGAGGGCAGGTGCTCTTGACTCGAGGAAAGGGGCCAGCATCTCGACAAAGTAATGACAAAACAAATCTACCAACAAAGAGTATGCAGAACTTTGCATGTTGATTTAGCAGAAATTAATAGCTTACCTGATCAATATCATCAACCTTGAGACGTTGTGGTCTATCTAAAGCATAACTCAAAAATTTATCCAGAAAGAATGCTGCCCAGAAAACTCGCTTTTGACATTCCACCTCAACCAGGTCAACAACACCTCTCTTGCTATAATGTCTGTTCAAATCAAGTGTGAAGATCAAGCCGGCGACATTGGAAAAAGAGCTCCAGCATTGGTTGATTCGACCTCTAGCAATAAGATAGTAGCATTGGAGAAGTCGAGCTTGAACGCTAGTTAATTGTGGTGGACCAATTTCAGATTGTAATTGTTCTTCAGCCAATTGACAGTTGAGCATACTATTGAAGATGTAAAGGTTAGCAGAAGAATACAAGGGAAGGATAGTTACTGACCTGTTGTCCACCCATTCTGAGGTCGCACAGTAAGTTTGGGCTGAAGCAAAGATCATGAAAACGATGGCATTCCTGCTTTTAAGATAATCTGCTGCCAATATATCACCACCAACCTCTAACAACTCATCTGTCCAGCGTTCAACACTAGGTCTGTGTAGGAAGAGTATACTTGGGGAGAATTTGTCAAAATAAATCTGAACAAGCTTAGCACCATCATCGAGACTTGGTAGAGTGACCAGTCCAGGTCGACTGATAGGCATTGGTAGATCACCGTAAGCAAGAACAGAGACAGGTGCGTTTGGATCAAACATTTGCTGAGCTTCTTGGGACGGATTAGCAGTTGGACTATTATCCGCCGACTGTTGAGGTTGTGACATCATTTGATTGGGATTTAGATTCTGGCCGAATGAACCTATTACCGGTGGCATTTGCGCGTCTTCTCCTTCCATTAGAGATTTATAATTGGCCAGATTAGATCCAGCAATGAAGACTTTGTGTTGAGGATCAGGTCTGTAGTTCGGATTTGGTTGGATTTCAATCTTTCGACCACGAGCGTAGTCGTTATCATAAGAACAACGCTTTTTATCGTGAACACAGTTGGTGCATGGCAAATTACCGGAGCACTTAGCTTTTCCTCTGCGCGACTATTAGTAATTTCAAACAAGTTTTGTAATTATCTCGAAGTGAATATATGTTGAATTCCGGGGGGTGAATCTCGGAAAAGCTTACACTCTACATTGGTCACAGGCTTGAGTGACCTTGCTTCGCTCTTTAGTTCTTTCATACTTTTTACGCGCAGGTTTAATTGAATCGCCTTGTGGAATGTTGGCTTTAGATGGGATTTTGTCCGTCATGTTGAAGAAAGTATCCGGATATTGGTGGGAATCTTCAAGTTGCGTGTAGTGGTTGTAATAAATACCCGCAGGTTGTATATTGCACTTGTAAAAATGAGGAAAGAAGGACAAGAGAGCCTGGGGAGATAAATAGTAATTCAGAAAGCAATCTGCGGGCTGTTTTGGAACGATGCCGTATTATTTGAAAAGAAAGATAACGGCAGAGGTTGTGACGAACCGTGGAGGATAAACAACAAAAATCTCTAGCGAGCCAATCAAAATTTGACAATTCCAGATATCGAAGGTGGAATGACTTGATATACACGAAATACTGTTTCAATTCACTGTGTAAAAGAAGATACGGATGTACAAGGAACATGAATACCTACTCAGAGAAATTTCCTGATGGTAACCAGATTCGATTTACTTATAATTTGTTGACAGAGATTTCCCATTGCCTATATGTCTACGTAAAAATTGCTGTAAACATTAACATTCAGTAATCGCACAGAACACTTTGAAGAGACATCAGTTTGTGAGATAAATGAATTTGAAATAGTTCAAAAATACTGGAAGGCTTCTCATATTCAAAACGTTTACAACTAATAGTCTTTTCCGAACATAGTTCAAGTATCTTCTTGCATCTTCAAGTATTCCATCATCTCACCAACAGAAAGCTTCAACTTTTCTATATCATTCGACTTGACGCTTTTCCGGTTGCCGAATATGTCCAATTTCTCCCATTCACTCACCTTGTCGACACTCTGATTTACTAATAAGTGAGCTGAATCAATCACTTCCTTGACTTCCACCTTTACAGACGAATTCGAAGTCTCAAACTCGCGACCATTCTTGGTCACCTCTGTTTTTTCGAGATCAACCCTTTTTACCCCAATTGCAAAGCCTTGATCCGTTACAAGAGCTTGATCAAGACAATAGCTCTTGATAAAACAACTAGCAATCAATCCAGTTACAGCAAATACACACATGGCGAACCAGATAGTCTTAATGGACGCTGCAGATACCAGCCTAAAGTCTACAACTTCCGGATTTTCGGGCGGTAGAGCATTAATGAGTGGAATTAAAGCCACTACATTGGCAGCCACCTGTTCGATCGTGTATCCAAATTGTGATACAATTATGGCAAAGTTTTGAGTGGTCCTGAGTTCGGCAAGCATTCTATTCTGTAAGATGCCACCTCCACTAATTACTGTTAGCACAAGCTCAATATGGAATGGTAATCAGAGATCTTAATAGGAACAACTTGAAGAGCACTTGCTTACGCGAAGTGGAAGTGAAATAGAGCTTGGGAAAACACGGCATGGGGATGGAGAGCCAATTTGAGTCACTGCTTGTTATGCAGAATAACAAAGAGCTGCACTGGAAGGAAGGAGTTACCAAAACTACAAGAGCCCAAACTCAAACTTCGACAGCGGCAGATGTGGCGCAGGGAGGAGAAGTGACGCCGGTTTGAATGGAGATATGTGCAGGCTATCCAGGATAAACTTCAATGGCAATACTTGACGAGTGACAGGAACAAATGCGACAGCTATGCAATCACTGGTACTGTCGAGAGGGCGCGAGAACGCAGAAGAAACCATAAAAACAACCACTGGGCAATAAGTCAAGGAACAAAAGCCGAAATTAATCGAAGAACATACAAACAACACAAGGAAAAAGACAAAACTTACATTGCCACCCCAACCGTTTGACCCAACGCCCTAAAGAACGTAAATAATCCTGCTGCAGTAGCAGCATCCTCCTGCGGAGCCGACGCTTGAATAGCCAAACTCATAGCTGGATATAAAAGTCCCATACCGATACCACTTCCTAGCATCAAAAAAACCCACGTCACAACCGGTGTTCCAACATCAAGAAGATACAGCATACCACAACCAAAAGCTGTTAAAGCCCATCCGAGCCATAGACTCCAACGATATTTTCCTGTTTTTGCAGCGATGATTCCCACAATCATGGCTGATGGTACAATAGTAAGGGTTTCTGGAAGGGCGGCTACACCTGCCATCATTGATGTATAGCCTTGGACAGACATGAAGTAGAAGGGGGCATAATAGACGATTGACCAGAGGATCATCCCATGTAAGAAAGTACAAAAATAAGCAATTGTCGTTGAAGGGTTGCGGAAAAGTCGAGTTGGTATGATGGGTTTCTTTGCAAACATCGCTTCATATATGCAGAAAATGATAAGTCCAGTAGCTCCTATCAGCAGCGGAACCAAAGTATGCCAGCTTTTCCATGAATAACTCACTCCACCCCAAGTCAAGGGGATAAGAAATGAGGTTAGTGACCCAACAAAGATAATCGATCCGATGTAATCGATTTCAGACAACTTCTCCTCTATTGTTCTTTCTTTCCTTTCCAATTTCAAGAACCAAACACATCCTACAAAGCCTATTGCGATTATGGGTAGATTGAGGTAGAATATCCATCTCCAAACATTTTCATCAGCCAAAGTACCGCCAATTATTGGTCCAGTAACACTACCCAATGCCCATACCACTCCTAAAAGAGCCATTGCATTTCCTCTTTGGCGTAATGGTACCATATCCGTTATCAAAGCTTCTGTGAGGGCAAGAATGCCACCAACACCACTTCCTTGCAGACAACGGCCTACTAGCAGAGAAGGCATACTTTGTGCTGCTCCTCCCAGACTAGAGCCAATTGTAAAAAGAAAGAGTGAGAATAAGAGTAACGGTCTGCGTCCAAATACATGGGATAGTGCTATGAATACGGGTTGCCAAATGGTAGAAGTGAGGAGGAAAGAGGTACCGGCCCAGAAAGCCTCAATTGCATTTCCATTGAGTGCTTCAGATATTGTCTGTTTTCGGATTCAAGTGTTAGATGGGAGTTAAAGGATGGAAATGATCGGAAGATATAACTGACTGGGAGAGCAACTGCTATTGTTGTGGCATCAAGTGCGCAGGCAAGGTTAACAATCAATATAGAAGTACACGCAGCAATATATCTCTTCCCTGGGGCAAAGACTGCTGCTGGCTCATTACCAGCTGTGATAATAGTTGTTGATGCCATGTCTGCCAGACCATAAGATGTCTTGAAGTGTTTAGGTCATTGGTGAAGATATTACACAGATTGAGATTTTTGAAAAGGATACAATTTGAACATAAAATAATGAACGTTCCAAGTGTCGTGGCAATTCAACCCTCAAATGAGAAAGTTTCTTCAAAACAAGCCAGACCTGCAGGCTCAACCAAGAACTTACGTGAACATATTGTTGATAAGTACATACTAAACATGAATGAATTGCTAAACATTTAAGCCACCAAAAGCAGAATCCAAAGTTCAAGCAAATGAAACAGAACAGGATCCGAAAGTTTAAATATATGTCCACGTCGGTAATAACGTTTCGGGGTCTAGCTGGAACTCAAAATATGTTCTGGCAGCACAGATTATTGGCAATCAGAATACTGGAACTCGAATTGCTCCAGACTACCGATAAATGACTTATACTAAACATGAAAACAGCATTCGTCCAATCGGTACTCGGAAAAAGCCTCCACGCCTTTTTAAAAACAGATAGCCACAGAGTTACTCAACCACATAATCCAACACATATTATTAGTGTGTCAACCGCTGAAGTTATAAAGCTATGAGCATTCTAAAAGACGGGGTAGCGGATGAGGTCACCTGAAACTTATCTAGCGAAGTCTACAGAGAGTCTGAGGGTAGAACTTGTGGCTTTTGTGTGAGAACAGATGGTCCAAGAGCCGGAAACTTCGTATTGGTTTGCTGCACCTCAACGTTCGCCATTCATGTGCCCTTTAATCTATATAACTGTTGCCGATACTCTCGACTCAATGAGAAGAGCTTTGGATCTTCCTTCAATTATCAATCTTTATGCACAAAATTCCCTTGGGCTTCGTCATGAGCGGGTCACTTTCCAAAATTGATCGATAGACACATTGGTGGTGACTTGGTGCGAATCACCTCTACCTCTCCATTTACTCAATGGCTGTCTGGTCCCTATTTGGATAGACCTTTGAGATACGCAACATTAAGACTTGTTAGAAGCAGTAAAAGATGCATCAGCGAAATATCATTCCTCGTGATACTTGCAAATGAAGTTCAAATACACTTCGGGCCGTTCATGATCACGTGTGAGGGGAAGCAAGCCTAAACCCTGTACCACCCTTCCCTGAACCTGAACCACCCTGAACCTTTTTGATAGACTCGAGATTACCATCTTTGGCAAGAAGCTTCCGCTAACAATACCTAGCTGGGTCCCCTACTCGAATGTTATTTGTATTGTTTTGCCTAAATCTTCTTCTAATATCAAACTTTCCCATGATATCAACATTCTTCATGCTTTCAGAAAATATTCAATCTTATCGAGTGATGAGAGAATACGATTTCATTTTTCTACATTCAAAATCTAGCTCATCATCCATCATTTAATCCTCTGGGTCTAGATTCATCTATTCCCCCTCCTCCCAATTCTGCATGATGAAGTGACTGGAAGTCTCCACTCTCATTCCTAGTCAACCCCCTAGTATCTGCATTTCTATCTTCCAACTCATTCTGTCCTCGACGTCGAATATGACTCAATGTCATCAATTCTACTGCAGTTTTATTTTTTGATGCCCCACTTCGACTTCCACTGGAACCACTGGTGTTAGGGTCTCTATCACTCGTTATGGCAGATCCATATAGACGACGAGCTGATGCAGTGATGCGATTCAAGAGTGGGCGAAAGTTTGGGAGACAAGCGCACACGATTGCCATTCCAACATGAACCGCCGACCAAAGTTCTGCTCGTGGAAAATCGACATTCTGACTACCAGGAGCATATCCAAGAACGACTCGTACAACACCTGTTACGATGACACTTTGATAATATTAGTAAGAACTGAGACGGAAGGCGAATGTAGGTATACATACAAACTTCCCAGAAGGAAGATACCTCCAACCAATACTTTCTGAGAATTTGGCATTTGAAGTCCAATTACTACACCGATTGGCAAAATCAAAATCCCAATATCAATCACGATTTCAACCACACCCATGACCATCCAATAGATATTGAAATTAAAACACCATCCACCAGCCGAAGGTCCAATCCAGAATCGATTTGCTGGAACACAACTGATACTTGTCGCGATAGTACCGACCAACCACCATACGATAATAAACCCCATAAAGACCCAAAAAGACCGGACCAAACTCGAAGAGAATATCCGACGATACATGAGAAGGATTGAGATTTTAATAGCCGTCACGACTGAAAAGTAAAGAATGGCGCAAACCCATGACATTATAAGATATGTGACATGAGGTCTATAATCGAAGGTAGGAGAATCGCGATCGATGGTCTCGCCGCCGCTTGGATCCGACTTCACGCCTATGAAGATTGATTATGAATATGCTGGATACCTAGGTACTGGTACTGGTACTATGAATATTCTCTCACATACCATAGAGAAGAAGACTACCCGTGATAATCAACAATATGACCCCAATCAAGATCCACCAATCATCAGCCGCAGTACCGGCTTTCGTTAATTTTCGTGTTAGGAATCGAAGAATGACGGCGATTACTGCTAAGATGGTAACGACAAGAGCAGCAGTCGTTGTATGTTGAGAATTTTCATTCTGCATGACTACTTTTCATTCATGGAGCGAAAATATATTATCGATCGATAAAATGAACCCCCCCAGAGAAGATTTCTACGAAAGGTTGGATGGTCCAACATCTTATCATTTCTATATCCAGGTGTGTACCACAGATTTGATCATCAGCCGCTCATAGATAGGCAGGTACCGTTACGAGAGCGAAATTTATGTCAGGATTAGCGGAGTCTGTACAACGAATATATGTTGTGTTCCTTGTTGAAATCCAAGAATTATTGTTGGCGGAGAATGGAGGATGGAAAATGATAGGTCGATCATGGTTACATATATATCCAAGTATTTTTCATTTCATCCGAGGAATTGAGGTAGGGTATATCTTCTGTGAAGGATCATCTGAGAATTGAATACTGAATTATATGTGGAGTAGTTTTGGTTGATGTTACATATATACCTAGTCAATATCCATTTCATACATTGTAGATCTCTCATCTCGTTCTTTCATCTACCAATTTGGGTAACGAGTGTAGTAGGCATCACCTAAAATCTACTCCATACGCCCACCTTCTAGATTTCTGATATATGTAGGGTAAGGTAGGTAGGTAGTAGGTAGGGTAACGAGGGTAGGACAACTAACCGGTGAGAGGAATTGAATTAGAATCATTTTATGTTGACATATATCGTAAGATCAACCATTCAAACACACACAGCAAAACGTATCTAATCGGATGGATTTCCCCACTTCCTATCATATTTTGTGATACCGACGACATGGTTTGACATCGTCCACATCATTCCTGCTTACTCTCGTCCCCCCAAACGATATTCATGGATAAAGACGAAACAAAAACCGACTAATAGGATCTACATCCCTCTATTCCTTCAAGCCATTCTCATCACACGCCAAGAGTAGTTAGACAATACGAGGTAGTAGTCATTATCCATCATTATCAATTATCACATTCTTTTACTATCCCATATCCCACTCGACATCTTACGTTACTTACATATAACGTCGCATTTCGGTCAAAATCGGTATTATCATTCATATGCCGTGTATGCCGTGATACCATCTACCGTCTTCCAATCAAAATTCACTTCTCACCTAGGTTCTCCCAACAGGAAGGGGAGAATTCAATGCCGTGCCGCAATCATACAGGAAGCTCTCCACTTTTCTATGGGAAGCAAATCTATCTCGTTGAATTGAGCGCTTAACTTTTTCACAACCATGACAGCTTCTTGTTAGAAATTTTATTTCTGAGATTTTTCAATTGTCGATCTGTTTAAGAAGCTTTGAGATACTTTACTTGGCTCCGAGTTTGTTTATCGTGGTATCCTTCACTGTTTTGTGGAAAAGAGGAGGAGAACGTGATCTTTCTTTGAGATAAGGACCAGGAGGTTGAGAGTCACCTACTTACCTACCTACTTACCTATATTTATTTGATCTCTCCAGGCGGATTTTATAATTCATACTTCAGTTTCATATCAGTAGTATCACTCTCTTCATACATCATCAACAAGATGGATTTCTCAAAACCAATGCATATCGTCATTGTAAGTACACTATCTATTCATTCATCATCCAATGTCGAATCCTAATTCCTATCATCCATTTATTTATTCTCTTCCTTCCCTTCCCTTCCTCCCTTTCCGTTTCGTCCCGTCCTGTCCCGTCCCGTCCCGTCCTGTCCCGTCCCGTCCCCTCCACTCCCTCCCTCCATAGTCTTCCACTCCCCCTTCCCAACCCTCCCTAACCCCTCCCCACTAACCTCCCGCTCCAAACCTAAAGATCGGCGGCTCCAGCACCGGCCTCATGCAAGGCACCATGCTCTCCCACCTCCCCACCCCCCACACCATCACCATCCTCGAACGACACAGTTCCTCGCTCCGTCCGGACCTCGCCGCCGGTATCACCACCTGGCCCGAATTCGAACTCTTCATGAAATTTCACGACCGCGTTGCTCAACCCTGGTCTATTCACTCTCCCACTGTGCAATTTTTAAATAAAGATGCCAGTGTCAAGAGGGAGATGAAGAGGGAATTAAAAATGACGAGTTGGAGCGTAATTTATTATCGTCTGAGACGGAATTTTGATGGTTTGAAGAGTGAATTTTGTGATGGGGAAGTAGTGGTTCCTGAAGCTGAGGGAGGAAGAGATGGTGATCATCATGATGAAGAGGAAGAGGAAGATCACCCAAAAGGGAAAAGCCAAGGAAAACGTGAATTCTTAACTGGAATGAATGTTACATCTCTCAGCAAACTTTCCGACGGCGGCGTCGAGATAACCTACGAAAATCAAAATGAGGCAAATAAAGAATTCAAAATGAACGCCGACATGGTGATACTAGCCGATGGAGCAAATTCCTCTCTGAGAGCAAAATACTTTCCAGATGTCAAGAGAGAATATGCAGGCTATGTAGCATTTCGAGGAACGGTTTTGGAATCCGAGGTTTCGGAAGAGACAAAGAAGATATTCGATCCTAGTTTGACATACTTTTCTTACAAGGGTGGATACATACTTTTGTACGTTTTAGTTTTCTTTCTTTCTTTTTTTCACTCAATTTCCTGCTCGCTTTCCTTACTTTTTGACTTTCTTGACTCTCCCTATCTCCCAACCTTCCCATCTTTAATCCCCTAAACCTCCAACCCCAACCTAATAAAATATCAGATACATAATCCCCGGTTCAAACGGCTCCCTGACTCCTGGCTCCCGTCGCTACAACTGGGTATGGTACCACCCAATATCCCCCTCTCCCTCCCTTACCTCCCTCATGACCGACACCAGCGGTGTTCTCCACCGTACCACCCTCCCCGCCGGCCTCATGAACCCCACAGCCTGGGCCCCCTACCTCACCCTCTCCCAATCCATGATGTGTGCGCCCTTTGCAGAAATCATATCCAAAACCCCCTCTCCCTTCATAACCGCCATTAACGACTCTGCGCTTCCATGCGCGCTACTTCCCGGTTTCGATAACAGAGTTTTAATCACCGGTGAAGCATTAAATCTCATGCGTCCGCATATGGCTCTTAGTACGACTCAGAGCGCAATGCAAGCGTTGGAGTTGGAGAAAGTGTTCACGGGAAGTTTAACTCTGGGAGAATGGGAGAAGAGAGTGGTGAAGTGGGGGAAGGTGGGAGTGTGTAAGACGAATGCCTTTGGGCTTTGGAATTTGAGCGGAGTGGGAGCGGCATTGCCGTGGGTGTTGAGGTTGTTGGGGGTTTTGGTGGGTATTCTGTGAGGGGAAAGGGAGAAGAAGGGGAAGCGAGAGAGGAAAGGAAACGGGAAATGAATTGGCTGGAGTTGCCGTGGAGTTGAAATGTCAATCCTCCACCACCATGACTCCAATCACCTTTCCGGGCTACGAACCAACAAAATACAAACGATACGATACCACAAACCCCTCATGCCATCCGCCCAAAAATCAAAACCTTGAAGGAAATTCTCCACTTGCGAAGCAAAAGCCATTCAGTCAATCAATCATCCAACACCAAATACCAAACACAAAGAAAAAACGCAGCAGAATACCAACGACCAACATCAAAAGTTACATACGATAACATACCAAGCATAGATAGATATCCCATTTCTTCGCATATCATAGGTATTTTTTTGCAATTCTTTTTCTAGCTATTTATTTATTAGCGAACTAGCTAGGTAGATAGTTGCTATGTATCAAAAATACCAATTTATTAAATGTGTGATGTGATGGTTGAGAAGTTTGATATTTGTGTTTATCGTATTGTGTTTGTCGTAGTGTGTATATACATATATATATATATATATATATATATGTAAATGTATCTATAGATATATGGAGACTTTACTCATCCAGTATTTCAAGTGTTCAACCCGGCCTAGCATAGCACAGCATAGCACAGCATAGCATAACATAACGTAGTTCTAGAAATAATAATAAAGAAGTTGATTATTCTGTCTCCCTTTCCCTCTCCTTCCCCTCCCTCCCCCTTCCCCTCTCACTCAAAGATCCCAAAAATCCCTAAATACTCTCAACTCTCTCAGCTCTCTCAACTCTCTCCAACAACTATTCATACATACAAAATCCTAGATCACTCCAATCATCATTTCCCACATCCATCCATTCTCCATCCAATTCGAAAGCTATAAAACAAAATCTTTCTCTTCTCGATCCCACTCTTTTCCGTAAACTTTTTTTTCTTCTTCTCCCCCCTTCATCACTTCAATCATCTTTTCCCATCCATCTTTTCCCGTCCATCTCCTCCCCCTTTATCACTCCAATCAACATTTCCCCACAGTCCAAACTCAACCCCAAATCCAATCCTCTATCCCCCTCCTTTCAAAACAAGAACAAACAAACAAAAATCAACTCTGATATCAAAGCCAACACCAACATCAACATCAACACCAACACCAGCATAGAAAGTCCTCTCTCTTTACATCCCCCTCTATCCCTCTATCCCTCTATCCCTCTATCCCTCTATCCCTCTATCCCTCTATCCCTCTATCCCTCCAACCTCCCTTTAACCCCCCTTTTCCTCAAAAACAAAGAAAAACAAGAAAAAAGAAAAAAGAAAAACCTCACCACCCCGCCACCCAGTCCACCCGCCACCACGGCAGTGGCTCCCGGAGGGCCAGCGGAGCGTCATTTCATGTCATATTATATCATTTCATATCATTCACCTCTCCTCTCCTCTTCTCTTCTTTCAATTTGAAACTTCCGATTTTTGATTCTTAATTTTTGGTCACATCTATCTCCCTTCTTCTTTACTTGAATTTTCTCTCTTTTTTTTTATCTTCTCTTTTCCATACCATAAGCCATCTGTTTATCTAGCTATCTAGCTGTCCGCTTTTCCACCTCTACCTCTCCCTCTCCCTCTCCCTCTCCCCTATCCTCTCCCCCCTTAAAACACCCCCCTCAAAATCTCAAACCCCAAACAATAAAACCCCATAAACCCCATAAACCCCATAAACCCATAAACCCATAAACCCATCCCACCATCCCACCACACTCTCACACCACCCCAAAAGAAGAAATTCACATATACACATGTACACCCATCTGAATTCTACTCTATATAACTTTACAAGAAAGATCTCTTCCACCCATTCCATTCCTCCCCTTCAAATCAAAACCAGATTCAGATTCAGATTCAGACTTAGTAATCTCATGTATGCATCGGTTAATTATATTTGTATTAGTATTTGTATATTTCACTTACCTACTTATTATACTAACTTGCATATAGATATAGATCTACTCGCACTGCACTCACACAAAACAACACTACACATACTCACACAGCACTACACATCCTCACGCATCCTCACATATCCTCACACATACTCACTCACACACATATTCACCCAACACCACACAACACAAAAACCCACTCACCAATCACCATCACCATCATCATCACCAATCACTAAGAACAAAAGATTCAAACAATCCAAAAATCCCATCCATAACATTTAAAAAGGAGTATCATTATAAAAAAAAAAGAAGAGGCTGAACTTAGAATATCTCCCCTCTCTCATCTCACAAATCCTTCTCTGGTTTTCCCTCCCCTTCCCATTCTCCTTCCTATCCATTCCCTCTCACTATTTTCAATAATACACACCCCTCAACCCATGCATCTCCCCTGACCACTCACTTATCCACCATCCACCATCAAACAACGTATTGTACGAAGGATCACTTCTCTTCTCTTCACTGCACTTCACTGTCCTTCACCCCACCAATATATGTATATCGACAGCAAGTCAAATCCCCCAAAATTACTAACATCTTATTTGTGAAATCCCATCCCAGTCCATCCATACCATCCATCAATATCCATTGTATCCTCAAAGATCCACTTCGTATATCTGACCACCCATCCATCCAGCCATCCATCAATCTATCCCCTTTTAGAAAATTGTTTTGGTATCTTTCCTTTGCAAATGTAACAACATCTCTTCAAATTCCATAATATACGCCCAACTACCACCACCAATCCTGATATCTATCCCCTCTTCCCCAATCTTCATCACTCTCACCATTTACATGATAATACAACCCCCACAACATCCACTTTCCTTCTCACCCTCACTAACCTCCATCTTTCCTTGTGGCCCACCATTATTTGCACCACTAGCACCACCTGCCGTGTAACCAGCCATTTCTTTATTATAACGTCTGATTTCGCGAACAATATCGTAGAAAGCGTTATCGACATTAATTCTCGATTTCGCCGATGTCTCGATAAATTTGCATCCGAAATCATCTGCCAATTGTTGACCCTCTGTTGTGATTATATGATTAGTCTCGATTTTTTATGTTGTATGTTGTGACCTGCGACATCGGGTCTCACGATGTAATTTTCGAATGAATGGAATGTATGAATAGATGAACAAACGAACAAACAGACATACCTTGTTTTGAAACTTGTCTCTCACCCTCCAAATCACATTTGTTACCAACGACGATAATAGGGAAATAATCCTTATCCTTAACCCTCAAAATTTGTTGTTGGAATGTCATGATTTCCTCAAAACTTTGTCTGCTGGTAATGCTGTATACCAATAAGAAACCTTCACCCGTACGCATATATTGTTCTCTCATGGCGGAGTATTCTTCTTGTCCAGCGGTATCGAGGACATCCAGTAAAGCGACCTCTTCATCGATAACGCATTGCTTACGATAGGAATCTGAATTGATGGAGAAAACACGATGTTAGTCAAGCCACGCGATAATAGGAATAGAGAAGATGAATCTTTACCTTCAATCGTAGGATCGTATTCATCGACGAAATGACTTTGAATCAATTGAATTGTCAAACAAGATTTTCCAACTCCTCCTCCACCCACTACCACCAGCTTATATTCTCTCAAAAACTATATAGAGGAAGCGCAAGTTAGTCAATTGATTTTCGATGCATCAAGCTACGTGATAAATGATAAGAAAGGAGAAAGAAAAGATGATAGGGTACCTTTGAAGCCATCTTTAATGATTAAAATGTATGAATTGATGTGATGTAGTTATCATCAACTTAAATTCCCCTGAATAAAAAGCTTCGAATGCTTATCGAAGTCGAAAGGGGAAAGAGTTAAAAGTTTAGGGTATCGAAATATGGATTGCGCGACAAGGTGACGACCCTGTAAGGAAAAGGTTGAAATGTTTTGAAAGTAGGCAAGAGGTAAGAGGTAAGGTAAGGTGATGGGTGATGGTTGATAGATGGTGATTGATGGTTGATGGGTGATGGTTGATAAGAGATTCGATAGGAACCAAGAAATTGATGGTTGATATTGAAATTGCTTTTCTTTTCTTTCAATCGTTGGTAATGAGAAAAGGATGATTTGATGATTGATCAACCGTGAGCGTGAGGTAAAAGGTTGAAGGTTGTAGATGTGAAACGACAATTGATATCTCGTTGGAAGCTTTGGGAGAAATTGATCAAATAATTAAACCGACGACGGAACGGAAGATAATTGGAAATTGGTACAAAAAGCCGTTATTGAATTTTGGTAACAAGGTGGAAAAAAAAGATATAAAAAAATAGTACAGGCGAACTTGTATGAAGTGAATGGAAGTGAAGTATGAAGAAGTTAAGTTAAGTCAAGTGAAGTAAAAGTTAAAGTAGTGAATGAATGGAATAATTTCTCTTTCCTTTCTCTCTCTCTCTCTCTCTCTCTCTCTATTTTCTCTCCTTAATTATTCAAATCTCTCCAGGGCTCTCTCTCTTCTTTTGCCTCTTCTTCTCTCTACTCTCTCGTCACTTAATATTCTACTGGTAAGTTGAGAATCTCTTGTTTTTTCGTTTCTTCAGATCAGACCAGTCTGAATTTTATGGTGTAGAAAGTTGATGATTGAAAGTATCTTTTCGATAGAGACCAGAAGATAGTGTATGGGATGGGAAAAAGAATGTTGATGTTGATGTTGAAAGTTTAGATGAGGGAGATGATCGCTCGGACAAAGAAACTTTGATCCTTTCTTCTTATTCTCTTAATGAACGAAGAGATATTTGTGCACAGAAGAGGATCGTGCTTTTCTTTTTATTTTGGAAGGAGATTCCTTTTCACGGGAATTTATGATATGATGGGTAGGTATTTGATATGAATATGATATGTATTTGATATATATGTATTCGATATGTTGAATGAACACCAAGTCGTAAAAGATGGAATAATGAAGGAATGAATCGATTTAAGCCGAATAGGATCAAGTAGTTTGATAGATTTTACGTTCCAGAGGAGGGGATAACCAGTAAGAAGTCGAAGTTACAGTTTAGACTAAAACAAAGTATATCAAGGGATATGAATTATGAAAATACAGTCTGTATATTATGGCTGCTGAGATCCTTTCCGAGAATCTCGAGAGCGTCGAGACGATATAGAGAAAAGGGTACTGGTAGGGGTTCAACTCGTAGGGTCGGTAATTAAAGTTTGAAATACCTAGTAGGTAAGGGTACAACAATATATGAGTGAAGCAAGCTAATAGCTAATAGCTAATAGCTATCTATCTATCTATCTACTGGTATGAACTTGTGAAGTCGGAAAAGGGTATGAAAGATGAGGTCAAGTTCAAAGTTGGAGGTCTCAGGTCCCAGGTTACAAGCGTAATGCAAGCACGTAGGAGAGAACCAGAGATGCAGATGAATCTCCAAAGAAAGTTTAACGTGGGAATCCTGTGCAAGTCAGGGCAAGCTTGAAAAGCAGGAGAGAGGGAAGAATGGGGCAATCGTGAACAGACCTCACCAAAGAATAAGTGACTACGAGTAATAAATAGATGCAAACCTTCAACTATTCGCTGTGAGAGGTGGTACGGAGTCCAATAAAAGTATAACTGGGACCGGGGAGTGTATTAAAGGATAACCGAAGTCGCGAATGGAGATGTAGAGCACCGCTTCATCAAGTGAGAGTGCTTACCGGTTACTTTGAAAGTGGAGATGTTTTTAATATGATTTAATGATTCGATGAGATCGATATTGGAGATTGGACATTGCATTCGAATTATCCAAATGGAGAAACAAAATAGATGAATTGGCCAATATTTAATCCCGTCGTTGTATCTTACTATATGTATATGGCTTTTCATTGATACATTGTTGTCATCCACATAGATTTATATTGATTGTGATTACTACCTAGGTATGTAAGATTCTAGATATATTTCTAATATTTCTAATATTCCAGAATAATACTCCAGAAGAGATAGGAGCATCTAGGTATGTAGTTCAGCTCCTTTTACTCTGTACAAATCAATGCTCAAGTCACAGTATACTTACGAATTATCATCTAATTCAATTCATTTCCCTTCAATTCAAACCAACCCACTCATCAAAATCAACATCAACATCATTATCAAATTTACCGACATCTCTCATCTAAAGATCTAATAACTATCTAATCACCACTCTCCCATCCATTCATCTCTCAATCATTCATCCCTCCATCCCTCCATCTCCTCCATCCAAAAAACCCTCCAACCCAATCTAATCCAATTTCCCACCCATCAGAAAACCACACCATTCCCCATTCAACCCCGGTGTGAAAAATTATCCATCAAAATTCACAAACACCACTCAGACCACACCCCCATCTAGACCCGGTCAGAACAAATCAGTCAGCTCAACCCCAAGCGCAATCGTTACCTACCTAGTAGGCTAGTACCCATCTAATGTCCCATCCTACCCGTGGCTGAAAATCCCACGAGGTACCCAGGTGCGTTCGTTCACGACTGACTGTACCGTACCTCGCCACGCCTTCACATACCTACATGATACCAGGAATCTATCCACAACAAGCTAGCTGAACACGCTGCAAACGTGTATCGGTATTTCGCAATCAATTGACTTTTTCATTCGTATTGGTGATGCAATATCATACAGTACAATGGCGCACAACTACCTACCAACCTACATCATAGATGCAACAGTCTCCGGGCCTCTAGAATTTTCGTTTTTCGTGTGTGCGTGACATTCTGGAATCCTATTGTATTCGATGGCATGATAATATACATTCTGTACGCTTACTCTCTCGATATCTTACTCTGTACATCATATCACATCACCATCACTATACCTCACTAATCACCACACTAATACTACCTACTCACCCACCTAGGTGAGCATCACCAGTCAATCAATCAATCATCCATTTCAGGGATTAAGCGCTCTCCCTCCCGGGCGTTATAATTCCAGCCAGCTACGTAGTTCAACCCCTTTCATCACTCACATTCTAGAAGGAAGATTGAAAAATTGGAAAATTATTCCGTGAGGAGAAGAGAAGTGTGAGACATATTCATTATCTCCTCTCCGTAAAAAAAGTAAGTAAGCAAGTAAGTACAGGTTGTATCCTTCCGTTCCCGTTCCCGTGCACGTTACACCTCACCCTATGCTTATCGTTGATACCTCACCTCCTATCTACAATATACATCTATCTCCATGCAAATCCATCTGTCAAAGAATTATATACTATTCTACAATCAATAGAAAGGCTGATCTCAAATTCTAGAATTCTGAATTTCTAAAATTTAACTCTCTCTCCAGAGCCCCTCCCCCCCTCACCTCTATAATCAGCATCGTCATAATTACTATTCCCATCCCATCAATCATCAACCTCAATAACAATCTGAAACATAACCACAAAAGTTTCAACTTATTTTCTCCCCTTCCCTTCCCTTCCCTCATCCCATCCCATCTCATTTCACATCACCTCTCCCAGAGCCCAAACACCCACCCAAACACCCATTCAAACACCCACTCACCCATCCACCCATCCACCCAATTCCCAAACCCTCACTCCAATCAATCTCCTCTCGAACAATCTCCAATTTTCATTTCGCGACCCTCACTCCCTCACCAACCATCCCTCTCTCCCTCCATCTTCTAGAAGCAATTGATAGATTAATTTCCGATTCCATCACAATCACATCACATCACGTCAATCACATCACATCACATTACAGTCACATAGAGTAGCGTCATGTAATGTAAGAATACATCGTAACTCTAGGATATGGTTGATACCTACTAGGTACTACCTACTCTGTATTCTGTATTCTGGAAATTCATACATACTTCAGCTCATACATACATAACACATATAAATCTCATCCCGTAAATCGCATCTCACACCTACACCTACACCTCATCCACTTACTCAAATCCAAAATCCAAAACCATAACCTCCTAACCTCTAAAATGACAATTCGCAACATGATTCACAATAATTTTAATCCAACATCGATACACAGATTAGAACGGGTCTTGATCTTAAAAACTTTGATAGGGAGCCGAATTTTCCCCCTGAATTTCGACGTGTGCACGGCTAGAAATTTAAACTATGTACAATGGATTTGATTTGATTTGATTTGATGTGCCCCAGGCTCAGGGGGAAGGGGAGAAAAATATTAAAATCTAAGAATTTTAACGGTTATCGGTCAACGGTCTACGCAATCGCTTGATTATTCATAATCTGACAGCGCTTCTATCGGTACTTTTACCCTATGATTCCTTGACTGGTGGGAATCCCGAGAGATGAGATGAAAGGAGGGGAAATTTCAAAATTTAATATCCAACCAGGAAAACCCTTATTGAGATGTTCTAGAAATTGTTAGGGAAATGCTTTGGGGCAAGAGAAAAATTTAAGAAATATCGCACTCCTTGTGTTCGCCTTCCACATCATCTTCTCCTTCTATCAAGACACGATGTCCATTGACATTCTTCTCTACTTCAGCTATCAAGCTTTCCAAGTATTCTTGATCCCTATTAAATGGTCAGTGATCGAGCAAAGGGATGGTCATTGACATTCAAGTGATCTTTACCTTCCAACTAAAGTAACGGTATTGTGTGCTTTTCCCCATCGAGGATAACTTCCAACCTTGATACCCTTTGGTTCTACTTTGGCAGCCAATTCTGTGAGATATGGTGCTACAGCACTTTCTGACATGGGAGTCGAAATCATAACTCTACAGATACCCTTGCCTTCAGGATCTGTCAACCGAGGAAGTAAAAATGGTTTCAATCCTTCCAACAATCTTTCGAAAAGTCTTGGGATACCAGGTAAGATATGAATATTGCCATTGATACAAGCAACTGGAACCCAAAGATCTTCACATGGGAATATAACTTGCTTTGACAAATCCCGAGACTCATCTAATGGTAATTCCACCATGCGAAGTTTAGCTTTCTTCGCTGGAGAATCTTCATCCCAATTGAAGTTTGGTTGAGATGGATGAGGCTTAGATAATCTCTTCATCTTTTCATAAGTTTCTTGATGGAGCTTCAGTTCAAGTCCAAATGCTCTTCCGATGGATTGATAAGTAATATCATCGTGTCTAGATTTTATTAGTTGGGATATATGAATATTTGGATTTGGTTTCAAACGCACGTTGGACCAATTCCTCCAGATGTGACTATAAAATCATAATTGTTTGACATACGTCTAACAGCTTCAATGATTTCATCCTCATCATCTGCAATAACCTCGATACGCTTGAGATTCTATTCAATAGTCAAAATCTCCTCCTTGAGTATGCATTCTTTGGATAGGTATCCTACTATTCCATGCTTGAAGCAAAACTTTGCAAAATAAGCCGAATTTGTCTGCCAGTCCTATCAATATTCAAATTTTCTTCCATATTTATATTTCGAACCTACATCGACCGTCTGTACAGAAGCACATATATATTAGCCATTATGCCCTTGAAATCCCTAATAGAATAAACTCCAAATCATCACTGACCTTTCCCCCGAGTACTTCATCTCCAATAATCAAACATGCTGCCGTATGAATGGTTCTCGAGTTACGTTCGTCGGCGGATACTGATGATGTCATGACTTTATTTGAAAATGTATATGCAGCGGCAGAATTATGAGCGTAATTTGGTAAGGGACGAGAAAGATGTCTAGCTAATTGAGAGAAGCGGGAGAACATGGATGATGGAAATATACTGAGTGAGAAGAGGGGAAGGAAAAGAAGAAGAAGAAGAGAGGTCTGCGTAAGAATCAATGGGGTTATGTATTGAAGTGGGGTTGATCGTGAGTGAGGCTTTAGTGATTGAGTGGAATGGAGCTTCAGAGGGGTGTTGTGAACTTTTGGAGGGTACGCCAGGGTTGGATTTATTTGGCGGGGTTACCCGCGTGGATTACGAGTACGATGAGTTACGGTACTACCGGTGCTACCGGTGTTGCGATGCTTTGGAGGGGATACGAATAGATAAATGGCATGGTATGTTTGAAAAGATTCCGATGTCATATCGTACGTCAACTATCAGTTATTTGGGTAGGTTAGAAAGATTATAAATATAGGAATGGGACCCGGAAATATAACTGAATCAACTCTTCTTTCATGAAGCTCTTTCATCTCCTCTTCAATTATCACTTATATCTTTCTTATCGTGGATGAGAATGCTGATAAATCAGAATGTCAGGACATTCCTGTGAGTATCATGATATTAACTTCAATATTCATTGTCTATGATGACTATGATGACTGAATCCAGATATCTCATCTAGTCAACGGAATTCAAATGGTTCTTTGAGAGAACTTGATGATAGTCTGATTGGGGTTGAGTCAATATATGTACTCTATCCTCTATCCTCTATCCTCTATACTCTATACTCCATACACTTTTTCTCCATCTCCTAAGGTTCCCTTCACCTACTCTGTATACAGACACCACCACATCCAAGAGGAAAGGTTATGCTCAAACACATCCAATCTCCGTCGGATGCTCGGATTCTTCCAATTTTCCACCTTCATCGTTAAAAGATGACCACATCAGCCTTGGTGAACGGACGAATAACGCAAGATAATGAGGAAAATTCATGAACTATTCAAATTTTCTTATTTTTTCGAGCTTATCATTGACATCAAATTATATATCGGAACGGATTTATTATATCCAAGACAATCTCTTCACTCTAACTCGGAGTTTAGACGTTGAATGCGATTAGTCATAACCAAAAAAAAGTTTGTTTTCTTACCAACAATTGACATCAATTATCGATTACCCATATCACATATTGGTATGACGAGACGTCCGACGGACCCGCTCAAAAAGCCGAATCCCATACATTGAGCTGTTACTTGTAAACAAAATATAATACTTTTTTCTTTTGCTCAAGTTTTCACTGCTTATTATTTCTAACTTTGAATCCTCTACTCTTCTTCGAAATTTTTGGGGAAGCTTTCTTGAATATCTCATTAATTATGTCTTCAGGACCGGCTCATAGAGTTCAGTCAGCAGTGGTCGAGTATGGATTTCCTCAAGGGCATCTCGGTCATCTTACAACAGAGGAAGAAGCGGCTTTGAATAACTTCAAGGTTGTTTGCGCAGGGAAAGGTTTGTACAAGCCTGGAAATGGAAGTGATGAACCTGCATCACACGAAGATGCTACACTTCTGTATGTATCCGTTCGAGATTCTTTTCTAAGCGCCTGCTGATGATTATCTTAGGCGATTTCTCCGAGCGCGCCGGTTTATTGTGGTGGATGCCCTCAAACAATTCTCAGAGACAGAAGAATGGCGAAAAGAGAACGAATTAGATCAATTGTATGAGACTATCGATTTGGAACATTACGAAGAAACCCGCAGACTTGTAAAGTCCCCCATTCTCAATGTTCATTGACACCCTCCCTAATTATTTTGATATAGTACCCACAATGGACAGGACGACGCGATCGACGTGGTATTCCTGTATACGTATTCGAAGTATCATATTTGACTGGTAAACGAATGTCTGCATATGAGAAATCCGCCGTCGATACACATACAAAAACCAAACAAGATGGCAAAACGTCTGGAAAGTTATTGCGCTTATTTGCTTTATACGAAAACCTTACACGATTTGTTATGCCATTATGCACAGTTCTTACAGATCGAGATCATCCTCGTACACCCATCACACAAAGTAATAATATTGTTGATATTTCTGGAGTTGGATTGAAACAATTTTGGAATTTGAGAGGGCATATGCAAGATGCAAGTACTTTGGCTACAGCTCATTACCCGGAAACTCTTGACCGCATTTTTGTAAGTTGTGTATAAGATGGAATATTGGAAACTCACTAACTGACATGTTCAGATTATTGGTGCACCAAGTTTCTTTCCAACAGTTTGGGGTTGGATTAAAAAATGGTTTGATCCAATTACCACATCCAAAATCTTCATTATCAGTCACAACGATGTCAAGTCAACTTTAGAAGCCTTTATCGAGCCTAGAAATATTCCCAAGAAATATGGCGGTGAATTGGAGTTCGAATTTGGAGATATGCCTACTTTGGATCCGGCATTAGAAGCAGTTACCACTTGGAATGGAGCTGGCTCATTTCCAGGAGGGCCCATGTATTGGGTCAATACCAAAGATCAAGAATCTATTCAAGCGATCGCAGTTGGAAGTAGTGAGAAGAAGGAGAGAAGAGAAGAAGTTTGCACAATTAAGAAAACTCTCAAGGATAATGATAATATGGGAACAATCGCTACGGATGCAACCACCGAAACTCCATTACCCGTTCAATCATCAACACTCGAAGTACCTGGCGCAACACCCGCAGTCATAAATACTACCGCCGGAACCAATTCTCCTTTGAATCAAGGAATTCCAATAGATGAACTCGCGATTGAAAATGGTGAAGTAGTCTCTAATTCAAGACCTGAATTGGAAACCTTTCACACGGCTCAAGATGGATTAAACAATTTATCCATTATCAGTCCCCCAACAGACGAGGCCCTCGTAAATGGAACAACAAAATCTCACACCGCAACAACGGCAAATCCATTAGATCCAAATCTTAACCATGATGGAGCTGGAGCCGAACCAGTAGTAGCAGCTGGAGAATTGTCAAAAGCAACAACTCAACAGGAAAGCATTCATGACGAGGTACCAGCCTTACCTATGTCTCCTGTAGCGGGTTCGGTAGCTGGTGGTTCTGAAACTTCGAGTACGCCGGGTGCGAGTGATAAAAAGGACAAGAGGAAGAGTCTTTTGGGGGGTTTAAAGGGAAAATTAACGGGTCATCATTGAGGTGATGTTTGAACAGTTGGTCTAGAGTGAGGGGTAAAATGGGTAGCGAGGAGATAGGGGGGCTGTTTGCATGATGGCATGTTGAGAGCGTGGAATTTATGTGATGGGATGGGATGGGATGAATGGAGATGATGAGACCAGATGAGACCAGATGAGATGAGATGAGATGAGATGAGATGAGATGAGATACACACGGAAAGTAGATACCTAATACCTAATACTTACACGTACGTACGTGATTTGGAGTTGGGAGATATATTATTGTTATTGTTACTCATGTTGGTGGTTGGTTGGTTTGCACGTGTGGTGAAGAAGTACAAGAAAGTACCAGCGTGTTTTATTTAGTATTGGACAGAGATGAAGAGAGGGGAGAGCAGAGCATTATATACACACAGCTCAGCTCAGCATATAGCGTTGAATACCTATTACATTACTTATGGGATTGCATACACGGTTTTCAAGGAGAGAGGGGAAAGAATTATGTGAATTATATGAATTATCATATTTTGGCTATTCATGAATTGTGATTTTATTATTGGATATGATATCAAGATGCGGTGTGATGTGTTGTGTTGTAGTATTGTCGTGATTGCATTTTTGATCGCTTGCGTGGTTTGCTCTGGCTCGTTGAAATCCTGTACTTCGTGAAATCATAATACCTACCGTTTTCCTTCCTTTCCTTTCCCTTACCTTCTATCCTATCAACTATTGCAGTTCCCTTTCCCTTCCATCCCATTGCCTTTCCCTTCGGTACCTTGACTTAAGTCTTTTCTCTCTCTCTCTTACCCATAATCACATGAAATCCCCATCTCCATACCCCGTGAATGGATTGGGTGGTCTTCCATCTCCACCTCTTTGAGGTCCATCACCCGGCCCCAAAGGATCATATCTTGCACCTGGCGGAGCTTGCGGGTTGAATACTCCTCTACCACCTCCTAATCTCTGTCCTTGTCCTGCAAATAGAGGATCATCAAATGTAGGATGCATACCTCCAATTCCCCCTAATCCTCTAGCTCCTGCCCCACCTGTAAAAGATCCGGGGAAAGGATCGTTGGGTCCTAGACCTGCAGGATGTAAATCATCATGACCGATATTGAAAGGGGAAATCGTTCCTCGAGGATCAGGGCGTCGAAGACGATTAAGGTCCAATTCGTCATCGAAACCAGGAGGAGGGAAATCTCCAGCCGGGATGGGACGACGTGGTGGGTCGGCAAGGGGGTCATTGTATGGATATGGACGAGCTGGTGCTGGAAGACGTGGGTCGGTTGTGGGATTTGGTAAAGGATTTCGTCGAGCTTGTGTTTCTTCTCTTTCATCATGAACCCGAGAGGCTTCACCTGCGCTCTCACCTACACCTTGTTGAGTATCCTCGTACCCTTCTTTTTGTAAAGATGGAATGAGCCTTTGGATAATATTTATTTTGAAGAGAGAAGCGAGATCTGCGATTCTAGGAGGAGAGATGAAAATTTCTTTGAGCCTTGATTTGAGATTTGAACGATCTTCTTGGTCATTTGTGAAAGGAATTCGTAAAGGGAGCGCAGAGGCGGAAACGTAATCTCTGGCTGTGATTTCAAGACGGGTAATCTTCTCATCTCCGAGTCCTATTCCTCGGATTTCAGCCTTGCCACCTAGTCGATCGATTTTGACGACGTAGTTCATAGAGGATTGGGAGTGAGCGTAGAGGAATGAGTGGGATCCAAAGGAAGAGTTCCATTTCGATGATAACCGGGGAGCAAGTTGTGCGCATTCAGCTTCTGGTGAGCTTGTTAACATTTGTACTTTGAATGAGGACTTATACTGAGAGAGACCAACTACCCTCTTGACCTTCTGCAAATCCGATGAGTCGAAACCCAACTGCGATCATACATGCGTGAGAGAATAGGGCGATAGCTTCGTATGAACTACTGATATCGGAATCGGTATCATCTTTTTGATGGGTAGGTAAAGCTTCTGCCATATGATGCAGAATGGAATCTGGACTGAGTGGATTATTGGCCATCTGGGCGGATGAGGTTGTATTGTTTGTCTGTGATTATTTCGATGTCTTGATGTCTCTTGATATTGATGATCTGAAGTGAAGTGATGTATTCAAAGTTGGAAGTGAAGAGTGATAAAAGGTACAAATGAATTTAATTGTATGAGGAAACAAACAGAATGCGGGGGTGCATGGCGAAGTCAAGCTACTGCCTGGAGCTATCAACCCATGTTATGTTTAGTGACGTTTAAGTGGCGGCATACCCCGGCAAAGTCCGCATTATGCCATGGCGCAGTTTGCTCAGGGTCACAAAAATACCCCTGTAATTATTTTGGTATCTCTAGCTAAACAGAACTACATTGTATGGGGCCTAGAACATGGATGTAAAACTTCAACGCCAGTAACGCCAGTAACATCTTCGTACAACTCTCTATGGCTTTCAATTGCGTCGCATAATCTTCTTATCGTTCTCGATTCAATACGTCTCTACATCAATTGATCTTGGGGCTACTTAATTGAGCTTAGAGCTCACTCTTTTACCCACCGCCCATCTTCACAATCCAATATGGAGTCAACTGATGATTCTCTATCTGAGGGACAGAAATTGGTGAAGTTACCAACGATTGTTCATGATGACCCTTTTGTCAAAGTGGTAAAGACTTTATCAATGTATGTACGCTACAAGCTGGCATGCTATGATATCCATCTAACGTACCCTGCCTTACTAGATACTTTGTCGATGAAATTGTCCTTCCTTCAACCTTTGAACAATTACGAACTACATCTGCGGGAAACAAAATTCGAATACTAGTCGAACATCTCGTCGAAAATGTTACGAATCCCGCCATTATCAATGCAATCTTGTCAGTAGCAAATCATTATTCATCACGAATCCAGTAATAATTGAGATTATACAGAACCCTCAAGTGGCATTTTTCTACCCTCGATGTAGATGATGATCGCGGAATCAATGAAACTCGAGCGAGCGCATGTGAAATAGTGGCATGGAGATTTCTAAGTCGTGTATCGGAAAGAGATGCTGTCGATTTTTGCTTATACGAATTACCTTCACCTACTCTTCAACGATCAACAGGTGGTGTAGATGGTGCAGCAGAAGAACCAGAGGAAATTCAAGCTACGGAACATTCGAGTTTATTGCCACAATTCAGAGAAAGGGATTCTCCTCCTAGTACAAGACCACCTAGTCAGAATAAAAAGACTGAACTTTTACGGTCTATTTCACATATGGGGTCATTCTTTACTCATGATGATATGGATGATGATGAGGATGATCCAACATCTTCTTTCACAGGATTGAATGCTCTTGAGATTGCGGCGGTAGCGGATTGCAAAAAATTCCTCAGCCAGCGCATTGTTCAAAAAATTATAACTGGTATTTGGAAAGGAGATATAACATTTTGGGAAAGTTTGAGTGAGCATACTCAAAAGAAAGCTCAGTTTTATAATAGGAAGAAGTCCGACCCTTTTTCGAGATTGAGGGTACCAAGATATATCAAAGCTTTTGAAGTTTTATTCTTTGCTTCTTTCCTATTTCTATACTATGCAGTTCTTGTTGAACGGAATCCGTAAGTCCTTCTGTCTTTCCGTCCTTCTGTCTCTCTATCCTTCTGTCCTATCTGCCCTCCAATGTCTAACATCTTTTCAGATATTACATTACGCCCCTTGAAATTGTTCTCTATGTATGGTTTGCTGCTTTTGCATATGATGAGCTTGGAGAATTCATAGATGCGGGCTCAATATTCTATGCAGTTGATATATGGAATACGTGTGATTTGATGATTATTTTGATAGGAGCTGCTTTCCTACTCACTCGTTAGTACTCCTTGATTTAATACCTGAAAGTGTCTAACGTTATCTAGGTGTCATTGGTTTGACGAAGGATGATGGGATTATTATCGACATGGCTTTTGACATTCTGTCCCTAGAGGCATTGTTTTTATTTCCAAGGTGAGTTCGTGATATATCATTCAGAAACAGGACCATTCTTAAAGGTCGAGGGTCTTTATGGCTTTTGTCAGACCGTCCTACGTGCCAGGGGGGGGGGTTTTGGTACACGTGACAGGAAACAAGCGGGATTGGGGTTAGCGCCTCGCTTATATTCTACACTAAGCACAATCACGGTCATTTCTTTCACGTGTGTCGGATTGATATAGGACTAACATTACTTCAGAATATGTTCACTTCTTAGCCTCCACCCATATTTTGGAACTTTGATTCCTTGTTTAAAGGCTATGGCCAAAGACTTTGTTAAATTTATGGTCATTGTCCTAATTCTTTACCTCGGTTTTCTAACAACCTTTACCCTCCTAGCCCGCGATTCATTTACCTTGGGCGAAATGTCTTGGGTTCTTCTCAAAGTATTCTTCGGTTCTTCATACCTTGGTTTTGACATAATGAACCAAATCTCACCTCAATTTGGTCCTCCACTTATGATTATTTTCGTCATCTTGACCCAGATTCTACTAATAACCTCCTTAATAAGTATCTTGAGTGATAGCTTTTCAAGGGTTTTTTCTCATGCCAAAGAAGAATATTTGTTTGTATACTCGGTTTACGTGCTTGAATCCTCCACTTCTAACCGACTTACACACTTTTATCCACCACTCAATCTTATCCCTCTCATTCTCATCAGACCACTTAGACTCTTCATGAGTTCTTCTACATTACGTAGAATCCGAATAGGGCTACTGAAAGCTACACATGCGCCAATTGTACTCGCAATTAACATCTTCGAAGGTGTTAATGAACATATACAAGATCCGTCATCTTTCCCCCGCACACCAATTGCTACAGTACTATCTACACCTCATAGCGGAGCTGGTGGAATGACAAGTATGAGTGGAGAACCAGCATATAAAGGAAAAGCGAAGAAGAAATTCTTGACGAGTAGGACGGGTACAAATAATTCATTGCATTTCATGGATGGACCAGGAATTGGAGATGGAGAGGCGAGTCCACTTGTTAGTGGAAAGTGGGAGGGAGGCCTTATAGGAAGGAAAGAGGGATGTTCTTCTGATGTGGGCAATTGTGGACATGTGAATGGAAAAGGAAATGGAAAACTTAATAAGAAATTGACGTTTGAGGGAGAAGATAGTAGGTTAGGAGGAGATGATGATGATACAGCACGAAGAATCCAAAGGACAGAAGAAGACGAGAGGACAAGCGAAAGAGAAAGAAGATTAGAAAATAAAGTTGATGAATTAGGAAAGAGGATAGAGGAATTAACAAGATTGTTTATGGCGGATAAGGGAATGGTGGGGGATGATGAAATGTAGATAGATATTTGTATTCAATATCAACTTCATTTTCAGATTCTTATGTACAAAATAATTCGAGCGTAGCGAGGTAAGGGGGTTTGGGGGCTGGCCCCCATTCAATAACATGAAAATTGTTTATATATTGTTCCTAACATACTATTTGAACCAGTCATATATACTTAACCATATACAACATCTTTACAAGAAGCACAAGCCCACATACCCGACCTATAACCAAGATGTCTTGTATCACACCCATTACATTTCAACAAACCTTTTCTAGACAACCAATTCTTCACGGCTAGAGCTCTTTCCGTTACATCCTGAATAGCTTCATCCCGATGAGTATTACATAACCAAGATTTTCTCATCTGAGATGTACATGTACAGTATTCTTTCTTGAAAGCTGCACCTCCTCTTCTTCCACTGGTTCGTGGTCTTTGCTCAGCCGCACACTCGTCACAATAATATAATTTGGTGTATTCAATAAGTGTTGATTGGGAATCTGACACTCGAACATTTTGATCTTTATGACAATGTACACAAGTATGCCAATCACCTCCTTCAATACCATGTTGAAGATAATCGCAATGTTTTGCTGGAGATTTGAAACAAATATCGATTCCGATAAGTTCATCGCAATGTTTATTTCTAAGGATCCCTTTCAAATTTTGTTTCCATTCTTGTCGATAATCGGATAGAGGATGAATTTGAAGTCTTGGATCGGGATCAGGTTTTTCTTGAACAACTACTTCGAATCCAGATCGACGTTCTTCGACTGAATTTAGAACTTCATCTAAATCAAGCATTTCTATATCAGGGCTTTCAACACTATATTGAGGTGAGACCCTAGGTGTACTGAAATCTATTTCTTCTCCGCCAAAAGTCATAGCATCATAATGTGCCACATCTCCAAATGGTTCGGATAAAAATTCTTGTCCTTCTGGCGCAAGACTATTGTATGATGCATCTGGTTCCGTGACTGTAGCGACACGATTATAAGACGGACCTTCTGGATCGGGTTTATATGGTTCCATAGCTGGATGTTCATTTTCTTCATTTTTCGTGAAAAAACTATTTCGATGTCCAGCTTCGAATGAATCCATGATGACTTGTGAACTGGAATTCATCATAGGACCTAAATCCATATCTTCAATTGCTTGATCTGCTTCTTCGAAATTCGAAGCCAGTTTATCCCATTCAATATTAACATCATTATAACCTCTTTCTGGTGTTGAAAAACGCCAATCCATTTCATCATTAGCATGTTGTCCTACTCCTTGATAATCCCGTTGTCTGTATTTCGAAAAGAAAGAGACGGGACTACACATATCGATTGTTCCATTGAGTCTGCATGTTCCACAAGGACGTTCTCCATCACAAGGACGAGATTGATCTTTACAAGGCCCACATTGAATACTAGGAGCATTCTCCATTTCGGGACTGGCACTTCTACGTCGACGTCTTCGAGGAGAGAGTCTTGCGCTTTGATTAAATGCAGCTCTTTTCTTTCGCGAAAGGCTAGCTTTCTGTTGAGCTGTAATTGGTTCTCCATCTTCATCATCATCTACGCCCACCTCTGAATCTGAAAATTCATCTGGATCACCCACTGGTTTAGGATCGGGTTTTTGTGGTTTCAATTTCCATGCCGGTTTGGGTGCATTCGGATCTTCCAAGTCTCGAGTTATTTCGCATACGATTCCGCGTTGTTTACAGCGATCACAAGGTCGAGGGGATCCTGCTACTAATGTACATGGTTTTCTCATGTGTGTACAATATAAACAACGTTTGACTTTTGGACCGAATCTCGATGGTTGACTTGGAGTCCAACCTGCAGTTCCGCCTGCAGTTCCACCTGCAGTTTTGTCTGAAGATCCAGGACGAGGCAATTGACACTGTGCTCCAGTTTCTCTACAGAGTTCACAAGGTTGTGTTGATCCTGCTACTATAGAACACAATTTTCTCATATGCTGACAACGTATACAGCGTTTGGGTCTCGGACCCGGAACTGCAGACATCCCAGTTCTATCTCTAGAAGGCATGGCTGGAAGATCCTCATCACTACTATCTTCTGGTAATTCTGGTGTCACAGGTCTTGGTTGATGATCTCTCTCGGCAATGCGTCTCGCAATTAATAAAGCCGTCTTTCTCCTCTTAGCATTTTCTAATTGCCGTGTTGCTTTTTCAGCTCGATATTGCGTCGCATATTCTGGATCGAAATTCTTATGTGTATGATCCATTTTATTCTTATGAACCTCCTTATCTTTTTCCCATTGTATCTTTACTTTTCGACGAGCAGCTGTTCGGGCTTTAAGTTGTGCAGGAGTATCACCAGCTTGTTTCGCAGTCCTAGGGAATGAATATGGACGTTGTCTTAATTCTGAAGATTCGATCCCAATCGCTTTTCGAGCAGTGATAACTCTAGCTCGCCACGCAGTCATGGATTCCCATAGCCTTTTGGGTCGTTCATCTATCGCTTCGATATTGGCAGCGATTTCACTTAACCAAGGGGAATAAGTGCCGGTTTCGAGTTGTTCGACGATGAAGGGATCAAAATCTCCATCTGGTCCTGGGGAATAGGCTCGCGTATCTTTCCAGGTTAGTGGGCCAGGCGGTCGCTTGAGTCTTTGCTGTTCCCATACCGTGCCTCCCGCTGGTAATGGAAGATACAATTGTTGATACGTGGGACCTTTTGGGATCCTTGGAACATGTGTACCATGTCCATAAGTTGCATTTTGTATATCCATTTGTTGAAATTGTTGCTGTTGCTGTTGCGGTTGATTATACTGCTGTTGTGGTTGCTGGAACTGTTGATATTCTGCATGGGAAAAATAAGGCCCAGAAGCCATGGAAGCTCCCATCTGACCTCCATAGCTTGGATTTTGTGGCATGATCCTCTGAAGTCCTTTTTGCTCTTGTATCGTCGGTGGATTTCCACTCCTCCAATCTCTTGCTTCACTTTCAAAAACTTGACCCAATGGAATAGCCTCAGGTTGAGGTCCTTGCCAATGTATTTCCCTCTGCGGAGTAGCCGGTTGTTGTACCACGGGTGCCATAGCATCCATTCCCCCAATAAGATCCCATGGATCAATAGTTGCTTCCACAACCTGATCCTGATCCGGTATATTAAGCCACGGAGATCTATATTCCTCTTCCATTTGTTGGAATTGATTACTCGAACCCCCAGTCAAGGGGTCCCGTCCCGTTCTCCATGCAGCTAGATTATCTTGTTCCCATGGAGGTCTACCATCGCGCCAACCCCCAGCGGGAGTAAACATGGGAGTCTCCGAGCGGAAATTATGTTCGGGTCGGCTCAAAACATTTTCGAGTCCGGGATGGAGAGGATCACCAGGGGGATGCGGATCATCACTTAGTGGAATGACACCATGACCTCCACCTCGACCGGCACCTTGTCCTCCACCTCGTCCTTGACCAAAGCCAGTCATATTGGAATTGATATTGACCGTGAATAAATTGATGTGATTGAAAATAAAGTGACAATGGGATTATGATTGAAGCGCGAGTCAATGAACAGGATATGATAGTGATAGATAGATAATCATACAATACGAGAAATTAGTTTCAACGGTAACGTGAATCCTGAGCTTGAACGTGCGCTGTTCCTTGAGCTTGAGCTTCCTTTGCACGACTGGAATCGAAATTCGAACATCTTGTTTGTGCGAAAGATTGAGAGCGCGAATTATAAGATTAAATTTCTTTGTGGATCGATAAAGAGGTAAAGGGGGGTATTGTCTAGAGATGAGAGTTTGAATTTGAGATAAAGATGGAGGAATTGGAGTTGAAGAGTTATGAAGATTGAGGAGAGAACTCTTTGTGGGGGAGATGAGGATTGGCTGTTTGCGGAGGGGGATTGTTAAGCGAGGTGGATAAAGGAGTTTTTTAGATGACTGAGAGGTGCATTATGGTTCATGTGTATAAATTCAAGTGAGTTGAATCTCCGTACTAAATGATACTAAATGAGAATTAGATAAATATCCCTACTCGTTTCTTCCTACTAAATCCCAACAAGCATGGGTGTTTTCAAGAATAAATTCCGACAAGCATTTTGAAATAAAAAAGAATAAATCATTTGTTGTCGAACAACCTACATTCAACATTTCAGAAGCCCGAATAAAGAAATCATGAAAATCTTTCTCTGGAAACATTTCGAATCGACAGAGAAAATACAAATGAGAGTAAATGAAACAAATTGTGTCCCAAAATTGACATCATGATGAGCCGAGTACGCCAGTCGAAACTCCGAATTGGCCCTTGAAAGATACATAACGCATACAAAGTGTTATTACACCAGCACAAAACAACATAAAACACACGAAACACACGAAATACATCAAATGATTAATTCCAACATCAGAGAAAAAGATTTATTCATACAAGCCGATAACTCTAAATAAATTCCATCATGTCATCATTAATTGACAGATCAAGTACACCTCAATCAAACCCCATAAACTCCCATCCTAGTGACTACCCTATATGACACGCTCGAATAGTTCCCAGAAAAGAAAGAATAAGAGGAAGAAAAAGAAAAGGATCACGAGATCCTTATACGCTTGCAAATCTAATATTTTCAATCCATTCAACTCATTTTTAATCCCTACGACTCATTCGTCTCCCACCACCAAATGATAATGAAGTAGGGCTAGTAGGCGTATTAGATCTTACTGTAGGTGGAAGACCCAATTTGACTTCCCCTACCCGTTTTAAAAGTCCTTGTAACGCCAATCTAATTTCCACTCCCATATCCCTAGAAAGTAAATCCACTGCTAATGGATAGAATACTTCAACATATTTCTCAAATCCTTCTCGTGGGAAATTCATGTAACCTTCCAATACATCTACAACAACTGGTCGCCAAGCAATGATATTTCTTTGTTGACTTTCTTCTTCGAGTTGGGTAAATCCACGGATGATATCGGCACAAAGAGGTACTAAAGCTTGTTCTGTATCTGCTCGGTTTCTTTTTCGCTCTTCACCTTCGTCATGGTACATTCTAAGGAGAATGGAAACATATGTAGCTGCACTACCAGATTCTTGCTTCAACAAGTTAGGTGGTTGTTTCATGAATCCTTCACGCCATAAACGCATGCGTAATTCTTTGTTCTCATTAAATCTCTTGGCGAATAAGAAAGATTTCTTGAGTAGAGCCATTAGCCTAAGAAGTTCTGGACTAGGAATTTGAGCATAAACGGTATCATTGGAAAAAAGCTCATTGACAGTTTCGATCATCAAAAGTTGTAAAACACATTTGGTAATGATTTTATTGAAAAATCGTCGACGAGCTGCAGTGACAACTACAGGTTGTTGTTGTAGACCTGATTGTGGCTTATAGTCCTCTAACTCTGGAGTTTGAGTTACAACAGGTGTCTGACCTTCTGGTTCAGCAATGCTCTCTGCATCCGAGGTTGCACCACCATTTGTACCATTAATCTTTAGAGATTGACCATCATCAAAATCTTCAACTGGTGCTGTGGAGCTCTCCATAGAACCTCCTGCTGCAGATGATGTTGCAGCAGTGAATAATTGGAATGCAGTAGTTCTATCGAATAATTCCACAAATGCTCCGACTATTTTTGACCAGTGTTGAGGCTTGAATTTTGTGACATTTTGCAAAATTAATTGCTGTAAACAATTACTACCAATTCGAGCAATTGTATCATTCTCTTGACATATGCACAAAGCAAGTAAATCGAGGAATCTATCCAACATATATTCAAGCGATTCGAAATAGTGAGTGAACAACGTGATCATGTTTCGAAGAGCTTGAATCATTGTAGTTGATAGCCACACAGATAATTCCTCATGATTGACAACATTGGACATCTCGGATTTGGATTTGAGAACCATAAAGATAGGATAGAGTAGTTGCCTCCATAAGATGTCCCAGAAATCAGAAGGAAAGTCGCCTCCATATTTTATAAGTGAATCAAAGAGGTAATTTAAAGCGTTTGAACGGACTTCCAGATCTTCTCCTGTCATGAGAACATCATGAAAAGCGAATAAAACAGGAAACCAAAATGCTTCTTCCTGAGTTGTACGACTTATAGGATTTGTGGCGGTGTCTGGAGTTTTTATCGAGCCATCCGAATTCGCGTTCGATTTGTGAGATAATGGGCACTCCGGTGTCTTTAACATCTTGGGAATAATTGATTTCAATGCTTCCATGGCTTGTAATCCTTTCTTTTGGAATTTCATATTCTTCGAAAATTCAGTCAAGCAAACAATCAAGTCCGCGAATGCGCCTTGGGAGATGACAACACCAAATCGAGTTTTGTAAACTTGGTTGACGTTTTCAAAGGCAAGATTGACGATACTCTCATATGGTTCTCGAGCTGCAACGGTAAATACTCCGAACATGGTTCTCCATCCAGAGCGAATATTCTCTCCACGAGCTTGGATCATTTGTATTAGACAACGTAGAGCCATATCCTTTACAGATACAACGTTTGAGTTTGACATTACATGCTCGAAAGGTTTCAAGAAGTCTTTTTGGAATTTGAATCCAGGTAATTCTTCAATCTCCATAAATCGCATGGAAAGTTGACGCAAAGAATCCAAAGCAAAGAATACCACAGCGGTATTGTTATGGCACCCAACACGATTGAAGTGCTCACCTAGAACAGCCCAAATATTGGCCCACTCGAATCTCACACGAAGCATATTGTAGTAACTGATTTCCACAAGTTTTTGAAGACTGTATGTCCTTGGAGATTCGTTGGAACCCGATATTTTAATCTCATCCCAACTAACATCACACAGAGCCGTGACAAAGTGGACGATAGCTTCACCAGAAAGATTGGCCGTATTTGTGAATATTCTATCCACTCCCTTGATAACTTCATCAGATCTACTTTCCATTGCGATTTCTGTCGAATAAATAGTACTCTGAGTGTTCGTCCTTGGTCGAGTTTTAGGTCTTTGAGAAGCGGTAGACTTTCTTGACGAAGTGGTATCTGATCGTGATGGAGCAACAATTCGAGCTTTTGAAACGTCTGGAATAGCCCCTTCATCAACTCCGTCAGATATTAATTGTAAGCGATCCAATTGACTGATGCACATAAGAATATCTCGCCATGATCCTTTCAAAAGATTTCCTTCTGTTTGTGCTATTTCAAGAAGAACTTTCAATGCCTCCACATTCTTTGCCATCATATCCTTAGGATTGTTGAGATTAGTGGAGTTCTTGAGAGCGGAAACGAAAGCTTCACGTGGAGTTTCTAAATCAAAAAGACATGCAATACGAATTGCTAATTTCATTCCTTCGATGCATAATTTGATGATCTCAATATTGTGAGAGTTTTGCATTTGACCGGAAAGACCGGAGAAGAATGACATCCAAGTCACCTCAAACATAGGGCCAACGTGCTTGAATGAAGTAGCAGGAATAAATTTATCCCCTGATTTCGATGCATTCTTTCGTTGATTTCGGAAAAGATTCTTGAACAATTGTTCAGATCTATGAGAGATCTCTTCAGATTGTTGTAAATATGCTTCACGTTGCAAGTCGCGTCCAACTGTAGCCAAAGCTTGTCCAAGACCTGCCGCAATACCACCAGTAGATTGTGGAGGAGCATTGCCAGTGGCTGCAGCGGCTTCGCGTTCACTATTGAGAACGATTTCTTCCTTTTGAATTTCTTCGTAGATGCCGATAAGGTACTCATCAGGTAAACTTGCATTATCGTTAATACCACGATTGTTCTTGATGAAATCTTCCTTGGTCATTCTCTTTGCAACTTTACTGCTGTGTTGATCTGTATTCAACATGATGACAGAGTAGGACAAAACGTAAGCAGTATCTGCATTAGCAAATGCATTTGGATTGCCAACAACATATCGATTTGCAAATTTCAACATGAAACGATCAATCTTTTGAGCTTCACCAGGAAGACGAAAGGATTGTAAAAATTGACGTAGAGCATCCACGAATCGACGTTTGGTGAAGTCCATTGCATCTACAAATGCGTGCATAATCGCAATGTTTCGTTCATCTCCTTCACCCAAAAACTCTCCGATTTGCGCCTTATCCAATCTATCCTCTCGTAGTAAGAATTGTGCAATACATTCTGGTGTATCTTCCGCTATGAATTTATCGGCGAGTAAAAGCTTGATACCTTTCTTTGGCTTGAAGTTGAATTGCTTGATGGCATTTGTCATTGCGGTCTTTCTTTGCTTCTCCTTTTCCAATTGTTCAGGGTCATCATCCAGGACAGGTGTTGAAGGCATTGGTGTATTTTCACCGGTGATTCTTGTCGAACTATCATTTCCAGGTTCCAAGGATTCCCTAACATCGGCAGAGCCTCTGATATCAGTTTCTGGGCCACTAGTAACATCAGCAATACCTTGCTGTGACCAATTCACCAATGATCGAAGTGTCTCCACAAGACAATCCATAGCTTGTCGTTTCACAATGTACTCTTTTGGAATTTCGGTCTCTCCATTTTCGGTATGGCTACTCAAATGTGCTGTAGATAGAGGTGGGGGGAGCGTCCCTCGAGATTGCCAATCACCACCTGAACTTTTACTGTTCTTCTCTTCATATTGCTGTTGAGCAAGAGGGCTTACCATAACAGCAGCACTCGCCGCCTTTGATAGGTCTTCAATCAAGGTTTGGAACATGTTATCAACATTTCGATCGCAATCGTAATTCAGATATGTTTCAACGAGCGCACGAGGATCAGCGCAAAAACGATGAAGGATGCCCATGAAATGAAGTTTTTGAGTAACATGCGCGTTTCTTCTTTCGAGAAGAGCTAGATAAATCTCATTTAAAAAGACTTCAATCTCTTTCTGTAAGATAGTTAGTCAAAATATCAGGACTATTCATTAATGAATACAAACCTTGAAAGGAGCTCTCATAAATTTTAGCATTAACCAAAAAATTTCACAACAAATTTCGAAGACTTTATCAGCAGAGCTGGCGCCATTTCGAGTAATGCTAAGACATAGGTAAAATTTAATGGCTTGTAGGAAGCCGGTAGGCTCATTGCTCTTGCTGTTGGTAATCGTACATAATGGAGAAGTGAAGACGAGCATATTATTATTGAGTAACATGTGAATGAGGTGAAGAGAAATTAACTTTGAGCGCATTGCTTGGCCTTTTACATCGAATAATTGATCCGGTGGAAGAATTTTGGTGCTGAGATTGCAAAAGGACCTGAAAACCAAATATGCATCCCTTATATAAACCTCATCTTCCATATCCTCGGATTCTATACTATCATCAGTACCACTGTCCGGAGCGGTTTGTTCTGATGTTGAACGAGGTGAAGCTTTCGCAGGCTTGACTTGTGTAACCATTGTTGGCCCTTCTCCCATTTGTGAATCGTCGAAACTTTTTCGATGCTCCAGATCTTTGAGTGTGAGTTTTGGCGCATCTCCATTGGATGGTTCTTCTGCTGTCGCGGTTTCATCTGCTGCTTCCTCTCCCTCGCTACTTCTGGGTACTCCATTTAATGATTCTTGTGCATCGACCGTGAATGAGCTAGTATTTTCGGCATTTTTATCCAATTTCGAAAGGTTCAATCTGGCCTCCTTCATATGTATCCTTGTCTTTACTCTCTCGAAAACCGTCCCAACCATTTGTGTCAATGTCCCTTGCGCAACTTGTTGATTCGGACTACTTTTCGAAAGTAGGAAGACATTGTAAACCTGTCGCACTGCTTTTAATAATCCCGCACCGTGAACGACAATTTTATCATTTAAAACTGCTGCCAATAACGATTTCACAATCTGCAGCTGGATTTCGACTGGAGTAGTTTCTCCCTGAAAACAATCGCATATTGTATCGATCGCTCGTTCGATTAATGGCGCACGATCTGCTTCTCTATCTGCATTTGGTGATGAGGGAACTGAGAAGTAAGAATAGCTAATGAGTTTCCCAATGCAATCTAATGCCGTCGTAGTCAGTGGGATACTTCCGGATCGTGTAGCTTGTTGTAATGGATCGAAAATGATTTCGGGATCAGGTAATTGAGGTTCATGTTCTTTAATGTCCTTCAAAGCTTTCTCGACCGCTTCCCCTAATCCTTTTCTTTTTTGAGCCTCTTTTGAATTATGGATAGCTTCCAGAGCCGAAATCACAAAGACGATGGAGCTCATGGTGGTCGATCGATTGCGCCAACTTCCATTCGTAGGTAGTAGTGTGATATCCTATTCTTTAAAGAGAGAGAAGAAAAGATACCATAGAATGTAATTTCCTCACACGTTGGTTAGAATTTATGAAATTAATAATTCCCTTGTATCTGTATGTGAGGGTTGTATTTCGAGGGGGGAAAGAGAACGGGTCATAATCACCAATTTCTTTCCCGATGAACCCTTAGCTGCCACATTAATAACACATTAACACATTAACACATATCTGGTCCGGCCATTTCATTGGAAACATGAATCCCTGTCCATTCAAAATCCATGGAACGCTTAAAATCCAATCAAACCCTCAGACTTCTCTGTCAGCGCTTAACCACCAATAGGACTCTTGACGGTGGAATAATCTACGCCTACTCTACCACTATACTACTTTTGTACTAATCTCAAGGAGCTCCGGTCTGCCAACGGAACTCAACCTACGAGGTTTTCCGATATTCAACAGAACAATTTAAATCTGTGTTTTTGTCGCGAACAACTTCCTCCCACTCCACCCCAAACATTTACCACCCACCTTCCCGCCCTAATCCTACAAAACCGGGTTCAAAATATCCAAAGACTTCTGTTTGTCTGGATATTGATTTGGGTTCTTTCCACTCCTTTAAACTTTAGTGCTTTCGTTCTTCTTTTCCTCTAGATATTCCCATCAAGATGTTTTCCGCAGTGTTGAGAAAGCGTGCACTTCAATCACCATCTCTGCCATATCAATTAGCAAGATGTTATGCCTCGAAATCTTTCCCTCCCCATACCGTAGTCACCATGCCAGCTTTATCGCCAACCATGACTTCAGGTAACATTGGATCGTGGCAAAAGAAGCCTGGAGATGCAATTGTTCCTGGTGATGTATTGGTAGAGATTGAGACCGATAAGGCGCAAATGGACTTTGAGTTCCAAGAGGAAGGTGTTTTGGCTGCCATCTTAAAGCAATCTGGAGAGAAGGATGTTGCTGTTGGAAATGTTTGTACTACTTCAAGCTAGAGAAAGGTTAGAGTGCTGACGGGAAAATAGCCAATTGCTGTTATGGTTGGAGAAGGAGAGGATACATCGGCTTTCGCGGATTTCACACTCGCAGATGCAGGAGGAGAGAAAGCTGCACCACCACCACCAAAGGAGGAAGCCAGTCAATCTTCCGAGAAATCTGATACACAATCTGGAACTGCTCCCCCGCCCCCAACCGAATCGACCCCAGCTCCGGAGGAATCCGCTTCAAGTGGTGGAAGATTACAACCTGCTATGGACAGAGCAATCAATGCTAGCTCTGCGGCTATTAAATTGGCAATTGATACCGGTGTTAAGATTACTGGTGTCAAGGGTACTGGACTCGGTGGACAAGTTACTGAGGCTGATGTCAAGAAGGCTTCTTCTGGAGCTTCAAGCAGTGGCGCACCAGCTGCTGCTACTACCAGTTACGTCGACACTCCTATCACATCTATGCGTAAGACTATCGCCAACCGTCTTACCGAGTCTGTGAACCAAAACCCACACTACTTTGTCGCCTCTACTGTTTCCGTCACCAAGCTCATCAAGCTCCGCACAGCTCTTAACGCTTCCGGAGAAGGGAAATACAAGCTCTCAATCAATGACTTCTTGATCAAGGCATGTGCTATTGCATGCAAGAAGGTCCCAGCTGTCAACTCAAGCTGGAGAGATGGTTTCATTCGCCAATTCAGCAACGTTGATGTCAGCGTAAGTTATTTTCTTCCCACAAGTCCACTATAATTTACTAAAATTTCTTCTCAGGTTGCCGTTGCTACTCCAGTTGGTCTCATGACCCCAATTGTCAAGAATGTCGAAGGACTCGGTCTCGAATCCATTTCAGCACAAGTCAAGGACCTTGGCAAACGTGCCCGTGATGGTAAACTCAAGCCAGATGAATACCAAGGTGGAACTTTCACCATCAGCAACATGGGAATGAACAGCGCTATTGATCGATTTACTGCTGTCATTAACCCACCTCAAGCCGCCATTCTCGCTGTAGGAACCACTCAAAAGGCAGCTATCCAAGGCGCAGATGGAGGAATTGAATGGGATGATCAAATCACCGTTACTGGAAGCTTCGACCATAAGGTTGTTGATGGTGCCGTTGGTGGTGAATGGATGAAGGAGTTCAAGAAGGTTGTTGAGAATCCTTTGGAGTTGTTGCTATAGAATTGATGTGATGTGATGTGATATGAATTCGGGGGCTAGGACAGGATTAGAACTGGCTGGAATGGGATGGTTAGGGAGGTTAGTTGATGTGTAGGCTGATGATACTGATGAAAGAAAGAAGAAAAGAGATTCCCCCATGTAACTCCTTGTACGATAATCAAATTAACGATTCGTCGTAGTATGCTTTTTGTGTGAGACATAATTTGTGAATAATTGACACTGATATTTGGGATGGTAATATCAGCCGAATAAACCTTACAAAACCCACTGCTGATATCTCTGATTCGATTCCGAGTTATACTTTATTTCACAAATTTTTACTCTCAATGAGCTCACATTTTGTTTAAAGCAGACAGGCAGGCAGGCAGATAGACAGGCAGACTAGCAAATAAGCAAGCAAATAAGCAAGCAAGCAATCGATCAAAATTCGTGGATCTGCACACTCCCATATTCAAGTAATTCGATTGCGAATGTATAAATATACATATGATAATGAATCCTAATCCGATCCTAACAACACCTAGCTAGTTGATCCTAAAAACCCCATTCCAAACACCACCCACCCATGACTGTGATTCCATCCCATAGTACTCACTCGAGTTACCCAAGCCACCCAGTCCCATATAATATATCTAACGCCCAGCAATGCATCGATCGATATGTTATGTAAGTAAAAGTGCGTATCGTATGGAATTAAGTGCGATAATTCTTCGCTTCAAGTTCAAGTGCACGTTTCTCGATATCCAGCTCAACTCCATCTATTTGTTCACCGTAAACCCAAGATACCATTCCCGCTTCCACTCCCACTCCCACTTCCACCAGCATCCATCTCTCTTCTATAGACTCCCTCAAAATCCAATTGTCCAATACACCCCATAACCGTATCAATCTCTCTCTGCATATCCTGCAAATTTGCTTTTAATGCTTCCACCTCATCAAACTTTCTTCTCTTCCCCGCATCTTTTACCATTCCTTCAACGAAAAATTTCTGTTCTTCTAAAACTATTAATTTTTCTCGTAATTCCTTTTCTTCTTGTTCCATTTGAGATATTTGGGAGATATCTGAAACTTGTGACGATGTTTCTGTGGCTGTATCGTTGAATTTGATATTTGAGAGAGCGGAACGACCATTCTGAGGTCTTAAAGATGAGTGACTTGAAGAGGGAGTAGCATGTTTGAGAACTTTGGGGAGAGATTTAAGAGGAAGCATATGGAGATGAAGAAAACTAGAAGATTGTTGATAGATTGATTTTTGAATCTTTTGTTGAGTAGGTGATGTGGTTGGTAAGTCACGTATGCGTCTTCCGGCTTGATCATATTTTCCGAAACTATCTATTAATCTCTTTCGAACTTTAGCTGCTTCAGCAAGTTGAACATGTGACGGTGGTTTTTCCGGATCTTGAAGTGCAACTAATAATCGTTGGAAATTGGGTAGTAATAGACGAATGCCCTTTTCGAATTGTAGAAGATTTTCATAAGCCCGTTGTAAGGGTGTTTTCTCCTTGAGTTCTGCAGCAAAATCTTTCTTGGAAAAGACAGTAGTTTTACAATCGCGACACATTCGTATATCGAGACTAATATTCTCGGAATGTTTCTCTGACTGAGTGCCAGTCACTGGAATATGTCAATGAATGACACTGAAAATATAGGGAAATGTTGGGAATATTGACAAAGACAAAAAACTTACCTGCTGTGACATTTAATCCAATTTCAGAGGAACATCCAGTTCTAGGATCTGAGCAAACAACACGTCCACATAATCGACAGTGATGCCGTCGAAATGACCATGAACCAAATTCTTGTTGACAAAAAGGACATTTTGGAACCTTTGCATCCTCTTCCCAAGTTACCACTGATTGTTCAAGGATTTTGCGCGGATTCTTCTGTCCTGCTAAAGATAACAATGTCCCATTACTGGCCAGATCTTCGGGAGGATTCGCAAGTAGTTGAGTTAATTTCGTGAGTCGTTTCTCTAACCTCGAGATCTCCAAATACGCTTTATCCACATGCTTCCTTCTCATTGCCATAAAGTCGTTTGTATGATCTCGCAAGTAACCATTATGATCATTGTATCCTTCTCTTGACTTGAAACAAGTCTCGCAAACTCTACACCATAATCCCCTTACAGGTTCATGTTGTGCCGACCTTGAGAGTTTAATTTGATACATTGTGTGATCCTCACAGAATAGAAGACCACATTTCCTACAATTAACACTTCCATTGACAGCACCAAGTCTTTTCCCGCAAATAGGTTCCGTACATATATCATTGAATCCTGATTTCTGCCAATGTGTCCTTGTAATTACTTCGTCGGGATCTGGTCTTGTTGGCTCGGGGGTTGACATGCGATTTCCAGAAAGTGTGCTCGGTATAGGAGTCGATGATGTTGGTACATCGTTTGATTCGAATACATCTAGTCCCTTGAGTTTTTGATTTATTACTGCTAATGGTTGAAACTTCTTTGCCTTAATAACCTGTTTGTCGAACCAATTCTTCACTTCATCTTGTTCTACCTCTGGAAGTTCTTGGTGATTATCATCGAGATGTCTATAGAGAGTGAGTTTCCTTTCTGGCTTTCGAAACACGAGAGGCATACCGATTTAATTGCAATAAAGTCATCTGCCAAACATTATTATTGTTGTCACATAACAATATATCAAGGGGCTAGCCTACCATTTCTTCGCTACATATTGGACATTGGAGCTTCGAGGTCACAGCGGTGACACTTGAAGAGCGACCATTTTCCAGCGAGACTCTCGACTTTAAATCCTGACTATCATTTGGTAAAGGCGAAGTCGCAAGAGGAGATATCGAATGAGTCGAACTCAACGAAAGAGTACTTTCGGATGGGGTAATGAAACTGGAACTTCGTTGTTGCGACGGAGGGGCAGGAGGTGCCAATGACTTCCCACTACCCAAAATCCTCCCACCTCCCAGCTTTCTGCTGGACATGATTGTAAAGATGTCAAAATTGTGAGGGATTTTACCTCGGATCCTCACCAATTCAAGACATTGATTTACTTAAAGGTTCTCTGTCTTCAAGGCTTTCCCTCCGCCTTGTTCATTCTGTGACGGTGGTTTCGAATGTCTTGAGTAAGCGAAGCTCTCTGGGCTGTGCCTTATCGGTACTGTACCGAATTCCATTTGCTTATCGTAAATGTCATCAACGATAAGCATTCACATTTACAATAAAGCACAGAAATATACCTATTAAAGAATTGGTTATTATGCACAACATCCAATATTTCAATGTCAATACCGATGGGTGAAGAAAATTTTCCAAAAGTTGAGGGTGGCGGATCATTGATACTGGCATGGCAAATCAAGAATAAACGAGTATTAGTAGTTGGAGGCGGAGAGGTAAAAACTCCTTTCCATCATCATTCTTCCGTGCTAATCATTTGAAAGGTTGCAGCAGGTCGAATCTTGAACGTTTTAAATGCAGATGCAAAGGTCACTGTTGTATCACCTCGAGAAGGTCTAAACCCAGAAGTCGCATATCGAGTACAAGAGGGACAAGTCGACTTTGTGGATAGGAAGTTCGAACCATCCGATCTCGACAATGTTGACATGGTATTGACTGCCGTCGATGACCCGGAAGCATCTTCACAGATATGGAAATTATGTAAGGAAAGGAAAATAGCAGCGAACATTGCAGATGTGCCCCCTGAATGTGACTTCTACTTTGGAAGTGTTCATCGAGATGGTCCTTTACAAATCATGGTTAGCACAAATGGGAAAGGTCCACGATTTGCCAATATTGTAAGGAGACAAATTGCTTCGAATTTACCAGACAAAATTGGAGAAGGGATAGAGAAGATTGGTAAATTAAGGCAAATGCTCAGGAAGGTTGCACCAGGACCAGAAGAAGGGCCCAAGAGGATGGCGTGGTAAGCATTTTTGATTGATGATTTTGCCACCATACTTATAACAAGCAGGATGATCAAAGTTAGCGACGCTTATAGTTTAGAAGACCTACATGCGATGAACGAAGAAGATATGGAGATGCTACTAAGATTCTACGCCCCAAATCAAGTCCCACGATTTCACTGTTTGCAGAAAATGAAAGATAAGTCGTGGGACTTGGGATGTTTACGACCATTGAAGGGTGAGGATGAAACTTTTGATGGCTCTTGGGGATTCTCAGTGGGATGGGGTTGATAGATCTGACCGATTGTATACATAAAGGGGAAACATTGGCGTTTTGTTCTATCGGACACGACTCTATGAGAGAGTACTTGATAGGCACTTTTCCAAGCTTTTGGAATGACAATTACCTATCATGGATTCTCTCAATCGAAAACAATTGGAAATGAACCAAGAGATTTCATCATGTTGGGCAAAAGTGCTGGTGTTTCTCCATCAACTAACCCACTCCACACACTCTCATCTTATACCTTTTCCTTGGCTGCAATGTTTTGTTGAAGTTCGTCCACCACTCTTAGTATGAATCGATGTTCGGCCAAGCTCTGGTGTTATATATATGATTCTTTCAAGTTGTGGCTTAGGTCTGGTTGCGTATATTTGACTTTCTTGAGTTTGTGGTCTAGGTCTGACGACCTCAAAACTAACATACAACATACAAACATACAAACAGACGGTGTACAAAAATTGAGTATAGCCTTAGCCCGGCAGGTATATTGCTTGTCAAGAGTTCTTGGGGTGTATTAGTCGTAGAGTTTGAGCTAGATTTGATATGCTCAAAACATGTTTTCGTTGTATTGCCGATTGTGTATGTTTCTCATTTTTATGTCTTTCTCAAATCATTCAAGCAAGCTGCATGAGAATATGTATCGCTTTGGACGGCTCGATCCTTCCGGTTAACAAGTTCTCCATCTAGTCATTCTCCGCGTTTCACTAGGTTAATACGTCCGGGGTCCCCACACCCCACGTATGCTGGAGAATTCTCCTCATCAAGTCATCAAGTCATCAAGTCATCAAGTCTGATCATAGTAGATCTTATCTTCGAATGAAAGTGCAAGTAACCCTGAGGAGTACGAATTTTATTTCTCGGCATACCCTCAACCGACGGAGAAATTTTTGAAAACAAGACAACTCAGGATGAGGATGTGAAGGCCAAGACTCAATGATCTCTATACCCCTCAATGATCTCCTGTTCCTTGATTACATGTGAATAAGCACGATGTCACTCTGTGCATGAGAATATATTCAATGATGATTTTGTGAATGTGCACATACTATATAAGTTGGCCAATTCCTATCTCTTTTTCATTTTTCATTCTTCATCACGCCTCATAATCACATCAAGATGCGGTACCCTCTTCTTTTCGCATATGCATCCGCATCTGTGGCAAGTGTAATTAGTACAAGGGCCGAAGATGCTGCTATTAAGTATTCTACCTTGGTTTCTGATTCATTCATTCAAAGGGGGGTTCCCAAAACGGCCCAATATGCTCAAGCAGTCTTCTATCGAGGTGTAGAATTGGCATACAATGCCACCGGGAACGCAACATACATTAATTGGCTAAAATCACAAATGGATACTGCTGTATCTGCAAATGGATCAATTCTCGGTTATCCATCCCACCCAGCTTCCCTTGATGATATTCGAATTGGAACCATCATCCTCGACACATGGGCTCGAACCAACGAAACAAGATATAAAGTTGCCGCGGACAAATTACGCCAACAATTTAATTACAATCCACGAACTGCATCTGATGGATTCTGGCATCGTGCACCTACATATCCAAATCAAATGTGGTTGGATGGTATTTTCATGGCTGATGTCTTCTACGCTCAATGGACATCCTACTTTGATGCTGCAAATACTACTGCTTGGGATGATATCCTATTGCAATATTCACTTATTGAAGAACATTGTCGCAATCATACCACCAATCTTATCGTTCATGGTTATGACGAAAGTAAAACTCAAGTATGGGCTGATCCCGTCACAGGAGCTTCACCTAATGTGTGGGATAGAGCATTGGGATGGTACCTAATGGCTTTAGTCGATGTTCTCGATTACTTTCCTGAATCACATGAAGGATATGCAAAGCTTCTTGATTGGTTCATTACTGCATCGGCAGGTGTAGCTGCTGCACAGGATAAGAAAGGTGGTTGGTGGTTAGTTATGAATGAACCATATCCAGGAAAACCACGAAATTATATCGAATCTAGTGGTTCAGCAATGTTCATTTATGCAATTTTGAAGGGTGTTAGAAAGGGATATCTTGGAGGTGAATATATTGCACCAATGAAGAAGGGTTATAAATATCTTGCGGAGACCTTCGTCGCCTTCAATGGAACGAATGGTACGGTTAATTGGGAAGGAACAGTTATAGTAGGAAGTTTGGGATCGAATGCTACATTTGAGGTTTGTCTTGTTTGTGAATTGATATTGAAATTTGACTAACTTTTGGATAGTACTATACGTCGATTGCCATTGATGAGAATGATTTGAAGGGTGCTGGACCTTTTGTTTATGCTAGCGTGGAGTATGAAAAATTGGCAGCATGAAATATTGATCATGAATTGGTCCACCGGTTGGTAAACGACTGATGGGACCCGACACTACAAAAATGGACTTGTGAATATCTCTTGATATATCTAATTGTTTATTTTGGGGATTATTACAATTGTTGATTAGAGATAGAACAATCAAAATATTAATTCTGATATTCAACAATTGAAGAATGAATTTGCCAAAAATATCGAATACTGGGAAGTGTCCTGTCAATCTATACACCCACCCACTAGTGGTCTGTTGACCAGGAACGAAGACTTGAAGATAATTTGATCGGTTTGGTCAACTATTCCATAAACCTAGTAAATAAAGTGGTGTGTTGTTTATATGAAAAAGATTATTACAACCGATATTTCTCACTATGAGACTACAGCCCGACAGCCCGGAATGTCGAAGTGGAGAAGAATCGTATGCCCATCAAAATTATACTTGGAAAAGATTGACCATCTATTGGTTATGAATTTGGACGTCGGAAAGAATCGTCAAACTACTTCTAATGCCAAGTGTATCTATAAAATCTTACATTTACATCTAAGAAGAATCTAAACCATTCCACTCCGAAAATAAATAGAGAGATTCGCCACGTGATATACATGTGACATATAACACGAAAAATATACTGAAGGCCTTTCATACTTTACAGTACACCAATTTATCTACAAATGCGCTTGCAAATGTGCCTTTTGTGGAAATGTAGTAAAATCATACCCATTTCCTTTCTCGATACTCCTCTTCCAAGCAGGTCTCTCATAACATCTCTTTAACCATTCATCCAAAGCCGGAAACTCCTTTTCCAAATCTACCCAACCTCTCTGTTTAATCAACGCCATTGGAAATTCCAACATAATATCCGCTCTGCCGGGATTCTTCCCCATGAAAAATCCTCCCTCAGGACCTTCTTTTAACTCTTTTTCCAAATCCCCCAATACTTTCCTCAAAGCAGGTCCGTCGAATCGTTTTCCCATAGGTCCAGCTCCATTAGCTATAGCATTGAAATCAAGCATCAACATGATATTTGTTGCTCTTCCTAAATCAGTCAAGGTAATTGAAATGAGCATTTCATCACGAATCCAATCACCATTACGGAGACCGAAGGTATCAGCGGAATCGAAAGTACGGATGAGGTAAGTAGCTATGGCGAGTGATTCGGGGATATAACGATTTCCATCTTTAGGTCCGGTGATGAGTAAAGGAGCTTTTCCGTAATGACCTGTTGCTTGAAGAGATGGAGGTGCGAGTAATGGAGCCTTTGGATCGGTGATAGGATTGCGGGTATGGAGTTGGAGATTGTAGGGAATGGAAAGTTCTTCTAAGAGCCAGAAGATTCTTTGAGATTGTGAGTCCTTCGATTATTAGTAAGTTAAGAAGCATTATTGAATAATTGGAGTGATTCAAACTTACATTGAGGTGGTGAAATGTGGGTGTATTGTCTGTCATTTTGTTGGGTTTGAGGTTTGAATGTAATGCGGGGTAGAAATAGGAATGGAAAGATATAAAAGGGAATTGTACGAGAGATGAGACTTATATACAAGAGATATGATGTCGATTTAAAGTTTGAAGAAGAAGTCTAGAACTATATCAAATCACCTTGATTTATAATATTTATAATATCATGAACGAGACGTCGATTTCAAGGTAAGAAGAATAAGATCCACATAGTTCGGTTAAGAATAGAGGGGCCTCGGAATTTCGGTCGACTAGTGACGTTCCGAATCACATTAAATCCTGACATAATGAGATGGGAATGAATAGTTAGTCGGATATAAGAGAACATGTAATAAATTCAGTAAATAATTACTTTCAACATCGAAGAGTTTATAGGGCAAGTTGCCAGAGTGTTGGTTTTTCTGGGTGATAATTTTGGTGCATCATTGATACTACCCAAGCCAAAGTTTGTGAGGAATGATATATCTTGATTATCATTAAATTACATGTTCATTTCACTTGGAGCTTGACATATATTGAAGACAGGTGGGTTTATTAGAGTAGAGGAATCTTTGGTATAATAAGGAAACTTATATATTTATATTATTTGGGGTTTTTCGGGGGTTTGGATTGACCATGAAATTAAAGAAAGGAATTCAAAAAGATATCGCCACAAAAGGAAAAATCTCAACACCTAGTGGTTGTTGTCGCCAGAGACACTTATCGCTATTCGACTTCTCCACACTCCGTTCTCAATTTCTCATTCGTCGATTTACTACTCTGGGTAGGCGGATATGTTCTAATGGCCACTTGGTCCATGGGGTGATTCGAACAGTGCAACGATCACAAAGGCCTACCTTTGTGCCTGAACGTATCCTGATATTTGGAATTGAGACTTGAGTGTGGGCTTTCAAACTGCGAGTTGCTTCGGCCTTGAACATGATTTCCAGAACATTTTTCCACATAGCTCTCCTCCTCGGAGAATCAAACTTATGTCGACGGAAGCAATCAAATTCCTGAACAATGAACTCATTCAAATTGTTATATGGCAAGTTTGTGAATATGGTGCGATGTGCATTGTAGTTCCTGAATTTGATGTCCTCAAATGAGTGATAAAAAAAATGCAGAAAAGGTGAAGCCCGCATCACAAGACTAAAGGTATTCATGAAAACATCGGGAGATACTCGAACCTTCCTGATAAAGTCTGGATCTATGAGTAGTGGACACTCTTGCGGCCATAATGCATTAGTATCCCTGCTAGGTAGATAAAAATCACAACGAAGGTAGTCATCGACTATAGTGTCGATTTCAGGATTGAGGAGAATCCTGAGTTTCTCTCCCTTTGGAACCCAAAAATTCCCTGAAAGTCTTAAATTCTGAAGATGCTCGGCCGAAATTGCTATGTTTTTGTAGCATTTTAGGGATTCATATCTAGTCTCTGCATTAACGCCAAGTAAAGAAAGAATGTTAATAGAAGTTAGAGGTTGGTCGCTGTTAACGCTCAAGCACCGTCTATTCAACAAACGAGGAGTTAAAGTGAGCTTCCAGATCATGACTCGTATGTCTAGGGGAAGCTGTGGAAAAAGTGTAAACTCAACTGGGGCTTGATCATTAGATGACTGATCTTGAGCCGGAGCTTGATTAGAAGATTGATCTTGAGAATCCATCTCGAGTGTAATTTCTGGTTCTCGTGAGGTGAGGTCTGAAATACACAATCTGGTTACTTGAGTAGTGTAGTGTGGTGTAGAGATAGTCAAATAGACGAGGATGGTTTTTTAACAATGATTGTAAAACCCCAAACCTATATAAGCCGTACAAAGTCTTTGTTCCAATGTTGTTCTCTATCAGAATGAGCTTTTTTTGATATTTCTTCGAGGTATCTTCAAAATTTATCTTTAGAACAATGCATTATTCTAGTCAAATCAAAATGGCAGCAAGTGCTGAGAACCAGATACTATTACTGCGAATTTATTTAAGTACACTGCTTCCGAACTATAACCATCAAAAGAATTTCACAGACGCAATCCCCCAATACCGAGAGTATGAATTCGATTAGAATTGATTTGACAACTTTTTGGTTAATTCTGACTTCGTTACTATAGATTCCGCGTCTCTTTGTCGTTCCTGCCCTTCGTGTCAGAAGAGTGCTGTATCTTACCACCAAACAAGCAGTCACCTCTACCCTCAAGGTTTCAACATTAAAAAGAATCATGATACACAGTTCAATGAGTATCCACTCCTCACATATAAAACACCGATGCGGATTTTCATAATATTTCTTTCATATTTGCCAAATTATTTACAAGTGAATAAACCATTTACCATCACCACAAAGATAATCCCAATCATAAGTCAAAAGACTCAACTAAAATTCCCAGTACTCCACCAATCCTCCATATGACCCATTCCATCACCCCTTTGATGGAAAAAACTCTCCGCCAAAACTGCCAATTCATCATCAGAATAATGAAATGGTGGTTGAACAAATTCTTGCTCTTGTTCTTGATCTGTTGTTCCATTTCCTAGATTCACCACACTAGTATTAACAGAATTCGGACCGGATCCCTCAAAATCTTGTCTATCAACTCTAGTTGGTTCTGGTAATGATGAAGCATGACTAATTTCATGAGTAGTAGGAATTGAAGCCGAATATAATGATGGTCCGAAAAGACGACGAGCCAATGCGGGGATTTCACTCGAGGAAGAGTATTCTAGAATTTCCCAAAATTGACCTAGGTCAATGAGAAGACTACGATTAGGAGTTTGTGGTGGTGCATCAGGATTTGTATAAGTGGATGAAACTGTATCACAAAGACGTTGAAGTTTTTCCGCCTGAGTTATTGTTAGTACAAAACAGAAACAAAATTCTCAAGGATAAATCAACTTACCATTCGAGCAACATGAGGCCATTCTTTAAAGTCTCGTATAAATTTCAAACACTTATCAAAGTTGTCTCGTTTTTCTTGTCGTACAATTGGATCATCAGCAAAACATTCTTGTAAATATATCGTTGCAATGATTGCTACACAATGAGCAAGAAATGGATCAGAGACTTTGAAGGATTTAACTTCCAACATATCAATATATCTAATGACCCAACTAGCATGTGATGAGATCAAATCTGAAATATGTTGTAAGAATATTTCTGGAATATTAGATTTGAGATGTTTTAATCGAAGTGATAACAAAAGTGGATTATTTAATAGGCAAAGGTTTGTGTGATATAAAAATTGAATGAATAACCAAGGACCCCAATAATCTCGATTGGCATGTAATTCTTCGGAAGTCCTTTGAGAGAATTTGGCTGATTTGAAGCGATGAATTTGTGAGGTACGGGTTTCAAAGTCCATTTGTTGAGCCATGATTAATGCGTAGTCTGATTGAGGAGACCAAGGAGGTAAGGTACTTGGATTTCCACGTCTCCTCGCGTAGCGGGTAATCTTAAACCACACTTCACTAAGCTGAATGGCATAAGCAACGACACCTTTATCTTGAGTATCAGATATAGTAAACTCTGGAGATGAAAGGTCGGGAGTTTCTCCATTGGTAAATTGCCCATGATTTAATGGTTTCCCAGTGGTTTCTGGATACCATGGAAATTTATCTTCACCTGCAAAATCTATAACACTAAACTCTGCTCCGTGTAATCTTTTGAGGAGGAATAAACTCCAAAAACATCGTCGACGTTCTTCACGTAACGAATCAGATAAAGGTGCATGAGTTTCAGTCGTGAGACCAGCATTATGGGCTAAACTCATGGCTAAACTACTATTTACACTTGCTTGTCGTGTATTCCCATCTGAAAAGTGTCAGCTGTGTAGTATTTTTTGGACGTATGATACATACTAGTGAAGTCTACTAAACTAAGAAGGCATAAAGATTGTAGTGTTGAAAGTTCTACTCGACCTCCAAATATTCTGGCGGAGATGATCGATTGAGCTGCCTCTATATATCCCGTAGTGAGTTCAGATTGATTATCCCGGAAGATATCATCGTCTGAAAAGCGTATTGCCAAAGCTAGGATAGAGAAAATTACTTCTGGATCACGGTCGTTGAGTGTTTCAACAAATCTCTTCCGACAAAATACAGGAAGTGGTTGACAATCGCAGTATAGTAAGTAAGTTTTTGCAATACTTATGACTGCCTCATATGGTGGAAGTTTGCTTTAATTTGTCAATTTGATGACCGTATAAATCATCGCATTGAAATTCTCACCTACTCGAAAGCCTAAAAACATTTGGTGTTCTCATTGTCTGTCCCAACTGTGATAAAACAGGGGAATTTGACATATGTCTTGACGCACTCCTACTCATGGATACTTGATTTGAAAGGACTTCTGCAAGTTGAGCCTCAACTGATTTCAATCTATCTTCCTAATAAACTTATAAGCACTGATACTCATAATCAAAATCCTACATCTATGACTTACCAAGTTTATATCATTTGATGATCTCACATGGCTTCTCTCTGGTATTCGAGTCGGTGTTGGTAGTGGAGTTCTCTCAATCGAGGTTCTCTCATTGACATGATTTAAACCATCATCAGCATAATAACAATTTTGTCTTAATCTTGCACAATGTGAGCAAATTGGTTTTTCACCCGGACATCTTGTTTTCTTGCGCCTATTTCAAGTTATTCATCAGTCAAAACAATTTTATATATTCATGTTCTTTGATTCCCCACTTATCATACTGTCCATCCCTTAATCCAAATGGAAAGAACTATTACGTACCGACATGGCTCACATGCTTGGCGAATACGTTTTGCTGGACGTTCTGACATTGAAGCACTTTCGATGAAATGTGCAAAAAGATTGAGGTCGTTCATCTATCATGGTATTTGTTTATCAATTGAAATGCGTGAGTGGGATAAAAGTTAGTTTATTGATAAAGAAGTCAGTGCAATTAATGCACTAGTAGTAGTCATAATTATGTTACTAACCATATTTGGGTTTGATGAAAGAGCAGGGGTTCCCGGCGGAGAACGGATATTATTCGGATCATTCTCCTTTTCTATCCGAGTGGTTAGGAATATTTTATTCAATACAAATTTGTGTAATCATTAACGTAGTTTAACACCGAGTGGCCCATATCACCGAGTGGCCCACTTTCACCTCAATTTACACTTTCAAACTCATATTATTCAACAACAATTGAATCAATTGATTGAAACTATTAAGAATCTAATAATCTAGGATCTATTACATTATTTTGACAGGTTCTTGTATTATATCCTGTCTTTCCACATTTACTACAATATCAATTAGAAGATGCTTCCCCATTAGAATTCCCCCCTTTTTGACACTTATCACATTGAATCTGAATATCAACCTCTTGTTGAGATAATATATCAAGAGCCTTTTGTCCAGTAAGCACTCCTCTTTGACATAATTGAGTTTTTTTTGCATATCGATGTTTGCTTAATACTTCATTTGCTGCCCGAAGTGTATGATTCTTTGCATTTAAAAGTATATTCTTATAAGCTAATCTCTCTGTACCCTTAGCTAAAGCTAATATAGTTTCGAATATAGGTGTAGGAGAGCTTGATTGATGACGAGTTATTCGAGATTTAACTAATGTTGATTGAGAAAGAGCTTCAGTTGGGTTGCGAGGGGTTTGAGAGATCCATTGATCTAGATTGAAAGAAGGGGGGGTAGGTGTGCGAATTCGAATATCTAATTTTGAGAGTACAGCTTCAGGATTAAATGGGATTAAACCTATTCCTCGAAACCCTGCTTTTATATTCTGAGAGGTGATTGATTCTTGATATGCAGCTTTGAAAGTTATAAAGAATTCAACCTTCGAAATATGATTGATATGTGCCTTGATAAATTCATCGATTTGAGCACCATATGAACATTTCAGATTACCAAAACAGCCAACATCAAGTGGCTGAGTTAAATGACTTGAATGCAATGGTAAATTTAGACATATAATATCATTCTCTTTACAGTATGCTTGAAAAGCTACTGATTTGTGGCTTTCATGTCCATCTAGTACCAACATTCGATATTTGCCCTCTCTTCGATTCTTAGTATGCTTGTCGAAGTGTTTCAACCATTCTAAACCTGTCTCATTGTTTGTCCATCCATTAGATATAGATTTAATAGCCCACTCCGCAGAAAGACCAGTTTCGGTATACCAATTGGAGAGATGAACCTATCCTTGAACTACTAGAAATAAGGGAATAGTTTCACCCTCCGCATTTCCATATATTATTGCTATAGCCCATTCTCGATTGCCTGATTGTACTGATTTACTTCTACCGTGTTTCTCAGCGCTAGTAACAACCATTGCTGCACATATAATCCCCATTATAAAGCCTGTTTCATCGAAATTGTAGAAATCGCCGTCCAAAATGCTGTATTTCGCTCGCATATTCGCAACCAATCGAAACCACTCTTCAATAAGCTTAGAATCTTCGCAAAGAGCTCTTTGAAAGTCATAAACACGACTAAAACACGTCTTTAATTCAATTCGACGCTTTACGAGTCGATGCGCCCAGAGCTTCCCAACACATTTCGCACCCCTCGATTCAAGAATATAATTCGCCATATCTTCCACATTCTTCAATTTAGGTGGGAATCCTCTTGAATCCATATCGAGTATATATTGAACAATCACCTCTTCTTCTAATTCTGTAATCTTATGACTATTGGCTCGAGTTTCTATACAAAGAGATAAACCTTCCATTCTATATCGAAGAGTCGTACAAGGGATATTATAGAGTATAGCGGCTTTTCGAATACTTAGTTTTTTATCTTTATGAATAGCTTCGATAGCAAGGAGTATATGAGCTTTTTGATTATTCGAATTCATTATAGGTTGTTGATAAAACGCGTGTTGAAAGAGAAAGATGTAAATTGAGGTGAAAGTGGGCCACTCGGTGATATGGGCCACTCGGTGTTAAACTACGTTATAAGATGTTCAATACTGATATGAAGATTTCAATCTCGAATATGATCATGAAGCTATTATAATTTTGTTTAATATAATGAAAAGTATACCATCTAGGGTATTCAGAAATCAAAAGACTCCTTGATACTCCTTGATGTAGTCCTCGATTTACTCCTCGATTTACTCCTCGATGTACTCGACAATGCACCCCTCAATATACCCCTCAATGTACTCCTTAATGTCCCCCAAGCCCATGAACAGCAAGTACTAAATTCTATAAGCTGGCCCTCATCTCGACTTCTGGTTTTGTACCCGAAACATTTCTCTCAATATCCAAATCCATATCATATTCATTCATCTCCTCGATTGTTAATTTCTTCTTCTCATCCAATACTTTGTAATTAGGGTTATTGGTATTCGATGAAAATCCGATCCGTTCATTGATATTTACCCTAGCACGAGCACTAGCCGCTTGTACCCGAGAAGCTCTAGGCTTACGAATTTGTTCATACAACTTTAACCCCTCGCTAATGGTTGCTTTTGAATTTGCAAATCCATATTTCCTTCCAAAAATTATACCCAATGCAGCCGCATCTTCTAAAGCTTGACATGCCCCTTGACTTTGATCTGGAAGCATAGGATGTGCTGCATCACCAAGAATACAAGTAGAACCCTTTTGCCAATATGGATATGGTTGATGAACAAATAATCTCCATGGTTTGACGTCAGTCGAGTTCTTGAATAATGCAAGAAGTTCCGGGTCGAGGTCAGGAAATGGTCGGAGAATATCTTCAACGGTAAGATTAATATTCCAACCTTCACTGGCATGAGGACTTTCGTTTGTTGGAAAGAAACAATAGAATGAGTGAACTTCTCCATCTCGACATGGTGAGAATACAATCTTGTGAATTCCTTGCCCACCCCAAAACTCGATAGCACTATTCGGTGATAAATCTCGAAGTCCTAACCTCCTTGCATCTTTCGTTTCGATAATACAATGCAAACATGTAGATGTAGATAATTCTCGATCTGGCACAATTCCTAGAGTTTTTCGTACTTGTGACCCAATACCATCTGCGCCAATAATCAAATCATGTTTGACTTGGAGGCCATTCTCAAAAGTAGCAATGCCTTGTTCATGATCGATCTCGGCGCATTTGTGATTGCATTTTAGGAGTGCCGGAGTGCCGGAATGATTTGGCCCAGTAGCAGAATCCATCAACATTTCATGCATATTGACTCTGTGAAACATATTATAAACGTATCCCCATCTACTCTTGTAGTCGGCCAAATCATATACATTTTGAACCTCTCCAGTTTTCCAATCATGCGATATAAGTTTTTCTAGAACCACAGGTCGTCCAATTGAGATATTGACACCCCATTGTTCAAGCCACTTTGTACCATTCGCCGCACAAGATATAGAAGCACCCACTTCTCCAGCGAAATCTGCTCGTTCATATATTGTGACTCGATGTCCGGCTTGTCGTAAACTTGTAGCAGCAGCGAGACCACCTATTTCATCAGATTGGTTAGTTATTGTACAATTTTGAATGAGGTTTATGCATACCTATCCCACCACCAATTACACCAATATTCAATTCTCTCCAGGAATTCTCCATTGAGCTAATATTGATCGACGCGAATTTCGAGTATTGTAAGATGGATGATATGAAATCTCGACAAAATAGATTCACGGATACTCAAATGTTTGAAATCAAATCAAAAGATCAAATAAAAAGATGAAAGATAAAAGCTTTACTTGACCAGAAATGAAAACATAAGAGTGATTTACCTTGACACTCTTTATAACGTCTCCATTGCATCACCACAGTTCTTACCTATGATGGATATAGCTGGTGCAGTTCCGAATTGGTTAATCGTAGAGTCTGCAACATCTTGCATTAGGATGAAACCCCTCACTTACTTATCGTCGAGATAGGAATGATTCGTAGATACAATACATCTAAGCTGAATGATTTCCGCATCCGCTTCCGTGTTGTGTAAATAGAATAGTTTGACTTTTTGAAGATGGGATTAATTGGCGAATTGTTAGAATAACTTATTAGAACTTTATCATGACTTATGTAAGACATTCCGCTTCCGATCCGTTAGCGTGTTACCAACTATCAATTTGATTCCCGCAGTCCTTACTAGGATGGCACGTGGATGGTACACCTTCCGACATTACAGCTTTATTATTGGTGATGTCTTGCCTTACTTTTCGATGACATTCCCAAATTTACATCAACACGTTTTATGATCGAAAACTCAAAGTCAGAATGACTAATCTAAATGATCCATCAGTCAATGCTCATGTTGACTTTTTACGAGAAGATGTCAAATACGCACAAGAGCATGACTTGCAAACTTTGAGTATCTTTTCTACAAGACATAGCAAAGATGATACGTCTCTCACGGGAGTCGTTGGAGAACCTTCCACAACTTCATCCAAGATTTGGGTCATGTAAGAACTCCCGAATTCGTCACACTTTGTATATTAATCACGTGACTCTCATCATCTCATCAATCTCATCATTCTAACATCTTTTCAGTTATATTCATGGGGGAGCGTGGCGTGATCCACTTGAAACATCCTCTTCTTTCATTCCAACGATCAATCGTCTTGTGACTTCATCTGTTGAATCCAAGATCGCGTCATTTGCAAGCATCAATTATCGTCTATCTTCTCATCTATCTTTTCCTCAAGATTCTTCATCAACTCCGAGACACGAATATCGTAATGCTAAGCACCCTGATCACCTACAAGATATATGTTCTGCGCTATCTTATTTACAATCTAAATACTCTATCGAAGATCAATATCTACTCGTTGGTCATTCATGTGGTGCAACACTATCAATGCAGATTTCGATGGGAAAAGAATATTTACATTCTTGTGGTATATCAGATGAGGATTTAAATTTTAAACTCCCACGATATGTTCTTGGAGTAGCTGGAATTTACGATTTAAGATTACTTCGTGAAACACATTCTCATCCTGCATACAATGAATTTCTCACTCAAGCATTTGGGTCTGACGAAAACCTTTGGGATGAAGTTTCACCAGCAAGATTTTCCAATTTTGAGGAAATTGAAAAGAGTGGAAAGATTCTTGCTTTTGCTACTTCACCAGATGATGAGTTGGTTGATGAGATACAAATCGATGTTATGGTGAAGAATTTGCAAGGTATTAATGGAGGAGTAGTGGTGAAAAATCTCAAAAATCATTTGAAAGGAACTCACAACAAAATATGGGAGACTGGAAATTTAGCCAATGCTATAGTCGAGGTCTTGAATTTATTGGAGTAGTTGAGTATGAGTAGGAGTAGGAGTATGACTAGGAGTATGAGTAGTTGAGTATCAGGAGTTGAGTAGGTATGAGTAATCGAGTATGATTAGTCGAATATGAGTGGAGAAATTTAATGCTAAAGTTCAGAACTACAAACTCTAATTTGACTTCGTTACTTCATGGAGTCTTCATCTAAGGAAGCTGAATAAAGGTTATTCAATTCCAGTCATTTCCTGGTAGTCGGATTTGAGTTCGTTTTCTGTCATTTATTCATTGCTTAGTGGGGGTGAACAGCTGATACTAAAGGTCGACTTGGGAAACGACCATTTTCCGTCTGAATTTGTAATATTTATGATGCGGTAGCTCGTCTCATCTATTCTAGAAATTGTCTACAGATTCCAGAACCGGAATATGCGCAATTGCCCGAATTTCTCAACATTATTATAAGTACACGGAGACAGAAAGCCACAAGCCCAGTCATAATCTTCAAATCTTCCACAACTGATCGTTAACCTACACCTAAAAAGATTATTGGAAAAGCCTCATCGTACTTGATCAAGTGTTATTGTACTATGATGTATAATGAAGTTCAATCGTTACAATTCAAATTCAATACATATTGAATGCCAAGCAGGCATCAGCCTTGGTTTACAAATTTCACATCAATTTAATGATGATCCGAGTCAAATATCATCCCGTCCTGAACAGTCCTTCCATAAAGGAATCCATTTCTCCTTGATATATGGTCCAAAATACATACAAAACACATTTGAAAAGCCCTCGTTAGGCATTTCTCTATATCTTCTACCAAAATGATTTCTCCAAAATCCATCAATTTTCACTTGCTTTTACTATCTTTCTTTACATTCTCCATCTGCAATTCTACAGCTCTACTTTCAACTAGAGATACTTTGAAAGTATATTATCCTACTGATTGTTACAATACTCTTACTCAATCTTCCTATTCTGAAATCTCATACTATTCATCTGTATCAACTGTCCAATCCCATTTACCACCCGATTCATTTGCCTCTATCAATTTATACGAAACAATCAAATGGCATGATAATTCATGGACAGTGACAATACCCGTAGATCCATTCACTGTTACAATCGGAATTGGTTATGATGCTCCACAGGCATCTATTGGAGATATTATTGGTAGTAGTGCTGTATCGCCGGATTTTGTTGGGGTAGAAAATTGTTATAAGCAAGAAAGACTGGTAATCTCCAAACCCAACGAGTGGACTGATTGTTATGCTGAATATGCTAGTGGTGATGTGAGTTTTTAATCATTCATTCTAACATTTATTATTGGTACTGATCTTTTGATGGTCAGTTGTAAATACTAGGTACTTTCGGAAGTTCGAATTGGAAAGAGTCTTGATTACATTGGTAGTCATCTGTACCCCACCCCACTACAAAGTTCGATGCTCCGGGAGATGAACGACGAATGAGTCGATGACTTGATTGAAAATAAGCATATTATTCTTTGCATTTTATTTTACACACTCGTGACACTCTCATCTGCTCTAAGGTTTTCATTCACCCAAGTGTAAAATCCATATTTATGATTCATACCCCTCGCGCTTAGTGATTGAAATTATCAAAAACCGATGTTTACAGAAGATGTCGTTATAAGCCATGATTTCGGAGAATTTATATTCCGTCAGCTGTGAGACTTCAATCGACGAAATCAGTAATGCGGCTCAATTTAAAACTGAAACCCAATGTTTTACGTGAGATTTGAGTTTAGTGTACATGATCTATCTCTTCATACTGGGTTGATGAATATACGTACATTCCAAAATTACCAATCAAACTACATGGTAGCACTGGAAATGAGGGAAAACTTTTCAAAAGTTTGGCGGATGAACCAGCAGTGATTGGGGATATAATGGTGAGGGATAAAGTAGGGGTTTTAGCAGTTGAAGGAGAAAGTATTATTGGGGTAGCAGGAGGGAGGTATAGGGATGGTGGGGTTGAAGATTCGGTTATAGGTCTTGTTTATGGCATAGGTTCTGGTTAGGAGAGAGATAAGTGATAGTTATTGTTGTAATAATAAGAATTATCTCGTTTGGACTTCGAAATTATGAATGAATTGTCTGTGGACTTATCTAGGGTTAATAAATCACGCAATATTTGAAATGGAATGTTAATTGACACGACGATAATCAATGTACGCAAGATTTGAAGTAGGATGTTAATTGACACGACGAGTTATCTAGTACCCAAAGCAAGTCGAAAGGAGATGGAAGTCCATTGTCTTTCTCGATAACAATTAAGACCATGATGAATCAAGTGACAGGTAACATTTCCTCAATACTCTGATCATCAATCATTCATCCCTTGTGATTTGTAAAGATCAGGTCCCTTGATTTCTTGTTATTCCTCATTATTCATCTTCTCCAACTCTTCATCAGTTGGGGTTTCATTAATCCTATAAACTAATTTCCGCACTAACTTTACCTTCCGATACCTCCAACATACTAAAACAATAATGATGAGTTCTCCTGGATAATTTTGATATTAATCAAAAAGAGAGCTCTATTGAACCCTAATATTACATGGAACTCTCGATTTCGGTAGTTTGGTAGTTTCAGAAGTGGTGAACAATATCTATTTAAAATCAAAACTTCGAAGTAATACTTAAAAGTATTTGAAAGCGGCATTCGAGAGATCGACTAGAACGGTGGCGGCATTTTGGTATCCTTCAATTGTGGTGTAATTTGATGTATCTAAATTCAAGTGGAATTTAAGGATTTTCCATTTTTCAATAAAAAAGAGGACGTCGACGACGAAAGACACAAAAGATGCCACAATATTGTCAACACTAGCTGATAGTTAACTCATATCTAAAAACTAACACTTTAGTTCTTTCTGATTCTAATTATCATCAAATCAATACTAGAATACTCCGCTGTCAGAATTAACAAGTATCTTTCATCTGATTTTAAATTCCACTCACCCTGAATATAGTCGAATTTGTAATATTCAAAATGATTCCAGCTTCGAGTGACAAGTCTAGAAAAGATTCTATGATTTTATTCTCGAGTAATTTATCAGGACAATGTATTTGTATAGCTTTAATTGAAGCGATTGATGATTTGGCGCGCCTAAATAGGGGTATAGGGGTAGTCGGATAATTCGGAACGACGACTCATCTAAAAAGTAGAATCACTTTCCAGTAAATCAGCATCACGAGGTGGAATACGTTGAATATAGACGGGTGATGATTTACTGTTACATACCTAGTAATTGGAACCATCTTTCAAATCCAATTCTATTTATAATTTAGCAAATAAATTCTCGGCTTATATTCTCGGAAGTAGAAATCATATCCAATTGCCAATGTCCCATCTATATTCAAGACATCAATCATGAGAAATCTTCTAATCAAACAACTCCTTCACGGATTCATCAACTGTTGTACATACAGCCTCACAAATTAACCCTCGTACAACTTCTTCCGGCCGACAAGGCTCACACCAGTGACATTTAAGATAATTCTCGATAATTATTCCACATCACGAGCTTTTTCAATGTTGTTACACTACTTCATCAATCATGTTACCATAAATGTATGCAGGTACTTCCCAAGGACTTGGTTTGTTGCACATCGTAATCTGCGGATCATTCCATGGTTTAGTCTTTGGTAATATGCATGATGCATCAAATTATTTGTTGCATATCTTATATTTCGGGCATCTCCTTGAATTTACTGGTAAGAATTGAAGATTTGGTTATGAACCCGAGCTTGAGGGGATCATTTTTCAAGGGATGTATGCGAGTTTGAATGAATTAGGTACGAGGTGCATAATCAATGTATTCGAAGTGTGAGAGGAGTAACAAATAATTGACTTCAACGTACTGTCTTCAATATACGAGTACTTACACTCACACATACAATCACCAATCATTTTAAACCTTATCTCAAACATTACCCCTCCTTTCTTTAACACCACATCACCATACATTAAAATTCCCCTCCCTCACGCAAACACGCATACATTTCACTACTTCATCTTTATAACCACGTTTGTTGCACATCGAGTCTCACTCTTTAAGGATCACTACACCATTTGTATTACATTTTGATCAATTTCAGTACAACTTTAAATGTAACGTAGTATACTTTTCTATTCGATTTTTAACTATCATATATTGATATCATATTTTTGGATTTTTTGTTGCATATCTCGATTTGCGGACTGCTCCGCGGTATACCCACCATCTATACGGCGTCAACTTAATAAATAAATTATCGTCCTTGTACTACTTGTGGTGTTACTTTCAATGCGGGGATACTTTGTTATAAAGTTTCACTGACTCCACTACTCCACTACTCTAATGACTTTATTGATTCACTGATTCACTGATTTCACTACGTGATGACTTTTAATAATTTGCTGCATATCTTATTTTGCCGCAACTGCCTTCTTTTCTACTATTATAATAATGACTTGGTTGTAGATACTCCACGTGTTGTTAAATATCGTTTGATTTACATTTACCTAGAACATGTAGTTCCGTTGAGGTTTATTGTGGGTAAAATATCCACTTTGATGTATGATAAACCGAAAGAAGGAGAGTATAATCGTTTGGGTTGTAATGCAGAAGTCCCGCTTTAGGATTGAAGATGTATGGTTTGCCCCACTACTACCCCTCATACTTTATTTGGAATGGAGGAAATGAGGAAATATCGACACGTGAATGTAAATAACTGGTAGGAAGTACTACAAAGAAGTAATGGGCTAGATCTTTTCATTTTTAGTACAAGTAAAGAGTTCTCTTGATTTGTGTAATTAGGTTAGTAAGGGTAAACAATTATTCTCCGTCCCGAATCAAATGATTTAGAATGACATTCTTTTCGGGTTTGTTACTTAATTTTATTTTATTTGCATACTGAAAAGATAACTATGATATTTGCATGGAAAAGTGTATTAAGAACCAATCAGATACATGAACATAATCAGATATATGAGTATCTATAGAGAGATCATAAAGTGAATGCCCGAAATATCAAACATTTTAATGGTAAGCGAGAAGCCCGAAATGTAACGTTTAATCTATTCTCAGTCACATGGAATCATAAATAAATTTAAATGACTTGACCTTCAAGGGATTCAAGGTAAATGGAGACGAGATATGAAACCTATCTTCTCATATGTATTCTCATATGTATTCTCATGTACATTCTCATGTACATAGTTTCCACACCTAAATCGAAAATTGGGGAGAAAATGTAACCCTACCTTATATCATCTCTACAGAAAAGGAAAACAGTAGTACTATACACGAAATGACTGCACAGGTGATTTCGCTAAGAAACTTTTCCCAGCTGAAATATATCTAGATTCATTCATAATCAAGCTGACTGCATGTGACAACAAAGAAATTTATGCTCGCCAACGGGGTTCACCCCTATAAATTCTCCACTCGTGGATTCAAGAACTCGCACCCAATTCTAGATGTGCAACATAATTTGTGAGATACCTCAATCATTTACTTGATTAACCAATCATATTTAGAATTTAGGAGAATCACTTGACTTCAAATTGAGAAGTGAGTTCTTAAACTCGCGCTCAATATTAGATGTGCAACAAAACTTTGATAGAAGTTAGTTCTTTGTTTGATGAGCGGCAATTCACCAATCAAGTGTCTTTTTCAAGGAGTAAGACTTGGTCGTGACTTATAATAAAGGGGAAATTTAATACTAAAATTTAGGCGAGTGATTATCACATAAAAGAATAGTCTGGACTGTACTATGGGATATTTACGCCCAACTTTATCATGCAACAGAAACTTTGGAAGAGTGAATTGTTCCTTGAGCTTAATGATGAAATTGAATGAAGAGCTTTGAGTATGTCATTAAGATAGAAATACTTCCCTCATTGTCCCAAATTCCACGAGAGAGGATCTAAAATCGTATTGGGAAGTTAACTTCCACATATCATATTTACATCATGGTTCAACTTTGCACTTCTTCTTGATTTCATGACTATGCACCATGCACAATCATCGATTCAAAATTAAAATTGTAACCTCCAAACATTACATATAATTATGTTTAGAGTGCTGGATGTTTTTTCCTGCTCATTTCTCAAGAAGTTATCTTTGTTATCAAGATCAGGTGCTTTACACCATATATAAAATCTCCCTCCCTCCCCCCATTAAATGCCAAACCTGAAAGTGAATTATCTTAATAATTACTACAGCTCGCCATAAGAGGATAACTACCTATTACCATTATTACAATGCTTTCCGTCGGCAATCTTTAAGATATTCAATGGTAATGAGATTATCTTTTATTCGCACTCTACGAAATATTTCCTCTCTATTTCAATCCTAATATATAAACTTTACGGAAGTACTAGAAATACCCAACCTGCTCACCCGTCCATCTTCTCATGTTCCAATTTCCACGCTACAGAAGCGAGAAAAATATATCTATATATTATTACTTTGAGCCCTCAGACTTCAACTCTCCTGGTTGAGTCTATATGTAGATCATGATATATAATACTATATTATTATTGATACATGTAGCAATATTACTTCTCTCTCTTCCTTTGATCTTTCTGTTTGAATGACCACTCGGAATTTATATTATAATTTACAAACGCGGGAGAATATTAAACCCAATTCAATTTGGAAGTCTCGAATCTATAAACTGATAGAATGATTTCATATACAAGTCTGGGGTTGACACTAGTATAATTGAGATATTTGAGTAAAATAGGATATATACTTTTGTTCTCATGACTTGAACTTTTTGAAGAAATAGGAGTGAGTTGTATTGTTGGGTTATACTAATGTGGGAGTGTTTTCATTATGAAATAAGTATTATAAGATAGTAAGAGGAAATAATACAAATAACCACAAATCGTATATAAGTTGATATATTCAGAGATTCCTATTACCAACTCACATACCGCTAGGAGAATATTCATTGACGATACGATAAAAATATATGAATACCTCTTATAGAAAATGTAACCAAACCACAAACGTACCCCTTACTTTTCATTCTCGATTTCATTTCAATATTACCTTATGAAGCGTTTCCCACAGAGATCAAGAAATTTCCGTATCAAATCAATACTTATAACTTACTAAAAGAATCTTCCACTCTGATATCAATCTATTAAATCATTGAAACAAAGACATGAACAGATATAATATACTACCACTCAATAAGAATTATGATATTAAACTATAGAAAATCGACATATCTCATCCTCCAACAACACTTCAATCTCTCAGACTTTAACTACCATCCGTTCCATCTATGAATTTCGTACGAAATCGAACGAGACTCAAGTATACTATAAATTTAAAAGCCCATCTAAAAAGCTTAGTAGAGATAGGAAAACCTTACGAGATTCCCCTCGCATTCCACTTTAATCCAATTAAATCAATTCGATTCACTCCAGCGATCTAGACTTTCGATGAAGATAAATCTTAAAGAAACTCCATATTTCCTCTCTCTATCGTTCAAATGACCCGAATACCTACCTAGTTCCCTGCTTAATGAAATCTCAGTAGGACACTATGAATGCACGCACAAACGCACAGTTACTATTCAATTGATCATTCATCACTGATGAGATTGAGATGAGACTACGTCAAGGTTCGAGAACCGAATTCGAAGATGCACTTGCTACCGATAATTTGGGGGTATTTTCTGAAACATCAAGATTTATACCTTTCTAACCCTCTCAGCTGGGGAGATCTTGCGAAGAAACATACTATACTTCGTACATCGAGAAACCCCCACTATCTTTTATTTTGAAGAAAATAAACATTTCAACATGTAAGACCTTACCCACTTGATCGATTTCTTGAAATCTAAGTACTCAGTTCAATTCCTTGTATAATGTAGAGACAAATCAAAACAAAACATAACAAACCTACCTCATTCATTCATTCATCTTATCTCATCTCGGAATAAATGCACCATATGTATCTAATTCGATCACATATCCTCTATATCTCGTACGAGAATTCGTATATTTCCATTCCTATTATAAACCATTCCGATTGATTCAATCAAATCCAGTCAGTGATGAATGATTAATCGCCAAATCATTTGTTTCATCTTTCCATCTCTTTGTCTTTAATTGTAAATTGATCTTCCATTATGATGATTCGATAGAGAACTACTAGGAATATCGTTGTATTATGATTTCTATATATAAAATCTTCCCGTCTTGAACTATGATCGATCAATCGAACAATCGAACATTAATCAATTTATCAATCAATCAGTCAGTCAGTCAGTCAGTCAGTCAATCAACATACCAAAGCTTACCTACTACCTTTCACCAGCGTCGTATCGAAATTCCCAAGACCCTGTGTATTGGATCTGAATATTATGTATGTATGATTGCTTATTTTGTGTCGGGATGAAACTTGGAAGAATGAGGCTTGGGAATTTGATTAGCGAAAAGTGGCGTGCGTTAGGCGGGATTGGGGTGTGCTGAATGGGAATTCAGGGTATTCGGTTAGAGTTGCGTTTGTTTGTGATACTAAAGTACATAGGTGCGTGCCCAGGTGACATTAACGCTGTAACAATCAATTCCTATATATCTAGAAATTTCAAAAATCGAGTGATGGAATGAGGGAATAATTTCCTAATTCTATCTTTAAACATAAATGTTCAGTACATCATCATCACAATCGTCATCCAATTCAATTCCCTTTATAAAATACTTTACAACTACGAGGACATAAAATTTATAAATAGAGCCACCATACTAACCTCCCGTCACCAGCCTCAAAAAGCCCCAAAGTAAAGATCAATAATTGATCTCAGCGCCGACCAAAATGGCGGTTTTAATGGCGGTTCTATCCGTCCCCATTCTTCCCTTCCCAGTTTGAGAGCTCGTTCATTCCACCATTTAAAAGCTATCCCTTTGGTTGATTTTATTCTCAGAGGTTCAAGAAATTAAAACTAATTTTTACCCGATCGATGGATGAACTAACTAATTCATCCTTAGACTTCCCGTCGTGAACCCTAAAGCACAGACTTGTAGAGTAGTTGAGTTGACGTTTATCAATCAATTATAAGTTATGATGGGTTGATTTCTAGAAGTAAGTAAGTAAAGCCTATTATATCCATTCATCATCTACCTGTCTACTATCTACCTGTCTACTATCTACTTATCTATTAACATGACGAGATAAATCTCAAACAAAAAAGTAACTTCGATCAAGTACAAAATCGAGATTTACGAAGTACAAAGTACGATTGGTGGAAATCTCAACTCTAAATTTAAAGATTCTGGACCTACGTTCGCTTCCACCCAGAGGAGATATATCCGTATCCGATGTGATGTGATGAGACTCATAGTGTAAGAGGTAGTCAGGGGAAAAGGAGAAAAAGGAAGAAAGAAAGGTAGAAATCAAGAAAAGAGAGAAAGAAAGAAAGATGACTAGGATTGAAGTCGGTTGTGCCGCTGAAATCATCCGATTTTGGAAATTGTAGATGTTGATGGGTAGGATTTTCGGCGAAGAGAGGGATGAAATGGGTCGATGTGGCGTAGATTGAATAGTTTATGTTTATTCTATTCTATTCTATCCTATCCTATCCTATCCTATCCTATCCTATACAATATGGAAATTCGAGACGAATGGAGGTAAGACAAGGACAAGTATCCATAGAGTATGGGTATGTATCAAATATCAAATCACAATTTCCAATTCATGAAATTTATTGGTACAAAGTACAAAGGACAAAGTACGCACGGAATATAATATTGTTTTATTTCTTACCATGTTTCAACCAATCCCAATATCAATACTAATACCCAAGAAAATATATCTTCAGCTTATCGAACAAAGCTATGTCCTCTTTCTCTTTCTCCATTTTCATACATGAATTCCTTTCCTATCTCCGCCGCCCCATCTTCTTTCCCGGGGAGATACCAGAAACCGTATTTTTTCCGAATAGCTGGTACGGTAACGGTGCATTGGGCATGTAAGGTAGAAGCATCAATCCGTAATTTTACCAGACCCATTGTAGCTCACCACATGAATATCATTGTTTGAAGCTTGATCTCGGTGATGTAAGTACGATGATTGCGCGATGTTATTCCGTAGCCAACAAGCAAGTAAGTAAGTAAACAAGCAAGTAACTACTCGAGTACTATACAATCGATATACTCATTTACTGTACAGTCTGTACTATCTGTACGAAGTATGAAGTACAATAGGAAGATTTCCCATTCATTCATCGGGGAAAAGATAGCCGGTTTCTCTTTACTGTAATGGAATATGCTACGTATGTAAATGCATCGTATCGAACCGTATCGTATCGTATCGTATCCCCATCCTCGTGTTTTCACTCCTTTCGATTCGTGTTGTGTTTGTGTTTGTGTATTTCATCAATCAGTACGACCAACTACCACACCTTACAAATCGTGATTCATGTAACGATTGAGGATTCCCAAAACCTCACGTTACACTCCTTCCCCCTCCCAACGTATTTTAACCAATCCAAAGTTCAGATATCATTATTATCTAGCCCCTCTTTCGATTTTTGGATGTGTGTGTGTGTGTGTGATGGAATTAATTTATGTATATGCTCCGTACACGGATGGAATATAATTTTCATGCACTCATGTTCCATTGTGATACCGTTTCCTGCAATGCTGCGACTTCATACCGCATGGCATTAGTATGTGGGTGTTTCTGGAAATGTGTTGGTGTACGGTACGGTTGGGATTAATTTATATAAATGTTTATTTGGAATTGATGGGTCCGGATTGATTACCTCCAAACCGAGGATGATGGCATGATTTTAGTCTGTAAGTATGTTTGTTGTGTTGGAGTTTGAATGCATGGTTGGTTGTATGTATGTTCACGGAGTATGTATGGATATATGTGTGTGTATGTATGTACCTAGGCTGACTGACTGGCTGGCTGGAGTGTGGTACAATTACGTTGATAGCTACATTGAAGGGGCTTGTGATGATGCCTTGTAATGCTTAGACTAAGGTATACTAATATGCTGAAGAAAGAGGAGAAAGGGTTAGGTACACCGGACATGTCACTGGATATTTTGTTAATTTTTGTAATGTGATTGATGAAGTAGAATCACCTGGTGAATCATTTATTCAATGATATATATTTCGGCAATCATATATTTCATCTACCGTTATTTTACTTGAGATTCTATCTAGACATTAAAGGATGCCTTATCTACACTACGTATAATTCCATACCGAGTGAATTTACTTCCCCTCTACCAAGTCTACTTGGTAAGTCTTAAAAGTCAAAGGAAGAACAACTGACGAATAGAATCATGCGTATCGTAAAATACGAAAGCTCTCATCTCATTCGTTCATCTCACCCACACCAAAATCACTGATCAAACCATATCTAGGTTAAATGCAGGGTAAAAAAAGCCAAGACCATTCCAAAATATTACCGGAGTACACATCTGGATTTCTTGGGAAAAATACCAATGCCATGGCAAGCCACCAAAAGAAAAACCCAACTTAAGTACCGGCTGATTATGACAAAGAAAATGATGACTGTTTTGATTTTTGGGTATCAAATCATAATGGATAATTTTGAATTTTTTTGGGGACAATGCCACACTGGTAATATAATGTTTACTTTTGGGTGTGTGACATCCCTTCACTATCCGATGATGGATCTGATTGAGTGGGGTTTTAGGGTCGATCAAATTAGCGCTCGTTCCATTTGATAATTATTCAGGGATTTCTAGGAGAAGGGAGGGGTTTTGAGGGGGGTCTTGAGAGGCGAGAGAGGGTCTTGAGAGGATCTTGCTTTTTACCGTTTATTGGGTTGAAACTTATAGAATGGGATGGGATGGCGGGATGAACGGGATGTTCATGCCGTATGCAAAGTCGTGAACAGGTAAATTCTTAAATCCCTGATGGGAGGAGGGAGGATATCGATCCCTAGAAATGATTTTCCTAATCGTGAGGGGGATTCCATTTTTAATACTTTGAGTGATGTCAGTTTGTTATATATATATTCTGCTTTCTTTTCCTCGGTATTGGGATTTGGATTTCATGATATCGTGATTATCTGATCTCTTGAAGTGGGTGATGTTGAATGTGATGTTGACCGTGACGTTGACCGTGATGTTGACTGTGATGTTGAAGTATGTAATATATGGAATATCGTTATGTCAATAAGGAGGTAATGAAAAGAAATCATTTGAAACGAAATCCGTCCTTGTCGTCGATAGTCGACGCGTAAATCATCAATTTCCCAAATCATCATACATCTTCCTTTAACTCCACACCATCCATTGACTGGGATGTTTTCAATTCGTGGGTCAGTAGGTGCAGACTTGTTTAACTAAATCTCGAATAGTATCATTCTACCTATTTATCCTTGACTTACCTACTTGGTGGTTCCGCGCGGCCAATAGGTAGATATAACGGGTATCAAAAAATGTTACCCTACCTTTCACATATGAATTGAGTAATGGTGCTCCGATGTTAAGATTTGCCGAGCGCGTTGATGATTTGATTGTTGAAGATACGAATTGAGATGAATAATTCGATGGAATTTAGGGGATTTGGATTATTAAGAAACATTTTGTTCGTCTTGTCTTGAGATTTTCGCGATCAATGAAGGGGGGATAACCGAATGAGTATAATCTCGATTATCATACCTATTTACCATTATACTTAGTTAATTTGATCAGATATCAAAAAATACCGGAAGACACAGCTATGAACAAACAAAGAATATTCTACCCAATCATTATATGTACATTAAGATCTTCATGGTTCTCGAGTCTCGACCGAGTTTGACCCATAACAAAAATATCCTTCATTGATCAAATACCCTGGGGAATATCACCTATCACCGAACTCGACTCTTTAGATACCGGTAGTAGATATCATCTATCATTGACATATGAAATTTACTCCTACCGAGGTATCTAATCTTAAAGATTGTGATGAATATAGATGTTTATTAATTCTCTTTACTTTTTTGATGGATATTTGACTCTATTCGGTATCTGTTTACCGTTGTAGATTTGATATTCAATTTGAAGGTTCGGGGAAATCGGAAGACTCTTAGATTCCGAATATTTTTATTCTGTTTGATATCTAATAACTAATAACCTCCACCAGTGCTCTTAAGAAACTAAATCCGAAAATCTACGAATACTTAACAAAAGTACCCCAGTAATTTGATCCATCAAAGAACACGGACATATACCAAAATTGTACAATTTGACCACACATTCATCTAGAGTCTAGAGGTTTCAATAGTGAGGTTACTCCTGTAGTCGTTCCTGTAGTCATTCCTGTAGTCATTCCTGTAGCCATTCCTGTAGCCATTCCTGTAATCATTCTTCAAATCATTCTTCAAATCCATCCATCTTACATGGTGAGTGGGTGGGGGAAAGGAGGATGTATTTCAAGTTGACCTTAGACAATAGGGATAGATTAAAGTTTTCCAACCCTACGAAAAGTGAAAATATACCCTAGTATAGTAACATGTTTTGAGGTTATCCCTCTAATAAATTTAATCGATTAGTACATATTTACGGTCATAAACCTTTTTTGGCTTGGAACCCTTGAATGATGAAATATTATTATTTTTCTAAATCATCCTTCAAATCAATCCTACCCCCTCCCCCCCCTCTTCTAAAACAGAACCCTTTTATTTTGTTGGAAAAAATCCTCATCGAATAATTGGATCGAATGATATTTACTTTACACCTTATTGTTGCATATCAACAAAAAACTTCAAACCAGACCTAATGTAATCATAAGTACATTGTCAATTTTTTTCCCTCAAAACTCAAAATATTTCTCCTCCTTTCGAATCTTCGATACGTGTCAAAATTACAATCTTATGAGAAGTGGAGTTTAAGAGTGGTCAATTGTATAACTTTTGTTATAAATCATTCAAATCCAAACTCAAGTTCGAGACCACCACCACCACCATCACCATCATCATCACCCGAATCAAATTACGAGTACTCTCACACATCACTCGTGAACCCTCGAATATCTTTTTTTCTTCTTTCGAGTTGTACAAGGAGGGTATGTCAGCAAGGAAAGGCTCAAGAACTTAGACTACCTACTTTTACCATCACAATCACAGTCACATTCACATTCTTGAAATCAACCTCGCCATAGTTTTGATTTCAACTTCTTTGAATGATTCGAAATTCAGCTCACTTCAGCTCATCTCATCTCATCGCATCTCATCGCATCATCGCATCATCATCTCATTACTTCTAATATTCATTCTACCCATCATCATCATCTTATTTACCATCCCATCCATTTGGAACCACCACCTCGATCGGTACATTTCATACATTTAACAATATCCACGGTATCCAAACAAAATTCAAGCAATTCCACCATTCTCCACCAACGACAAGCCATCAGAAATACCAAGCATTGTGATTATTCTGGAACTATCAAGCCCCCACATTATTTTACTTTTTGGTTCTCTCTTGTCCCGTCTATCTGGCACGCTGCCTCGCTGGCTCGCTAATTTCCAATCATCCCATTCATCTCCCTTTTCTCTCCTCTTTTTCTTCAACCGATATCTACCTACATACAGCTGAACTTTTGATTAAAGAGGTCAGTCAGTCAATCATCTTGATAATATACATAGTCAAGATACACATACACAATATTACTACATTACTACATTACTACATCACCTCATACACTCATTACGATTCTTACTACTTACAACTACCACCAACTATCGTCTCAAACATTTCATCCTAATATATCTTTTTGTCATACAATTATTCAAGACAATTGATTACCACACCAATCACTCGATACAATCTTTCACTTCCTTTTACATAATAGTTTTGGGAAGACACAACATATAATTATCGTCCTATTTTTGTGGTCTCCAATATTTTCCCTGTATACCGGTACATTGGTTCCGAAACGCACGAGGCAGACGATCGATTGAAGTTTAATCGTAGTAACATTTCACACCCCAAAGTCGAAAGGGGATTTTATTTTTATTCTACAAGGAGATTCATACGCCACTTTTGTTAGGAAGGGAAGGAAATTTTGAGGAGAAAAAAAGTATAAGTGATTGATGGAATCTCGAATTTAATTTTTGAGGGTTTCGATTTTACTTTGAGTGTTGGGTTTCTGGGGTCTGGGGATTTCTTCGACATACATTCCTCATATTGGTTCGATCAATTCCATCGTTCAATCAGTTCAACCCTTGACGAATTAATTTCATTAAATCCAAGAATCAATTTCGACAGATCGACAACCACTACAGACTACATACGGACAACAGACTACATACGGACAACAGACTACAGACTAGGTACGGACTACGGATTACGGAATATATTTCAAAAAATAAGACCCCGCAACAATGATGAGTTCTTCAGCGCAAGGAGCACCGAGAGCACCGGTAGTACCCACAATACCTACAACATCAAATGATGATAGAAAAAAAGGATTAAGTCGAGTTTTAGGACGAATGAAGACAGTTTTAAAAAGAAGTGATGGATCAAAAAGATTATCATTTGCTGGAAAGTCTTCAACTTCAACTACAGGAGAACCAAGGTAAGCGATGAATATTTTAATATATATTATTTTCGTTATTTCTTTTTCACCATGTCTACGTATATTTGTAACTTCAAAAATACGTAGGTTCAAAATTTGAGGATTGAACATTAAGAATTAACGATTGGAGTTCATATTTATTAATAATTTATAAATTCCTTAGTGTCCCCAAATCCACTGATCAAGCATCCAAATCAAAACCAATACCAAAATCAACACCAACGCCAACGCCAGAACCATCTAAGGAAATACCCATCACCATTCCCACTGTCGACGAAACGAAACAAACTACTGATACCACTACCAAAACCGCTACCAAAACCACTACTTCTAGCGCAACAAAACAACAACAACCTAAATCCAAATCCAAATCTCAATCTGAATCTCAATCTCAATCCCAACCAACAAAAGTTTCTCGAGCAGAAATTAATGCTGAAAGAGCTCGAAAATTAGCTGAACGTTTTCAATTACAAATCGAACCTCATGAATGGCAATCTCTTACTGGAGAAAAAGATGTTTGGAGAATCGAAAAACCTATTCGAATGAGAATTCATAGATCTTGTCATAAATGTGATACAACATATGGTGCCAATAAAATTTGTACCAATTGCGAACATCCAAGATGTACAAAATGTCCCAGATATCCTTTAAAGAAAAAGGATAAAGGAAGAACTGCAGTTGCCAATACAGGACCAACAAAAGTGGAAGTTGATAGAGAATGGAAAAAATCCGAGAAATTAATCATGACTTTACCAAGTCAAAAAGTGGGTGGTCAACCTTTGGTTAGGAAAAAACCTACTCAAAGAGTTAGAAGAACTTGTCATGAATGTTCCACTCTTTTTACTTCTGGAAATAAAATTTGTACAACTTGTTCTCATACTCGTTGTGCTGATTGTCCTCGAAATCCGTATGTTTTATTTTTATTTTTTTCAAGTTTTTGATTCAAGTTTTCTTTTCCCCCTTTATTTTTGTTTCTCTATTCCAAATAGTCTGCCTCCACGGCAGTGGCCCCCGGAGGGCCAGCGGAGCGTCATTTCATTTCATTTCATTCTTCATGGGGGCAAGCCCCCAAACCCCCATAGCTCGCTCCGCTCGAGAAGAAAATTAATTTCTTCCTTCTCCTCCATATTCCATTTCCCTTTCCCTCATTTAAAACTCGTAAACTAACAAATGGACCTCAACAGATCCAAGAAAACGAAATATCCCGATGGCTACCCTGGTGATCAACCATCCTCTACAAACAAAAAATTCGCATGTCATAAATGTGATAAAACTTTCCCTCAAAATTCCTCATCGGATCCAAAGTCTAGCATGCAAGAATGTACAAGGTGTAAGCATGTTAGATGTGATATGTGTATGATAGCTGTTCCGCGGAAAGTAGTACCGGAACCGGATCCGGAGGTGTTGAGGAGAGTAGAGGAGAAATTGAGGGGTTTGAGTATTAGACGGCCGATGACTGTGAATGTGGGAAGTGGGAAGGGAAGCGGGAAGTGGTAAGCAGGAAGCGGGAAGCGAGGAGCATGATCGAAAATGGAAAATGGTCAAAAGAAAATGGAAAGAGAAGGATGCATGGACGGATCAATGGGCAAAAAAAAAACATATATCGGAACTTCTTACATTTTTTCACAGCATTTACATTTTTGCATTTCTCAGGTTCTACATTTCTTTGCATTGCATTGCATTGCATAGGAACGATGAATGAAAGAAGGAAATTCAATCGATGGGGAAAGATGTCGAAAAATCATTTTTTTCGAAAGAATTATAAAAAATTATGAGGTGATGAATTAGCGAGCGTTGATTGTGTATGGATGGATAGGATATATGCATGCGCATTAACATTTTTGAGTTTAAGTTTGAGTTTGTTTCTTTTTTTTATACATTAGGTTGCTTTAGTTTGGGAGGATTGATTGATACCTTTTTCTGTTTTTTTGAGATATTTAGGAGGGTTGTGTGGAGGGTTGTGTGGAGGGTTGTGTGGAGGGGGAGTGGTTGGAACCATGGGTATGGTGTGTCGGGTGGGAAAAGGGGTTAAGTGCGAGGTGCGAGAGAGGAGATAAGAGATGATGAGAGGGGACCAGATGAGAGAATACAGAAACGGAGTAGATGTATTAGAATAAATACATACATACATACGTTTGATACAATATGATGCTATAAATTTGTCTACTAGGTACCTATTAGTGTGACTTTTTGATTTTTTGAATGGTGAAATTGTGGAGGTGGAAGGTGGAGTAGTGGGATGGATATATAGATGGGAATATACGGAATTGGAAGTTGGAAGTCGGAAGTTATTTTCTCGGTTGTTGTCTTTAATTGGTCTGAGTGAGCGAGCGAGTGAGTGAGTGAGTGAGTGATGTTAAGATTATAGTTTTATTGTGATTATTGGGATTATCAGTGTGTGAGGGTCTGCGGACTTTGGTGTGCGTAGGTAGTTGTGAGTTGGAGTTTGGAGATGAGTTAGGATAGGATGGAATTAAATGAGGTGAGATAAGAAGAAATGAGAGAAACTATGATAAGATGAGAGGGGATAATGAAGTAGTAAAGTTGAATTAAAAAGTAGAAGATAAAAGATCTTTACCTAGGTACCGAGTCTTTAATTCGGATTGAAGGTGATAGGAAGGAAAAGGGAGACGGGCCTGAAATCGAATCTGTGGTAGAAGTAGGTCCTATTTATAATATTCCGTGATATCGATGGGGGATTTATCGAAAGAAATCATAATGTGTACGTACTGGATTCTGAAGTTTATGGAAGGACGTTGATGTTTGTTTTAGAGTATGATACTAAAAACGCCGATCTTGATTAATAATCATAGGGCTGAAAGCTCCGATTTAAATATAGTTTCTACTTCATACGCCCATCATATCCTGGAAAGAGTCATGATTTGGAAGGAATTGTGTTATTAAAATTCTTGTGGATAACAAGTGAATGATGATACTGATATTTGATGTTTCATATTGAAATTATGCAGAACCTTAAGTTTTTACCTCAAAGTTTTTGGATCAGTCAACTCAACTTTATATCACAAGTCAGCGTGACACCCATGAAGGTAGTGATTATGAGCATTGAGGACAGTGCGTGAAAAAATTAAGCTTATTTGATGCTTGATATGGGATGATGAAGATAATCTGAGTTTATATTGTCATTGGAAATGGAATAAACAACAATTTCAAGAGTCTTCGGAACGATGCCGTCGATTCTTAAGAATGGAAAGTCTCAGAAAAAAAGTATGTAATTATGAGATATAAAAGACTATGAATTGTCCAAAAATGGTTCTCTAGTCTGCTAGATTAAGGAATAGACTAAAAGGCTTAAAATATCTACAAATACTCAATCGACTTATCAAGTAGGGTGATCATCTACTTTGAACCACGGAATTTCTGCTCAAACTCGTTCACTTTCCGAACAATGACCATCCTCCTGGCTCCTACATTTGAATCTTTCCAATACCTGCATTGGCTACAATACTGGCCTTGACAACACTGGCTGAAGTAGGAGTAACCAAGTACTAAAAATTTGGTGGTTAGCAAATTTAGATACCAAGAAATGTTGAAATAACTTAGATGGATATAAATCAAATGAGTAAAAATTGGATGACGCAAATACTCACAGATGAATCATATTGCTTAAATTTAGCCAAAGCCGATGTGACTTTAAGACTGGGCCAAGTACCAGAATTTGTGATGGTGTTAAGTGGACAATTGCGACCAAGATAAGATGCACAAGCAGTGGAAGATGCAGAATCGGGAACATTCCAAACATTACCACCTTCACCACTGAAATGTAAAGTATCACCCTCGAGAACGTTGCCTTCAATGAGTGTATAAGTTCCGTCATAAGTTTCGAAATCGTGATCAGCATTATTGGCCATGTAGTTGTTGGTAATTTGAGCGACGGCACCAGTACCACTAATCTTTGGTGCGCGACCTGATAAGTTGTGCCAGTAATTTCTATCAAGAGTGAGGAGGTCATTAGGACCATCAATCATCATGGTCCCTGATTTGAAAAGATTAAATTATTAAAGTTCTCGCCTTTTTTAACGTAGATTCAGAGTATAATTGAACTATAAATATGACAACTTACAGTAATGATTGGCATATCACAGCACAAAAGGATAGTCACCTTACTATTCAAGAAGACTAATACTTGTGTCTTTCAAGGTACTTTGGAAATCTGAATACATGTAGTACTCGATCTTCCTGATTTAGGGAATTGTGACTGAATTATCTATCAATAATTGACCATCATTGACCATCCATTCTCCAGAGTGGCGTTGTCATTTCTTTCCTTTTCAGGGTTTCCATGACAGCTTTCAATTATCAAACAAAACGTAACTACGTAGAAAAAAAATCACTACGAGAAAGCACTCATCTACAAGCATGAGAGACTCTTTCTGACTTCCAGAAAGAGCACGCATGTATAAACAATCATCTCCTCTTCCGTATTCCTTTTCAAACACCCGCGTTCATTGTAACCCACATGAACTTCTTTATATAAATCTCTCTCCACACTGACTCCACTACTTCTCACAAATGTGGTGGGACGGAATTTATCACACCAAATATATTCACTAACCTTTCATCAGCATGATGTACTCTAACACACTTCCTCTATTACTCATGTGGCCAGAAAGTATGCAATACTCCACCTAAATGTGGACCACCGATATCTTGTATTTTACCACCTTAAGGGACATGTTTATGTGTAGAGTGTGGCATACTTTCTGGCCGTACGAATAGTCACTTTACCAAAGCAAGAGTTTATGTCTTCTACTATTCATCACAGAGTCGATATCTTAGGACATCTACCCTGATAGAAATAATTATTTCATAGTTTCCTACTCAAGTACACAAAATAAAACTTGGTGTCATCAGAAAATGAGAAGAACGTTGAAGATATCGGAGGATTCTCTGTAATGATATTCCAGCCCGTGATTTTTTGAATATACGTATTAGTCTTTTGATATTCAGAGCAAGCGAGATTATTAATAGTATACATGAAAAATAAAACAAACCAAACCAAAATCAAATACCAACAGAGGTCAGGAAATGGCGATGACAGACATCTATTGAAACTCATCGTCAATATCAGTAAAATTCTATGAATGACTATGTTCATCATCGACACTTGTCGTATCATTCACATTGTCATATATTTCTAGATTCAAGATGGAAGAACCGAAATCAACTCAAAATTGACAAAATCCCGAATTTTCTCTTGAAGTCGATCTATGAAGACTTTCGAAAGTCCACAGAATATGAACCTTTACTTGACCAAATCATTTTATTACCAGTGTTAATTTTTAAATAATTCGGAAATCAATCAAGTCGAAATCTGGCACCATTCAAGCCGGAACCTGATATCATTTCACCATACTATCCACTCTTGACTTATGGCGGCTTTATTTCTCAGATTCCTGCACCGGTCGGCCTATCGTCAGTCTATCGTTAGCATATCATAAAACCAAATATTCTCGAATTTAAATGCAACTTTAATATTAGATATAAAACCCGCTATCCCATTTACTCCCGTTACATATTCGGGGTATCTTGTACTTTCCTATAATACATATCCATATATCCGTATGCTTATCATAAAAACGCCTTTTAATAATTCATCCACACCATCTAGTAACAAATTCAACTCCAACTCTCCTATCTCCCATCTCAAATAATTCAACTCCATCTCCATCTCAAATTCCTTCATCTCCATCAAACATTATATCCATTACCACTTCCAACACCATCTAAATCCATAAATTGATCAATATCTGGTATAACAACACTTGGTTGTGGAATTGTTGATTCAGGAAAAATATTATCAGCTGGAGGACCATCTAAACCTCTACCAACTTGATAACTATCTGGTACTGATTTTCCTAATGTTGTTCTTCTATTCTTTTGTCTCTTTCCAGTTCCTCCAATTGTATCACCTCTTCCATTCATCCATAAACTAGCATCACTAGTTTCACCTCTTCCAATACCAAGTTGATATGCTTCCATACCTCTCAAAACTGGTAATAAAAGTCGAGTTTCATACCAACGTCCTTTAATATCAGCTAATCCTCGACGAGCTGCTGGTTCAAGTAATTGCCATTCATACCAAGTACGTTTCTTAGCATTATCTGCTACTTCATTACGAAATCTTAAATCAGATACCATTCGAGGAGGTAAATCTGGTGTTGGCCATTGTGATCGATTATTATATGGCATTGGCATTTCGACAAATTTGTAAACATCTCCCACAAATGTTACAATTGTCAAAAGTGGATTTGTTTGTACTGTACGTTCAATGAGTTTTTGAACTACAAGTACCACAATTGAATCCCCATCAACACGTAAACGAACTGGTTCACCAACCCAAATCTTTTCAGCTCCAAGAAACATTCCATTATAATGAATTTCTCCAGGAGATACGATGGCTTTTTCAAGTCTATCAAATAGAGAATAACTTCCATCAATAACTTTTGCTGCCAAGATACTACCATCAACTTGGTAATCACCTCCACCATATTCACCTCGAACAATTCGATCCCAAGGTACTTCATCATATGGAATGTTATTGATTGAACTGATTGTTGTTTGAGGTACACTCCAAGCAAGCCAAGGTCTAATTGATTCTTGATCTTTGATTTGAGCTGGTGAATGTGAAAGTGGATGAGAAAGTGGTTGAACTAAATATTCCGCTTGAAAATGTTCATATCTTCTCTTTGATACAACCGCAAGACCCCAAGCATGTCCTCTATTAAACCAAACTAATTCTCCTGTACGATAAATGAGTCCAGTATCAGGTGTACTATCGAGTTTTTGTTCTTGTGATCGAATTGATGAAGTTGGTTGAGGTGATGATGTTGATGATCCAGAAGCTACTGATCCAGTTGTAGATCCGGTAGTAGATCCGGTAGTAGAAATGACTTTTTGAGGTATGCTAACAATTGGCATGGTATCTTTCTTGATTTCTTTCTTTGGAGGTGGTATGCTGACGACTGGAGTAGTTGCCTTGATTTCCTTTTTCACTGCGCCATTATCTTGTTTGATTGCTTCATCTTGTGGATCATCCTCTCCAAATGGTGAACAAACTTTACATGAACAATTCCTTGGGTCGCCATCTGGATCCGTACTTAACCAAAGTACATGAGGGAAAAAATCTGCCGGACTTCGATATCTCTTCTTTCGACCTTGTGGATGTCCATATAAATATGTATCTTGTCGTTCATAAACTCCGGCTGTGTGTCGACCCTTTTCCTTTTTCATCTCTGCCTCCAATTTATTCTTATTATATTTGAGGTGTTCCCATAAAACATATCCTTCAGGTAGATCTTTAAGTACGTAATTCCTATCTGCGATGAAGTTAGTTGATGATGATGATGGAAATTTGGGAATGCCATATTACCAGAATGCTCTTTTCCTCCTAAATAATGCATCAACATGCCACCAATCTTTCTTCTCCAATCTATAGCTTTTGGTTCATCATAATCGAGTTTCTTGTAAAAATCAACAATTCCTTCGGCATCTTCTTTATCATTCAATTGTGCTGGTGTTGGTTGATTTAGTTCTTTGATACCTGTCTTTGTAATGATTTCTAATTGACCATCTGATCTACAGATAGTAATAGGATGAAATGGTGCCATGATGGCAATTGTTTATGATTGAATAATTAATTGTTGATGGTATGATGGTAACCTTGAGATAAAAAGTTGTGGGGTTGAGCTAGGTTCTAGTTTGAGTAATGTTGCATCTATGTATTACTAAGAGGTTACTAAAGGTTATCATGGTCGGTCGGATTAACTTGAGCCCGACTACCGAAAAAACAAACTCCCTCGACGTCAGCGAAAAAACAGGCGGGAATTGACCACCATTTGAAAGAGCTTCAATAGTTAGAATCTTTTTTCGATATATAATTAAATAAATTAAAAACTTATTATCAATACAAAGAAGACTCAAATTTTCGTTTTCTTTTTTCAAATTCTAGTACTTGATTGGAAATAAATTTATAATCTATTAAAGAAGGCCTCTGAAAGAGTATTCTATAACCGATAGGTCGGTCGGTATGTGATTAAACATTAGATGGGAATATATAGGATGTAAAGATAAAATATAGGTAGTAGCTAGATAGAGTCGTAGAAGACTTGAATGGAATTAAATATATTAAGGAGAGATATGAATAATAGTTAGGATACCGGGTGTGGTAGAGTAAAGCATAACGTGGTACGCATAGCTAGGTACCTAGGTATGGTGGTTTAGGTGTGGCGGGGTAGTTATGGCGGGGTAGAGACACAAAGGTATAACTTTTATTGTACTGACCGGGCTACTTAAGTTGCGGGAAACTCACGGAGATGAGAACGAAGAAAGTATTTGGACCGATTCCTTAAATCATAATTTTAATGTTATCTTTGTATTCAACTATCTAATCATCTAAATCACCCGATTCAACCAAATCTAAAAGTTCCAACATAGGATCCATCATGTCCATATACTCATCCGTCGTTTCCTTGAAATTCTCCTTACTATCCGCCAAACTTTCTTTCAAAACTTGCAGTTGCTTCAGAGCTTCACTCATCTCTTCCAATTGTTCTTCTTGTTCTTCTGCTGAAGTATAAATCCTTCGAAGCATACTAGTTTCCTCCTGTAATTTCATCATCTCCTTTCGAATACTTGGTATAAACCAAGTTGATTTCAATAAATCTTCTTTAGCTAAAGCCCAGTATTGTTCTTCATGCTTATATGAATTCGCAACGCTTACACCAGCAACAAAATGAGAAAATCCTCCGCCATGTGATGAATAAGCTTGAGCATATCTCGAACATAAAATCTCCCCAAATGTTCCATGACATGGTTCAATGCAATTAAAAATTACATATTGATGATTTTTATAGATACCACCTTCCGTTGCAAAGATAGCTTCAATCAAATTCATGATGTAATGTAATTGGAACTCACATGCTTTCTATGTTGATCCAAACGTTGAAGACTTGATGCAAATCCGACTTCGGAAATAGGACGAGATAATGGTTCATCCCATCGATTCTTGAATTCATTGAATTCAATTCTCCCACGAACAAGTGAAATCCAATCACTTATAACTTTATATTGAGTATCACCCTTGATATATCTTCTGGTTCCATCTGATTCGGCCTTGTAATTACCAATAACTTCATCAATCTTTTTGGAAATTCGATATGACGTTTGATCATTAGGTTTACCAAATCCCCTAATGTAAATGTCAGCGATATTCAAAACATGTTCTAATTGTGCGGGTGAAGGGGATACTCCAATTGCGTTGACCAAATAATGAATATAAATGAAAATCCTCTTTTCTCTTCTATTTCCTTCCATCATAGACGACATATGTGCTCTCATAGATGTCATTAATGGATCCGAGTAAGCTCTTGCTAAATCTCCTTGTACAAGATGTTTCAACACATCAGGATGAATACATGCCGACATGAAAAGTAGTTTGAGTTTTCATTACCTCAAGATTTCCATCTTCCCTTCTTTTGTTAACCCGTTTATCACAAGGAAACCCTTTTAAATCCAAAGAAGCATCCACCAATTCTCTCAAACCTTTTGAATGTGCTTCGGTAAGTCGTTCGGAATAAGCATCAAGTATCATTCCAGGATTTTCGGCATACTCTCCATCATTAATATCAACCATTAGTGGGTTCCAGACTGGTCTTAATTCGGCTGTAGCTTCCAAGTTCATGGCTTCAAGTTCGTTTCCAGATTTTTCAAATATGGAATCAATTATGTCTTGGAATGCTACCTCGTCGAAATTATTGAGCATCTCTTCATATTCACTGTCAAATTCCCAATTGTCATTGTCATATTCAAATTCTCCCACTTATTCTTCTGTCGGTTGGTTGTCCGAATCGATGGTCATGGGATCGGGTGAATTCGAAGATTTGGATTGGAAAGGAGGAACTCCTACTTCTGAATGCGCTGTGGATTGATCAGTTACCGGTAAAGGCCTTGATTAATTCGATGATGAAATTGGACTTTTCGCAGATTGTCCAAGGGATGAGTGGTATGCTGCTACGCTAATCGCAAGTTGTCTAAATTTCGATGAAGATTCCAGATGCGAAGTTTCGGAAGCCGAATCTCCAGCAGATTTTTGGACTGATTGTGGAGATTCAGAGGCCACTCGTCTTGTTGATCGTGAAAGAACAGAGAAACCACTAGATGACTCTACATTGATTTTTTGGGCTGTAGGATATCTTCTTGAAAATCCAGCATTTTTTGGTAATGGTGGTGGAGGCATTAAAGTATATGCGTCACCCTGATTCAGACGAGAAACATTATCCAGTGGAGGACTACTCATATTTGAATCATTACCACCTGAAATGGGAGAATTTTCACTTCTTGATGCTAGTGAAAATAGTGCAGGCGCTGACGTATGCTTATTTCCTGACCTCGGACGAGTATCACCAGTAACTGCAGAGTTACCTGTATTATTTCCACCCGAAATGGAAGAATTCCCGCTTCTTGATTTCTTCTCAATCGATCTTGACTTACTAGGTGTATCATCAAATCTTCTCTTTGGAGTTGATAGTGATCTCTCATCTTTTGAATTCCAAATATGTCCCAACTCACCATACCTCTGCTTCCAGTTCATACCATACCAGGCTTCCCATTTCTCAACCATTTCTCCATACTTGCTCTTCATTTCTTCTTCACCAATGTGATAGATCTCATTCTTACCTTTAAAATCTTCCCAAAATTGGACTTCATATAGAAATGATCCATCTTTTCTATTCCATTTATCATGAATCTTCCAAATTTGGAAGACCGGTTTGCCAAGACCATCAATTGATGCTTGCTTGGAACCTGTTGGTTCAAAAATCATGAGGAATTTCTCCATCTTGATTATTATAGATTTTTTAAGGTAGTGCCACGCACAACGTCAAAAGAACACCGGAGTAAACTAATGATAAAATGGGAAGGAAAACTTTCAAAGGGCTCCGAAGCCGCCCACAGCTCAGAGAAACCAGTCTCTGATAGGGTTAGGTTAAGGCGCTTATTTGAAAGGGGAAGGAGATATTTGAGGTAGGGCGATTGTCGATTGATAATTTGAATGATCAACTACTCATGTATCTATTCTCAATTGAATTCTTAAGATAGAGTTATTATAAAAGTTGATGTATTGGAGGAAAAAAAGAAAGTGAATTTCATACAACGTGAGGACTTGGGACGATGTTCCCTAGTTAGCGGCCGCTAGCGTTTGATTACATAAGCTTTTTTTCTTTTCTCCCCAGATTCTCTTCCTCCCTACAAATCAAACAATGTTATCGTCTGATGTTCCTTTTAAATTAACACACTTTCATCAAACGACTCACATTATAATCTCATTTGATATCACCCGAAGCTTTCACAATCAATTGGACCTATTATTGCACACCCAGACCTGGACTAGTTCCTAACTTTGGGTGACCAATTTCAGTAATTTTGATTATGCCCCCCCCTCTCCCTTCCCCTCTCGTCCCTCCCCCCCCTTTTGAATAAAATCTTTTTACTCAACCCTATCAGAGACTGGTTTCTCTGAGCTGTGGGTCGTTTAGAGACTTATTGAAAAGTTCCCCCCCCCTCTATCAACTATTCACTTAGTTGACGCCCGCTGTGTGCGGAAATCTTTTTAAAATGGCATCTAATGTCAATAATGGCTCTGGCCAAGTCGAAAGACGTGTGACTCGTAGTGGTCAAGTACCAAATGTTCGAAGTCAAAGTGAGAATCGAAGGAACCGCAATAGTCAAGTGGCTGCGGTCGCAAATGAGGGTGAAGATGATGATGAAAACCCTCCACCAACCCCTGCACCACGAAGTCGTGCATCTAGAAACGCTCCTAGGTCACAACGTGATACTAGAGATGCTTTTACTAGAATGATTGCACCAACCCTCCAGATTGATCGATATAAACTGGAATTGGAGTCTGCTGGATAAGAGTTGATGAAAGAGATTAGAGATCTCAACTTTGAAGAAGGCTTTGACGTTGGAGTCGAGGTTAAAGATCGTGAAAGGGGTATTGGAAATGGAGATAAGATATTGGAAGCATCTCGAAGAGCCGTTACTTGGATTGAATCCCAAATCAAGTCCTACGGTTCGATAACGGAAAAACGTGCAGAGAAAATGAAGAAGTACCAAAAACTTCTCTCTACTTTATCGGTAAAAGTTCAAATTTTGTTGGAGCGTTTGTTGGTTGAGAGACAAGGTCATATTATCGATTTGACACGTAAGAATGAAGGATTGTTAACACAAGTTGGAATCCTTACTGGTAAAATTACGGATCTTACCCAAAATTCATCAACGACAAACATTGAATGTAATGAATTGAAGGAGTTTCTCCAAGAAAATCTCAGCGCTTTGAAACTTGAGAACGAAGAGAATATTGAAATGGAAGCAATTTCGAATCTCCGGAAACAACACGAACAATCATTGTATCGAAATGAAGAAATTTCTAGACAGAAAGGTAGGGTAGATGGAGAATTGATTCAATCTCGTGAGGAATGTGAGAGACTCAGATCAGAAAAAAAATTCTATTTCGCGAGAACCAGGAATTAAAGAATGCGGCATTGGTATCGGCACAAGCGATTCAACAACTTAGAGAACAGGTAGGTCAACCCAGCTTCCATCGTCCACTAAGGGTTAATACCACGTTTTCCGGTCAAAGTCATGCTATCCAACAATCACCAGAGCCACTTGGATTTATTGCACCTCAATCACCTTATGGTGAATCTGCACGACTGCAACAACCACCATCATCACCATCTACCACCTCCGGTTTCCAGTCTTTCCCCTCGTATGGATATATTGGACCACCTTTCCCAGCATTTCCCTTTGATGAATCTCATTCACCACAATTCCCTGCACATTCACCGGCATTCGGACAACCGTCATCTTCTGGATACGGATTGAATTCAGGCTCACCACCCACTTATCCAACTTCAATGCAGCCACCTGCGCGTCAATCTCCGTCGCATACACCTGGACTCAATAGTCCACCTGGATTTGAACAATCAAATCCTCCCCCGATGCAAGGACAATTTGGCAAATTTAAATTACAGCCATCTCCGGCTAATGCGGCTTATAAGTTTTTAATCAGTGGAGGAGTCGAAGGAGGTGTAACGACCTTAAATGTTCCACCTGAATTGAATCAAAAGATGACTGATCAAATAACTAAATGGTCAAAGTCTTCAAAGGCTTCGAGTTGGTTTCAGGTCACCCCGGTAAGTAGAACTCGTTGTGTGCATGTTAGATTGAGGAATATTGCATACGCTGTAGCGCCTGCTACTTCAAATAATGGAGATAAATTTGCCTGTCTACATTGTATGAATAGGGGTTTGCTGTGTGTTTTGGTTGGAAGAGATGGTCCAGTAATTGCACCCTTGAATCTTCGGGAAAGATTACCAGGTGCTACACCTCAATCTCCGGGTATTATATAAGATAAATATATACAATTCAATTGCAAATAAATTCCGAGCTTGACACATGTGAAACGTTCTCAACGTTGTGTTTGTATTCATCAACCAATAGTGACGCTCTGCTGGCCCTCCGAGAGCTACTACCATAGTAGCCGAACATTGAGTTTTGAGAGGGAAGGATCGAGTTGATATTGTATATCAGATTGATCAAGATAAGGTCTCCCAAGTGACCACATAGAATTATGCAAGATCTTACCCTTTTATCATTGCTTAAAAAGCCAAAATCAACCCAAAAGGCAATTAAAATTCCTACCGACTTCAAAATCTATCCTCTCTGAATACTTGATTTCAAGAAAAGCGGGAGCAACCCCAAACATTCACAACATTTTCAAAGATCCGTCTCGCATTTTTTATTCGAATTTCTCATTTAGTATTGAAAGATGGAACTTCTAATTTCTGGACTCTCGGAATGAACATCTTGACTCAATCCTGCTGCGATCTTGTTCTTTTACAATCTGGTGTTGAACATCATTGAAACAGAGACATCCAACCAAATTCTATTGTAATCTTCTTGACTTCCCAAAGCAGCCCCTCCAACCCGTCTCCAACACTCTACTTTCACCCTGCAACGTTTTTAGCATCTCTTCTCTTAGGAGTCGTAATAAGTTTCACGTTGTTCTCTTTCACTGCAACACCATCGACACTCTGTCCTCCGAAGACCGATCCAAACCCTCACTTCCGCATTCGCCCCATATCGTTGTTAGCACCTTTCCTTCTCAGGATTGCAATAATACCCACACTATCCTCTCTGCCGTGCCTTCCACACTCTGTTCTCCAATGGCCGAAATAAACCTTTCGCTTCCCAGTTCGCCCTGTAGCATTGTCAGACTCTCATCTCCAGGGAAATGTCATGAGTGACGCACTTCGTCCCTGCACTTCCGCTGGCACCCCCTCCCTTGAGCATCGGCGTACTCCTGTCAATGTTCATCCACCCTGCATCCTTGTTAGCATCTTGTCTTTTTGGAATGGTAGTAACACTCACGCGATAATCTCCGTAGCTCGATTGTACCCCGCTTCCTAAAGACCCCACTTGATATCATCCCCGTCTTTAATTCTGCGACTTCGTTAGCATTTAATCACCTGCGAGCAGATCTAGAAGACACTCCCCCATTATTCTGTATTTCTATCAAAGGCCCGCCTGTCATTTACTTCCCTTAGTACGATCCTGGTTGAACTAATGTAATCATCCTCATCATCACTAAACGTATTGGCCGAGCCATTTGAAGTCAATCTCCGTCCATCATCAAAAGAGCAAGTCTTAAGTAGGGTTAAGAAATGAAAACTTTCTCAAACAGCCTCTTGGTGTATTTGTTCCCTCATTATAAGAGTAAAGCTCAGAAAACTTCCCCGCTGCCCACAGCCGAGAGAAACCAGTCTAACGTAGGGTTAAGAAAAGAAGTCACCGAGCCTTTTGGTGCACTCATTCTGCCTGGATATAGTGAAGGTGTCTGAACAGTATTTACTACACAAGTGCAGAGGCTTCAGCTTGCTTCCTGGTATATTGATTCCGCACTTCTCAGAGCCTCTTTTCTGCGAGTGTCAAAAGAACAAGTCTAAAGCGGGGCAAGAAAAGAAACTCCTCTTGAAAAGACGAAACCAAGTACCATTTATCGATATCGAAGGAGGTTATAAATTCAGGACACAGCCAAGATAAGACCCGCGAAGATGATGATGAGGACGAGACAGGAAACAACCAGGATCGAAATATATCGTAAAGTGATTGACGGCAACGTCGATTCGTGGGCTTCGCGCGACTGTATGAGAATGTTAGATAATTGGGTCTGCAGGTTTTTGTATTCAATTAAACATTCGTCGAAAAATGCTTCTCTTGCTGTTTCTTTGTCGGTGGTTGAACGTGGTCGATCTATCATACCTTTTGGTCAGTCGATGTGTTAATTGTTTTCTCTTGTCAAGCTGGACAAGGTGAGAATAAAGAGAGAAGTTGAGATACTTAATGAAAAGGCTTATGGAACTTTTGAAGCCACTTAGAAGGAAGATTAAATACCTTCGATGGAAAGACTGATTGAAATGACCAAAATTTTCGAGGCCATTGTGATCTCATGTTTGTCGAAATTGCCGCAAAACTGAGGTAGTTTATTGGAGTGCGTTGTGAAAATGCGTGGTAAAGAAGAGATGTTTGATGAAACCGAAAGAGTTAACTGTTTTAACATTGATGCTATTGTATTGGCAGCGGCAGCAGATCTTGTCAATACTTGGTATTTTTGTTGTCATAGTATAAGATCGAAGATCAAAGTGAGATAAAAGGTGGTTCACGCGATGGAGGTATCTTACTGCCTACCTACCTCTCTAGTACCCAACCAACCCAAATCACGCTAAGTGCTATCTGTAAAGGCTTCACTTTTAACATACCTCAAATCTCAGCCGCAACCAATTTTAAGTGATGACAGAAATAATTAGGCGGGAAGACTAGTCGTGCACCTAAAAAAAAAAGTAGTTGCCAAGGCTACTAGCCACTCCGCCCTTCATATGATTACCTCTTCCTCGAAAGAATACTTGACATTAATTCTAAAATCTTGACCAGCTATGAAAGGTAAGAGATATACCAATATCCAAGCACCAATAGGATAGTAACAGGAATAGATGTTGTGAAATAAAGACCCTCGAATCGTGTTATGGAGATTGCAGAATCATCTCCCAGCTCTACTCACACATCTTATCTTGAATATCTGGTCCATTCGAAGAGATATGGATAAGTTGAATAAGTACTACGTTCTCTATTCTTATCCCCTTATGTTTCCCGCCAACACACTGCCGTCGATGTTCGATACCAAATCAATCAATCAATCCTTCAAATCCAATCTTAAACGTATACCTAAAGAGTGTTCTCTACTGAAAGACTAGGTATATCTTACACATATCAAACTGACTTTAAATCATACCCATAGATATCCAGTTACCAATACCTTCACTATCTACTCCCCTCTGATAGATCAAACATGCTACTCATTCTTTTCCATCTTATTATTCGAAGATATGACGATACCAAACTAGCTTGATTGTATTTTTCACAAGAGTCACTACTCTATCTTCAGATCTCTGCTCAACTTCTCAAGACCAAGTACATAGAAATCCCTCAATGCTTCAACGCCTCCACCCCTCCAACTCTCTACTCCTTCACCCCTTCTTCTGCCCTAACCCCACAACATCCATAACATCCACACCACCTCACAGCACCACCTCACAAAATAGTGACGCTCCGCTAGCCCTCCGGGGGCCACTGCCGTGGTGGCCGAATATTAGATTTTGAGAAGAAAAAATCAAGTCAACATTTTACATTCCACCGATCAAAATAAGATCTCTCCAAATTTCTTCCCCGAAATGATAACTCATAATTCATATTCATTACTCATTACTCATTACTCATTACTCATTACTCATTACTCATTACTCATTACTCATTACTCATTTGATTACCTAAACTACCCATCCATCCGCAATTTTCATACAACCATTCATAGACATTCTACTTTATCATCAAAGGGATTCTCCAACATGTAGTCCTCTAGCGATCAAATGATCACTGCAAACCTTTTCAGACATACATCAATCCCTCCCATCCCATCCCATCCCATGACATCAAATCCCCAAATTCCGAGACACCAATAACCCCTTTCATTTCTATTACCTCCTCATTCTCAACCTTTAATCAATTACTCCTTTCAAGATTCCTCCCGAGTCCATCCATCTTTTTATAATTCCTCCCCCTCCCCGCTGAACTACCCCACCCCCACAAATTACCTCATCGCACATCTCGGATAATAATACTCATATTCATATGCTTTTAATAGCCCCACCAAATGCATTACCGATGCTGCCACCACTAGAAGATGAAAAATTTGATGTGAATGACCTATTATATCGAATTTACCCGGAAAATAACATTCGGGTATACGTAGCTTTTTTGATATTAGTTTTTTATTCGTCCATTAATTTTATTCGAAAAAGTAAGACTCTTACAGATCCATTTAGAATCTATATTCTCTGCTCTGAAGTACGGAATCCAAGCGCGAAGAAAAGAAAGAGAAAAGAAGGGGGAAAAAAACTTACACTATAAACCACTGCTCCAAGAACAAGAAATCCACCTTCTCCAAGATACCAAGGCATACCGGTTCCATTAACAACTTGATTCCAACCAAAATAAACAATGGCATGAATAATAGGAGCAAAAGCCGAACATCCAGTTCCTATAAAAATACATACACGAAAGGTACGCCAACGAAGACCTTGAAAATTTGGATGTAATAGAAGGATGAGGGTTGCGGAAGTAAGAGTTATGATCTAGGTGATGTAAGTATGTTGGTGATTTTATGGTTGATAGGTAGAGGTTTGGAGTGATGATGGAGAGGATGGAGAGGAAGGAGGAGGAGAAGAAGACGGAAGAGGAGAGGATGGAGAAGAAGAAAAAGAAGTGGGAAGAAAAGAATAGGAGAGGTGGATATATAAGATAGAAGAAGGATGGAGAAGAGAAGGAGAGGGGCGTAATTGGAGGTGTAAGATAGAAAGACAAAATAGAGGGAGGGGAGGTGTAAGATAGAAGGACAGAAGAGGGGGGGTAAGTTGTAAGATAGGACACAAGAAGGGAGGGAAGGTATACAGTAAAAGAACGCAGAAGAGAAGTAGAAAGAGGGGAGGTGATGGTAAAAGCAGAATACGATGACGACTATAACGATAAAAAAAAACCCACCATAACCCAATATCCCACTTGAAACCTCCACTCACAATAAAATGCAAGATAAATTCCCGTTACAAAATCTCCCAAAATCGCCAGGACAATCCCCACAAAATCCAACTTTAACCAAATCTCCGCTACCCCTTTCGAATGATTCATCAACGTATGATATCCCATACTAAACCCCATACAAATCATAGTCGTTAGAAAAAAGATGGAAAAAATAAATCGATCCACCAATGGACTTTCGGGAAAATGTATGGAAAAGATGTAAAAGATAAGTCCAGTGAGGAGAAGACACGTAAAAAAGGGTATAGAATGAGTATGGATATTGAAGCTTTCGTTATGAAGTGTAAAGAATGTTTTGAGAGAATCCCGAAGAGAGTGAGTGATAGGTCGATAAGAGGTAAAGATTGAAGGATTATCTTGATGCCATGATGGGAGATCATCATATGTAATTAAACCTTTATGAGAAGTAGAGGATGAATCATGTTGACAAGTAAGTGGACTGGGTGGTTTTTCACATTCTGATTGTCGAAAGTTTGGTAGAGTGGAATCGGGAATTTTGGATTTTTCCATCATGTTGTGATAATGGATTCGAGATGATGAGGTTGGAATTTGTAGGGGAAAGAGATATTAATGTATTTAATAAGAATAATATAAAAATATAGTTGTTGGAAGGAATTATGATGAGCGCTTGTGTTATAAAAAAGCCTTGAAAAGGAATAATGGTAAGAGCGCTTGTGTTGTAAAGGTGTGTTTGAATATGATTGAAAGTAGGTGACATATATATAATTTAATATCGAATGTATTGAGGATGAATTAAGGTATAGAATATCTTTGATTAACTTTCATTCATTCAATAAATAATTCCAGATTTAGAAAAGTTCAAGAAGTATATACCTAGGTGCTGATACCTAGTAGGTATGATGAGTAAAACACTAGTCTATTCATTCGAGGATTCAAGAACTCAAGAACTCAAGAACTCAAGAACTCAAGAACTCAAGAACTCAAGAACTCCAGATCCTTCAAGAGAACAAACAATCATATTAAACTTTCCAAACCCTAAGAAATATAATCATGAAATTTTTGATTCTAGAAAAGAGAAAGAAGAAGAAAAAAGATGGGGAAAAAATGGAAATATTGATTGCTCATAGATACATAGTGCTTACCAAAAAAAGATGAAAGAGATCCGATCGATGAATCGGAAATCCGGGTAAAATAATAAATCCGATTACGCCGATATTATTGACGTACCTACGTATAAGGTAAGAAACCAGGGGGGAGAGATGGAGTTTTTTGTATTGGATGACTATATACTAGGCAAGTCTAGAAATTGATGAGATATGAATTGTAAATGAATAATATATGATTGAACATGATCGGATATGATCTTATAATTGGATATAATCTTATATGATTTTATGATCATTATGGAAATATATACAGTATATATATATCAAATAAATAATACTCATCATTCATTTACTAAATAGAATACTACCTAAGTAAGCTATTATAACTATCAAAAACCACAAGTTCAATCTTTTCAATATATAAATCATCTCAAGTATAAATTCAAACGGGTATGTGCTAAAATTAAATCATTCAATACTAGATACAAACGCTAAAACTATTGAATATACGAAAGATCATTAAACTTTCTCGTTCATCTTTCCCTCATTCGACATTACTTGAGTATTAGTATTTCCTGTTTCCTCTCTTCCTTTCTCATCTCTTACTTTCTGCTCCTCATTCTCCTCTTTGATCTTCTCCTCTCATACTTTCTTCTCAATCTCCCCTCGTACCCTCTGCCCCTCACTCTCCTCTCTTTTCTTCTCATCCTCCCCTCTTGCTTTCTCCTCTCTTACTCTCTAATCTCTTACTTTCTGCTCTTCATTCTCCCCTCCTTCTTTCTTCTCTTTATTCTCCCCTCCTTCTTTCTTCTTATTCACCTCTCTTAATTCCTTTCCTTCAGCCTCCTTTTCCATTCTTACCATTCTTTCTTCTCGCCAAATTGGTCCCCATTTTAATTCAATCCATAACATTGGACTCGTAATAATACATACAAGAGCAATAAATGTAAAACACCATCCTCTTCCCATATGATCAATCATAATAGTAATGATACCTGTTCCACCTGCACCAAGTAAACATCTTACAAGGTTATTTGCTGCAGTCGCAGTAGATGGGCTTTGAGGATATAAATCAACAACAAGTGTACTAAGAATATTAAAAGAACCATTGATAAAAAGTCCTAAAAAGAATTGAAGTATGAGTGGTGCAGCCAAATTGGCATTCTTTTCCAAAACCCAACCATAACATAAATAACAAGCAAGTCCCATAGTTAAAAGAGGCCAAATCATTTCTAATCTGGCTCTTTCAATTGGAAAATGTCTCAAGTTATCACCTCTCTTATGATCGATACTAAATCCAATTTCTCTAGCAATCTTCCGATAATTTCGATCTAGCATCTTACCATTAATGATACTAGCCAAAGCACAACCACTTCCAAATGGAATATAACATAAACCAATTTGTAAATCATTGAAATTATAAATTTCTTTGAAAAGTTGAGGTAGAGAAGCAGTAACATCATAGAACGCTGTGTAAATTAAAGCATTATAAAATAATACCACGGCAACATCCTTCTCCATGACAATATAAACAGTCTTTAAAGGATTTGGCCATCGTAATTGTCGTTTACTTGCAAGTTCAGCTTGAGCAAGTTTTCTACTTTCAGATGTAACGGTTCGAGAAAGTTGATTTTCCGATTTTTGTTCTTTTCGATATTTCCACCAATCAATAATTGTCATATTCCAACCTTGAGGTGGAATAGATCCATTACCAACAACATTACGACCAGTTTCTGGTACTGTAAGAGTAAATGGGATGAGGAATAGAGCAGCGAGGATAACGAGAAACCAAAAGATTGCTCGCCATCCCAAAAATTGAGCCAAGATACCACCAATAACAGGACCAATAGCAGGACCTATCATTGTACCAGCTCCAACAATTCCCATATATGAACCACGTTCAGCACTTGTTGTTACATCTGCAACTACACCAAATCCTAAAGCAATAGCACCACTACTTCCACAACTTTGTAAACAACGTAAGATGAATAAAGCAGCATAACTATTTTGTAAAGCCAACCCAATATTTGCACCCAAATAAATAATAAAGGCGATAATATATGTAGGTCTTCTTCCAGCCATATCTGCTAAATCACCAAAAACGGTTGGTGCAAGACCTTGAAAGATCATGAAAGATGTGAGAGTTAAATTGATAAGGGTATTCGATACACCGAGATCAGTAGCGAGTGGATTGAGAGCTGGAAAGTAAATATTTGCCGATGTAGGTGAGATGAAAGCTGCCAATGTACACATTCCAACAATATATCTTTTTTCCCATACACCAAAAGCCGAATATGGTGGACCTGAAACCACAGGTGCTAATTCGAGATCTCGTGTTCCATCATGATCTTCTACAATTGAAGAAGCGGATGGAAATGGAGATGCCGATGGGAGTGGAGATGCGGATGCAGATGGGTGTGAGGATATGAATGTTGAATGATCATGATTATGAGCTTCTGTAGGGTTTTCTGGTTCGTGTGCGATGGTATCTTTTGATATTTGGTTCGCTTCGGGTATGATACTCGTAGTACTTGGCAGATTCGTTTCTTTAGGAATGATAGCACTTTGTAAACTCGCTACCATCTCTTCTGATTTTTCCACATTTTCTAATCGATTATCTTCAATCATGATGAAGAAATTGAAACATGTGAAATTGATATTCGAGTAGAGAAACAAGAATAGAAGATATACTTAAAAGATGATGAAAATCACTTACTATTGAAGAAAACATTAGAGAGACATGGTTATATAAGAATACCTAGTTAAAGCCGATCAAACATTTCAGTTATTTCCATTTTATCACCATAAAAGATGGAAATCAATATCAAATCCTAATCATTTTAGTGGTACTTTACGGCAGTCTAGATCCGATCCATCATTAAACAGATTTTCATTCGTCAAGCGATACACGCAAGACCTCGGCCGATATCGCAATTCAATCATGAAGTGATGCATTGATCGCTCGAATCTCACCAAGTGCGGTAATCGCAAAGTTGAATGCGAGTTGGGAAGGAGGATTGGGAAGGAGGATTGAGATGATGATGAATATGATGTAGTGAAATGCATATGATGAAATGAATAACGTAGTTTATCAGCATGTGGGCTATATCATCATATAGGCCACCCCTTTTTGCATACAAAATTCGTCTGTGCGTAATTGTACACTTTCTTTATTTAATAATATAATTTTATAAAGTTTGAAAATTTGAATTTTTAATTACATAAATATTATAAAATTTGAAACATTTATTGGAAAATGGAATTATTATAATAGTTATTATAGAAATAATATTTTTGTAACGAAAATCGTAACAATTTCTACTTTCTTTATAAAATAATAGGAATTTTTATATAAATACTAGATTTATAAAAAGCTTTTTTTTATTATTATCTTTTATTCTTTTTTTATTTAAAATAATAATCAATTATTAAAATATGAATATTGAAAAAGATTCAATTTTAATATATTTTTAAGTGGTTTATATACTGATATAACTCATATACTAATAGATTACGTTATCGTATTAACTAGTTCATAAAATAATATCTTATAGTCAAAAAATCTGATTTTTGATAAAATTGAACATATTCTTATATAACACATAATACCTTATATTCCAGGTTTATTATAAATATTATCACTTTTCAAAGCTTTTTAGCTTTTTCTTTTTAATTGTCTTTATCTTTTATACTTTTTTATTATTGGTTCGAGAAGAATACGAAAGACGTAGCACCTACGTATTGTAGGTTCTATATGTCTAATTGTATTCTATCTAAAGAGCTAGCTATGTAGGAAAGTAGTAGGCCTTATATAGGCAGTACTAAAAGAGCTAGTCTCTTTCGCATTCGCTTAATCCCTTTGATATAGTAGCTATCATATTGAAGTCATTTCTTTAAAGTGAATACTCTTGTTTATATATTTATCTTTGTTTTAATTCGAATTCAAAAGATATTGTTATAGGGTGATACTAGCTCTTCCCGTTCTATTCTGTTCTGCTATATATGTGAGAGTAAGATAGAACTTTCAGTTCTATCTTCTAGTCTTTTGAGCTTTTAGCTCAGCGGTAAAGTTTCTAAATACTCTCAGAAGTAATCCCGTAACATATATATATATTACGTGATTGGAACCAATAGAAGTTGTAAGCTTTATTACTACGCTACGCACGCAATCTGTCTCAAAAGGCATAGTATTAGGAATCGGTTCCTAACAGCTTACTACTATATATATACCTGTAACAATATATATCCTTTTTTTTTAGAAAACAAAGAATTCATTTATTTAATATAAGAAATTCAAATAAATTCGAAGAAATCAAAAGTAGATTTAATTGAATGTTTTATTATAATTAATTATAGCTTTACATATATATATAACGTGGTTTATTAGTAAGTGGTTTATATTAGTGAATGAGTCACTTATTTTACATACAAAATTCGTCTGTGCGTAACCGTGCACTTTCTTTATTTATAGATATAATTTTCTGAAAATTTGATATAAAATATTTCAATATATAAGAATATTAAAAATCTTAATAGTTTTAAGAAATTTGAATTTATAAAGCTGTTATGATAAAAATAGATTTTTTGTAACGAAAATCGTGACAATTTCCTTTTCTTTTTAGGGTATAATAAAATTATTTCATAAAAATTAGATTAATAAAAAACCTAGATTTTAATTATTTTTTAAAATCTTTTATTTAAGAAAATAATAATTAGTTATTAAAATATTGATATTTTAAAAAGCTTGATTTAGATAGTTTTCGAAATGACTCGTTCACTGATATGACTCATTCACTAATAAACCACGTTATATATCTTATTATTTTATTCAAAAAAAGATTTTGGAGTTTTTAAAAAGAATTGAAAATGAAAGCTAATAAAACATTTCCTATAATTTTATCAATATTATATTATAATCAAAAAAAATCTTTTCTTAACCTAGAACATGATCCACTTCCACTAATCCAGTATGACTAATAACTAAATATTATACTATGAACTAATTAATACGGTATGTATATAATAGAATGATAGAATAATAGAATGATAGAATGATACTCGAGTAAAATAATAGAATATCGCTTGACGAGATAGAAAAGGAGAAGAAAAGGAGAATGAAGATGAAAGAATTTGAGAAGAAGCTGAGAGTATAAACTCAAGTTATCTATCTGTAGCGACGACTAGGTAGGTAGTACTAGTAAAGACACTACTTCGTACATTCTGTATTGTCAATCAGGCTGAAAATTAAATTGTCAATTATCATTTTTATTGGCGGGGAACAAAGCTTAAATTTCTTACATAAACAATTTTACTTTCATTTCAGCCTTGTCATCGCATCTGGACAGACCAGTTTTATTGACGTGAATTGACGTGAAGCTATTCAAAGCTTTTAATTCAAGCTCTAATTGTACAACAACTTCAAACATCATTCAATATTGATGCCTTTACCTCTTCCATACATTGCATTTAACTTCTTCATACATTGCCTAGACCTCAATCATGACAGACATCACTCCCGAGTTCAATAAATTGTTAATGGGACTTAATGCCCCTCCTACCGTTGATCCTTCTTTGACTCTTCAAAATATTGATGAATTCCTAAAGGAAGCTTATCGAATAGTATGTTATACCAAAATCTATTTCGCACATTTAACTTACTTATTCCCCTGATTAGAATTCCCATATAGCTTCATTGAATAGCTATCTAAAAGATATACGACAATCTTACCTTTCAACAACAGCACCTCCAGCAAGACGAACAAATATATCTTCCAAGACGAAACAACGAAGACATCTTACCGATCGACAAAGAGAAGAAATTGATGCCGAAACAAAAAAGTTATTACGAGAATTGAATTTCAATATAAAGAGTATGGATGAGGCTGAAGGAATACGACATACTACCGAAACACTCATAATTCAAAGTAAATATGCAAGAGCTCTTGGAAGATTTGGAAATTGGGCAGCAGGAGGAGGAGAACAATCAAAATCTTTGGAACAACAATTGGAAGAAGCAAAATTAAATGCCATCAAGATGCATCGAGATAATATTATATGGTATTTACGACAAAAACTTTCGGAATGTGGAAAACTTCAAGCTTCAATGATGGAGATTAGAATTATGAGAGAGGTGGAAAGGAATAAGAGTAATCTTGCCAAATCTCGAGCTATGATGCCAGATCTTGGGAATTTGGGAGATTCATCATCAACAAAGTTTACGTCAAGTGGAGATGTTCATCTTGAGGTACAATCACCATCACAAACACAACCATCGGATGATCAATTGAGTTCGGAACAATTACAAATGTTGGCGGAAGAAAATCATGATATGGTAAAACATTATCAAAGTACTTTGGATCAAGTCAAGTATGTTTTTTTATTTTTGGATGATTTTGGGGTAATTCTTGGATGATGGGGGTGATTCTTGGGATGATTCTTGGGATAATACTTGGGATGACTCTTAGGATACTTCTTGACCTTTTACTAACTATTTCCTAGAACAGCAGAAAAGTCCTTGATTGAAATTTCGGAACTTCAAACTCAACTCTTAAACAGTGTAGCATCACAAGCGGAACAAATTGAAATTCTAGCCGAACAATCTTATCAAACTACCGAAAATGTTGGGGGAGGTAATAAGGAGTTGAAAAGGGCAACGGAAAGAAAGAGTACAGCCAAGTATGTATTCTATGCATCATGTGGTCTTAGTGCTTTTTTGATATTATGGGATTTAGTGATATGAGGATTAGTTAAAGTAGGAATGTAGTGATGAAGCATGGAGTAATGGAGTAATGTAGTAACGAAGTATGGAGAAATGGAATAATGGAGCAATGAAACAGTGAGCAATGAAGCATTGAAGCAATCGAGTAATAAAGCAACATATCAGACTAGTAGTGTACAGAGTATGAAGCAATGAAGTGGAAATAGAAATTAATAGAAGTGGGATACCAAGTATTTAATATCTGAAACTTTTTATAATGTAGTAATCCGTAGAACCGTACCAATCATATCTAATTCGTTTACATGTAAAACTACCTGAACGCTACCTGAACGTTTATCATGACATGCTTGGCCAGGTACCCGAATCCAAATGAAGGAAATATATCTATCACAGGGATTTTATTTATGGGTCAATATATGCAATTGATGTAGTTGAACGTCAATGCCGAAGTTTTGACAAATTTGACAAGATTTTGAGGTATTTTGAAGTATTTTGAAGTATGTTTTGATTTTCTTTCGAGTTGAATATACCTAGGTAAGATGTGGTGAGTACCTACTAGGTAGTATATCCACGGTATCTAAGTCTTGAAACCTCGGATCAGTGTATGGAGTAGTTAGGTAGAGGGAGTAGGTAAAGAGAGCAGAATAGAAGATCATACCTCGGTTCATTCAAATATTGACATCTACTGGTACCTATATAAGAGAAAGATCAAGTCTTAAATTGAAACATAATAAAATCGTTCTAAAACTTCTTTACACTACATAAGAGATAGTCAATCTTTTATTAATCTTTACTTACGTATATACCATTAACTAAAATCTGATACGAAATAACTCAATTATATCAAGGTAGTATCAGGTATCACTGTATCAGGGTCAAGTCCACCGGTATCATTAATCACCCCAGATTCCGCCAAGCGAGACACGGCTCAGCACGGGTCCCGCATGTTTGCGCTGTTTTAGAGGTAACAATCATTACGCCAAGATTACCGACATATCATGACATTTAAATCTTCTTCCCCTCCCTTTATCATCACTTCGCCTTCTTCTATTCAATCTTCTCTTCAATCTTCTTCATCATCTTCTTCATCAATATCCTCTCCTAAAGAAAGACTTCAAATTATATCAAATCATGTCTCAATTATCCAATACAAGTTTTCCAGAGGATACAGTTCCTCAAGCTCCCGAAGATCCCCTCTTTGGATTAATGGCTGCTTATCGTGCTGATACTTTTGATAAAAAGGTTGATTTGGGTATTGGAGCTTATAGAGATAATAATGCTAAACCTTGGGTTTTACCTGTTGTCAAGAAGGTATTTAATTCCATTACTTGAATTATTTAAACATCTGCTAATATTTATTTCTAGGCTGATGAAATCCTTCGTAATGACCCCGCTCTAAATCACGAATACCTTCCTATCGCTGGTCTCAACACTTTTACATCCGCAGCCGCGAAACTTATGCTTGGTGCAGATTCACCAGCTTTGGCAGAGAAACGTTCTTGTTCAGTTCAAACTATATCAGGAACAGGTGCTGTTCATCTCGGGGCACTTTTCATCAAGAAATTTTACCCAGGTTCTCCTACGGTTTATTTCAGTAATCCAACATGGGCAAATCATAATCAAATCTTCTCCAATGTTCATCTGCCAGTCGCTACATATCCATACTTTTCAAAATCTACAAAAGGTCTCGATTTCGATGGAATGAAGAATACCATTCAAAATGCTCCGGATAAGAGTATTATTCTCTTACACGCTTGTGCACATAATCCTACTGGTGTGGATCCAACTCAAGATCAATGGAAAGAACTTGCCGCTCTTTTGAAACAAAAACAACATTTCCCTTTCTTCGATTGTGCATACCAAGGTTTTGCTTCAGGAGACTTGGCAAAAGATGCTTGGGCCGTTCGTTATTTTATTGAACAAGGTTTTGAACTTTGTATCGCTCAATCTTTTGCCAAAAATCTTGGTTTATACAGTGAACGTACTGGATGTTTTCATTTCGTTACTGGAGGAGGAAAAGATGCCGAGAAAAATATTGCTAGAATCTCGAGTCAATTGGCTATTTTACAAAGATCCGAAATTTCAAACCCTCCAGCATATGGTGCTAGAATTGCCAGTACTATTTTGAATGATGAATCATTATTCAAAGAATGGGAAGCAAATTTGAGAGAAATGTCTGGAAGAATTATTACCATGCGTAAAGAACTTCGATCCAAACTTGAGGAAATGGGTACACCAGGAAAATGGAATCATATCACGGAACAAATTGGCATGTTTTCATTTACAGGATTATCTGAGAAACAAGTCATGGAATTGAGAAGTGAAGCTCATGTTTATATGACAAAGAATGGTAGAATTAGTATGGCTGGTTTGAATACTAATAATATTGATTATTTTGCAAAGGCAGTTGATAAGGTTGTTAGGAAGACACAACAAGAGAGTGCTCATCTTTAGGTAATGGGTGTGAGGGTGTGAGGGTGTGGGTGAGATTGAGAAATTGTGAGAGGAATTTTGAGGAATTGCTAGGCGCTGTGAGTGGGAATGACAAATGGAAGATACAATCGGTGGTGGTTGTGAAACGAGGAAATGAATTACTGGATTGATTAGATGGTGTACTGGGATGGAAGGAAAGAATGATGAATGGGCTAAAGAAAATGGGTTTGTCGAACAAGGCATTTCATTTAGTAGCAATGGATTGATTGGGGTTGGGATAAGGGTAGGGAAGATACGATTCATTATATTTTCAAATGATTCACATGAGGTTAAAAGCGCAAGCCATTTGATCTGGAGGATTATCATAGGTAGAGGGTTATTTATATATGATGGAATGAAAGGAAGAATAGATCTCGACTCGATTTCTGGTATTGAATTATTGTGTGGTCTTTTCTTTGTTTCGTGTGCTGTAATATATCTTTCATTCATTTTATTAAATGTATCCAGTTTCGGTAGTTCTTGAATTCTGGTAGTTCATTGGATTCATTCTCTTTTAGTTATTAGGATGAGAAAATATCGGGTAGGTAGGTAAGTGGGTGTGTGGGTGGGTAAGCAGGAGATTTATAAGTATATTTCTTGGTGAATTGGGGATGGAGAGATAAGGCGATACTTTGGTTGTTTATTATGAAGAGTGTGGATGTGAGTTCGGTGTGGGTTTAGGTGTGGGTTTGGAAATTGGTGGGATGGGATGGGATGAGGGGAGATGATAGGAGATGAGAGGAGAGGAGAGGATAGGAGAGGAGAGGAGAGGAGATAGGATGAGAGGAGATGATAGGAGAGGAGAATTCCGAAAGGTGTGAAAAAGGAAAGAGGGTGTATAAAGAGGGCGTATAAAGATTGTAGGAGGGGAGGGGTGTTGGAAGGATTGAGGGAGAATGATGGGAGTAGAAGGGAGAGGATGATATATGAAGTGCGAGGTGTGTGAGGTGTGAGGTGTGAGGTGTGAGGTGTGAGGTGTGAGGTGTGAGGCGTGTCATTAATTGATACCCCCGCGTATTCGCAGAACTGTCTTTCCTTGTGGAAATTTATTTAAATATCAAATGTCAAAATCTGGATAGACTGTTATAGAGATAGGAAGAGAGTGTGCAAAATTGAGGAAATGGAATTTTCGAGTGGAATGTTTTTGGTTATGTGTATGGACATTTGGAATTCTGGAAATCTGGAATTATGTGGACATTTTAAGGGAAACCTTGGAATGATTTTTTGCTATGATAGGAGTTCCTGCCTCTAGTTTTTGGTTTTTGTTCTCTAGTTTCTCTCTCCCATCTCTCTCTGGTTTCTCTCAGATATTTACATATCTCCCTTATAAAGGTAATAAATCTCAATCCAATCCACCCAATTCACAAACATCATCATTATCAAACCCCTCCCATCCATTCCTCCCATCCATTCCTCCCATCCATTCCTCCCATCACCCCCACTCCCACCCCAAAAATCTAAATCCATTTCCCCCCACCCTTCTCCATCCCCCTCCCATGTCCCTCACAAAACTCCACCTCCTCCCCCTCCTTCCTCTCCAAACACCCCATCATCCAACAAGTATGCTCCGCGCAATACACAGTCCCACCACCCATCTCCTTCAATTTCAAACACTCACTCATCGTACACTCGTGACGGTCGCAAAATCGATTGCTCAATGTGCGTGTACGTAGACAATTGTCGATGTGGCATTTGTATCCGCTGCAGTAGCTTGATGGGAGGTATTGTGGGAGTATACAGTTAGGGGTGTGGCATTTGTAGGTGGTGCAGGTGAGGGAGGAGTGGTAACGGGGGAGGGGACAGAATTTGATGGTGCAGGTGGAGTCTGGGTTGGTGTTAGTTTTGGTTGTCTTTGGGGGGAATTGAGGAAGGGGAGTAGAGGATTTTACATACGTTTTTCACACCACCATGTATCGTAATTGAGCATTTGCTCGGGACATCTTTCGTTGTGACATATATCTTTTGAGATGGTCATTATGGATGAGTATTTGAGTAAAAGAAATATACTTATATTCTTCGCAGAAAATGGCTCCGGGTTCTTTGACTCCATTACATCGTCTTTCTCCACGGGGTTGCCAATGACAAGGCATGTTGGATTGAGGTGGTTGATTGATGATTGATGGTTTTTGGAATGAGGGAAGGGTAGTTGGGGGAAGTCTTGGTTCTTGATTTTTATAGAAGATGGAGGATGGAATTGACGGGTAAGGTGATGTGATGTGATGTAAGAAAACATTAGAATGATCAAATATTGATTGAAATGAACAAGGAAATCATTATGACTCTGGTGCGGGGTAGATTTCGAATTTACTTGGAGGATTGTTGAGTGAATATGAAGAGAGAATGGTGTATTCATTTCATTTCAGTCAAGACTCATATACTATTCGTTATGCTTGGTCCTATATGTGACGATGAAGATCATGGTGCTTGTTTACTAATGATGCTAACAATGTTTCATTAACTTCATCAATACTGATAAATTCCCACCCCTAATTCACCCGACCGTGATCTTCACAAAGTTTTGTTCCCTCTATTATAGGTGATATACACCCCGACTTGGAGCAATTGTGAGGCAGGCAAAACATTCTCCCGCCGTTTAGATCCTTCAATTTCAGACAGTATGGGTAAAATTTACATGCATGAAGGTCGCAGTATACAAAATCGTCCGACCATTTTTTTCTCAAGCATCCATTGTAATGACACTTGTGGTTCGCACAAGATCTCGAGAGATCGAATTGGCAATTACCACATGTAGGGTCTTGACATTTGTGTGCCATGCAAGCCATCGCGTGGCCAGCTCTCGAGGAATAACAGTTTTGTTTGGTACATCTGGAATCTGGAGGAAATACATCAGTCTCATATTCTATTTTGACTTGATTAAAAGTGAATACTTACGATCTGGACACCATTCCATTCCAACAGATATCAACTTATTGCAATTCCGATAATCACATTTATCTTCTTTTGATCAGTATCGAAAGTGGAATGTTGAATAGGGAACCACCAAAAGCTGTAACTTCACACTTACGGTGAGAGCAGTAGTTCATTCCATTCCCTAAAGCAGGTTTGTTGCATTGAGCCTCATTGCATTGATTCTCGTTGCATTTAATCTTTCCGCCCCCGGACCGTTTATCTATTCCATGATCAATATGTTGACCTAAAGAATTATATTCTCATTAAACATTCAAACAACAAACTTACGTTGGGAACAAAAGGTAGAGCGAGGCTCAATAGCATTGATGCATCTCGTGCATTTGTCTATTGCAATGATCAGTAATTTTGAATCAAGAAAATAGAGTCCATATGAATCTCGATGGAGAGATTCCAGGCTTGGATAACGTACGCCGGGTGCAATAAATACTTCCTGGAACATTTGTCCCTCTACATCTTGACGGACGGTCTGGATAATTGGTCCATTTGCATTGCATCTTCTCTAAATTAGATAAATGGTAATGAATTCTTAAATTTCGTTAAAGTGATTGAATGAAGCTTTGTTAGACTTAATTATTGATGCCTAGTCACTGTGAAGACGAGACTGATATTAGAGTTGATTGAGAAGAAGAATGTCTTTACATTTGAATGAAAGAAAACCAGTAGACCTTCATGCAGTTAAGTCAAATTCCACGTTCCACTATGAAGTGATTTGATATAATTAGATATTAAATAACGTGTCAATTACACCAAGCCTCGCTATGCATATGTAGATAGCCATGAAATATATATGTATTCTAAGTGAATCACACCACAATCCAGTTCACTGCATAAGAAACTTACGAATAAAGGCAATACAACAGGATTGGCATTGTACAGGTGTGGTCTGCAGTATGGAAAATGAGGATGTTAAGTGGCCGTGAAGTTTACTAGTTGTGGAATTGACTGGTTGTGAGGTTGACTAGTTGTGAGATGAGAGAAATACTAGGTAGTTCGGGGTGATAGTTGAGACTATGGTTACAACTATTACCAACTATTGTTGATTAATTCAGCTTAAATTAGAGCTCCTACTTTCATGGTAATACTATTTATCAGTAATCAAGGCGGTTATTTAAGTGGTCATGTGCTATACTTGTATTGTGTTATCTGATGAGCATGTGATCATACATACATACATACATACATATACTTCAAGACTTCAAAGATGTGATGAAACTCTAAGATATTCGACCATGGAGTTTAATCGAAGGAGAAATTCAAGATATCACAATCAGTTTTATTTGAGATATGGATACGGCTTTTTAATTTTTTGACTTGATTTGATATAATTTATTTCTCCTCGCTTATCTCCCTTAATTAACGAAAACGAAAGTATATATATTATTCTCATATGACTTCCCTCTCGTGGAGAAAATTCTCACCTCTTTTAAAAGCTCTAACTTTAGATCGTATCCTTGATCAAATGTTATACCTAGACCGACGGGCTCTAGAATTTAAGTCACCTCTATCACAATTTTCAAATATAATAGCGATTAAAAAGTAAAGATCCAAAGCATAAATCATAAACTCTTTGTTAACGAATGAGGTATATAGATTTAACTAAAGCTAGAATATATGTATACTCTCACATCTCATCCAATCACATCTCTATCCCAATCACCAACAGTAACTTCGTCAGAATCATCATCATCCATCATGAAACATAATAGCTTGATATTTGAACGGTCTTTTGAACATCAAAGCCATTGAAGATGTTAATATTATTTCTAATTTAACATCCGACGTAGATAGCTATTTTTAATAATTAGTAATAATTCAGATGGTGGCTATATTGTACAAGAATCAAAGAAAAAATTTACCGTTAGCGTAAAGAGCGTAACTATCAGCGTTCAAGACAGCTCTTGCACTAGTCAAAGCAGTAGCAGCTGCATATCCATAACCGTTATCAGCAGTTCCTGGACTGTAAGTAGCAGGTGCGTGAGTGAACTCATGTAAAGTGGTTGTAGCTCTATCTTGTGCGTGGCAAGTTCCTGAGAGTGCGGGAAGAGCAGAGTAATAGATAGGGCAGTTGACAATTTCGTTGGTGGATGGGATAGTGTAGGCGAGAACGTTGGATTCACAGTATCCGTAAACATCAGTGCAGTAGTATTTTGTAGCACCAGAGGTGATGGAACTACATTGAGAAGCAACGGCACTAAGACGAGCAGCTACGACGGAACGAGTACTGGCTGAGGTTGTCTTGAAGTATTCGCTGAACTTGGTAGAGGAACCTGAAGATGCGGCAGTAGAAGCAGCTCTTGCGAGAGAAGCACAGTAGGAAAGTGCTTGAGTGGTTTGAGATCTTTGAGTTGTGGAACAACCGGATTGAAGGACAGTTCTACGGTCGATGGAGGTTGGGATAGCCTTTGCGACGGATTTAGCGGCTTCACCATCGACGGAAACAGTGATAGCATTGGACTTGAAGATAATGGAATCACTGATTTCGGTGGATCCAGCTTTGGCGAATGGAATAGCGCCTTCAGCTACAAAAGTGTAGGTTGAGGTAGAAAGATCGTGAACTTCAGCTGCGTTGAATGTAGTCTCAAAGGTTTCACCTGCTGCAAGAGTGTGGAAAACCTCTGGAGCCAAGTCTGTACGTTGGATGGAACGAAGAACTCCTTTGAATGGAACGGCAGTTTCTATTTTATATTAGTTATTGATCGTAAATATCTTAAGAATATAAAACATGGAATGTCAAGAAAAGTTATTAATAAACTTTATTTGAATAATTAAGAATAGTTGTTGAAACTTACCGCCTTCATAAACGTTGACTTTTTGAACTGGAGCATTATCGAAGAGAGTTCCATAACTCAAAAGGTTCAAGTCTTCAGTTCCAACATTCTTGACAGAAGCATGAACTAAAGCATTATCACCAGCAACCAAAGTGACTTCAAGGACATCATTATCCCTAGAGAGATTGTTAGTTTGAGGTTTTTGGTTTAAAGATGAAGATTCGTTGATGAACGGAAATCCTGAGAAGGGAAATCCTGAGATTGAAGATTGAAAATTGAAAATTAACTTGCCTCTTTACAGCCGCAGAGTTGGCAATGGCAGCCAAACTGGCAATTGCCAAAATCTTGGAGAAAGTGCGCATATTGAACTGAATATAAGGATGAGAAGGACGAGAAGATGAGAAGATGAGAAGTGATACTATCTATTCAGAGGCTTGAGCTGAAGATGAAGATGATGAGATACTTCAATTTGAAGGGAATTGGCCTTTCATATATAGATACTTCCAAGACTAACCGTCGTTCTTTATTCAACTATCAAATTCGGAAGACTTCTCCCGTCGTAGAAAACGGTACATAGATTTTTGTAGTCATAAATGGAAGGTAGGAGTAACTGATAAGAATCATTCATCCATTGTCTTCAATAGATCGTCATTTCACATAAATTCTCGGCCGAAATTTTGAATCTGCCTGCCTCATCGGTGAACTACACTGACTCTTTTAATCTCCCCTGTGATAATGAAGAATATAATTCCACACATAATCCATGTGATTAACTCCGAATACGATGTCATTACAATGAATGATTGGAAGTATTTTTAAAAGGTATGATTAGTGAGCTCGAGTGTCGTGAATCAAGTTGTCGTTGTTGTCAAAATGGATGAACTTTTTAACCGAGATAGGAAGTTAAAAAAAGTTATTGATAGATATCAGGCCAAGATATACTATGTTAGAAGCTTTTGGCGATATGCGGGCGCTTGGTATACTGCGGCCAAGCAGTTTGAAATCGATCAACAAGTTTTCTATCACTATCTTGTAAGATTATGCAGTTTCATTAGAGAACGTCGAAAGTAACACTCGAGTGCCAAGTGAAGTTGAGGTATTAGGCATCGGGAGTTGAACTTTTGAATACCTACTTTTGGTAATTGATTAACCATTCACTGCCATAGAATTGAAAAAACCAAGAAGACCAAGATAATATACATCTTGGCTTCAATGAAGAGATGGGCTTGGCGGATATCTTTATATATTTGCTGGCTCAATTTCACCTTCTAAAAAGAGACATGATCCTCAATCGAAGCCTCGACCATTCAGCCACGATGTGGTAATGAATTCCAGCGGACTTAGATCATGCTATAAAACAAAAGTATACAAGGATAGGAAAGAATCAAAGATGGGTAGACCAATGGAGAGTAAAGTTCTCGAGTGTTGGAGGTACTCGGACTTGAGATTTCAACGTATTGATAATGTATCCTCGTGATTAAGAAATTTAGTCATTTATCCGGATCTCGAGTTTCCTCATCCGTCAGCGTTCTTTGTAATTATGGCCCCTCGCTTGTCACTAAACAAGAAGAAAAGTCCACTTCAAATGAACAATAACCAATAAATCAATCCGAAATGCACAACATCTACATTGATCACTCTTGATCTTGATAAGAAACTGCCGTTCGGATAAAGTTGTGGCGGGTGCGGGAAGAACCCCACACTTTGATATCCGACCTTCTATCTTGAGATAGTCAGTCTTGGCTTTTGCCAAACAAAGATACAATTCTTCATTTGTTTGAGGAACCCATTTTCCATACTTACGGAAAAAGATTTTTCGAAATGTTACATCGTCGTGAACAATATCCGATTTCTCCATCTCATCGCAGATTCCCAATAAATCCAAAGCTTATCATTATACTTGTCGCTCTTATACTTTGCGGCTTATTCATCAAAATGGAATCAGCCTCGACAAATCAACATGATGTTCCCATTCAAATATCAATCTCGGATATTACTACAATCGAGCGCGAGACACAAGATTCACCAATCATCAAGTTGAAAGTTACCTTGAGTAACCCATCAGATGAAGCTATCTCCTTTCTCAGATGGTCTACTCCTTTTGACCTACGAGCTGTTCCTATGGGAATTTTTGAATTCAAATCATTGACCACTGGAGATTTGGCTCCATGTTTGGGATTGAAACTTAATCGAAAGATGCCACGAGAAGGTGTATTTTCGGATGATGATATAATTACTATCGCTGCTGGAGCTAAAGAAACAAAGGAGATTGAGATAAAAGCTCCGGAAGTTGTATTGAAGAGTGGAGAGAAGTATGTGGTGAAATCGAAGGGTTATTGGATGCATGTTTTGGTTGGGGATAGGGAAGAAGCAAAGAAGACAGAAGCCAATGTTTTGAGAGAGGATTATGAAAGTGAAGGGGTGGAATTTGAAGTATAAATATGAGATAACAGGTCTGAAATGTTGAGATGATGCAATTACGTTTGGATTTCTCGGATGTCCTATTGTTCTTAGATTGTTTGATATGTTTGATTCAAGCTTTGAACTTGGAGGAAGAAGTAGTTGAAGGATATAGCTGAAGGGGTATCAGGAAGACCAGAGAGACCACCCACGAACAAATCATTGATTGTATTTCCTCATTTCGAAGTTCTTTGCCAGATTCATTTGATTCATTGCATATGATAATAACAAGTAGAAAATCTCTCTACTACCTAAAGTAACGAAAGAAGATATACCTCTCAAAGTTGTGAAATGGCAGAGTGCGCGGGATGCCCAATTTTCTGAATCTACCACATGCATATCAGCTCAACAGAAAGTCCGCATACAAAACCGGAACCAGTCAACAATGGTCCTTAATATAAGCCATGTCAATAAAGTCAGTCAAGCGGTAATTACACCTTTCATATAAAAGAAAAATGTAGCCTTCATGACATGCTAGGTATATACTCGAGCGCAGCGAGTTATGGGGGTTTGGGGGCTTGTCCCCATAATTAAAACCATTAATGAATAAAAATGTGATGGTGAAATGGAAATGACAAAAAAGAACCAAAAAAAACATACAACAGTGGGGATTCGCTGGTGGTCACCCACCCAACTACTAATCCACCGATCTGAAGCTTGTGTATGACAGAGCGGACGGGATGCCCAATTCTCTTCAGTCTATGGTCGTATGTGACGGAGACAGCGTTAAATATTGTTATACTGTAATGTTGTAATGTTGTGATGTTGTAAATTCTCAGCATGTAATCGATGACGTGAACATCCAAGAGAGTAATGCTTCATATTGCTTGCTCACAGAACTTTCTGTGGAAATGAACGATAATATTCTATGCTGTCCAAATTTTAAAAAATAAAAAAGAAAAGAAACAAAACAAAACAGAAAAGAAACAAACAGAAGCATACATTCATCATAAAATCATTCTAAAGTTCTCTACGATACAGTCAGCAATAAATTAATACTTCAATTGAGTTGTGTTGGAGTTGTGTTGTACAATTCTTATTCTTACATCTTAATTTCCCCTACTCATGGACTTAACCTTTGAATATCCCATTCTCCATCCTCTTTCTTTTCATATTGAAATCGATCATGTAACCTACTATCTCTCCCTTGCCAAAATTCCATCATTTCCGGTATGATTCTTAAACCTCCCCAAAATTCCGGTACTGGGATCTTTTCCTGTCCCTCAAATCTCTTCTCAACCTCCTTAACTCTCTCCTCCAATTCCTCTCTCCCCTTCAATACCTGACTCTGCGGACTAGCCCAAGCACCAATCCTACTACCCCTCGCCCTTAAATCATAATAAACCTGACTTTCTTCATCAGGTAACCTCTCTACCTTTCCCTCAACTCTAACTTGTCTTTCCAATTCTTGCCACCAAAATGTAAGACTTGCCCATTTATTTTCCGCAATATCTTTCGCCTTTTTACTTGTTCCCCAATTACTATATATAACAAATCCTCCTTTAGCATCTAATTCTTTCAGGTATACCATACGTGCTGATACGCGCCCGGAAGGTAAACTGGCAGTTGATAGACAAACGGTTTCTGGATGGTAAACACCATTTTTTTGTGCGTGGGAAAACCAGGAATGAAATTGTGTAAGTGGATTGGAATCGAGATCTTTACGATCGAGTGCGCCTTTTACGAATTGATCTGCTTGAGCATTGGTTTTATCGTTGGCGGGTGCGACTGTGGTATGACTCTTGATTAGATATGTAGATGAGTAGTTATGGAGGGGTTCTGGTGAAACTTACAAATGAGTTTGGAGTTATTTGGTGGAGGATGAAGTGCCATTTTGAGGAGTGAAGGACGAAAGAGAAGATTTGGAGTTAATCTCATGTAGTATGAAAAAATTGTAGTATTTTTGGAGTTGGAATCGGTGTTGGAGTTGGAAATGGAAATGGTGAGAGGTTCATAGAAATTAATATTATTATCGTCGTCTCATACTTGACTCTGATGATGGAGACGGATCATCTTCGGCTTGAATCTGCCTCTCGAGTCTCCGCCCTCGCGGCCTTCCATCACCTAGATTACCGACATAGTCACGTGATAGTATATTCATCCCATCTCACAAATACAACTTCAAAGATCTCCATTGATTCCCGAGTCACCATTGACGAAGCCTTTTTTTTGTTGTTTTCTGCCATTCAACTTCTTTTTCTTTAAAACGAGAGTATTACCGGTATATTGAACGTGGCTCGCCTGTTAACAATACTTCTTCCACGTGGTCAAGTCTTTCGCACAGTCTTTTGTACAATATTTTGCAGATCTCCAAGAACTTGGAAGCAGCGTTATCGGCTATGATTTACTTTCAATAATCAACTTCAAAGCGTCATCGACCATAAGTTCGGCTGATGTTATGGCATTTGTTCAATAAATGGGATTTGATAAAACCAGATTTCAATTCCCTGCGCTGATCATCTACAAGGGGTAATTTCATCTCATCATAAATTCATATCATCGGACAAAACTCGAAGTTCGGAATTCGCCACATCAATCTACTTTCAATGGAATTTATACCGGCTTTATACCGGCTTTAGACTGGCGAGACTGGCCGGAGACTGGCTGGAGACTGGCTTGTACTGAGAACTCATGAGAATTCATACCCAGAAATTCGAGTCGGCGGAGTACTAGTAAAGTGAAATATGCACAAATAATTGCAAATTGCTTACCAAAAAAACAAATATCAGGTCCGAAAACGAGAATCGAGATGTCACCATCTAGCGCGATATGATATGGAATATCCAGTAAGTAGTATCTCGATGAGGGATCTAGCTTTATGATTTATTTTGATAGATGAAGGTGCTTTGATAGATAAAGGAAACTAATTCGACACTATCTATCATACCGCCGTTAGGTCTAAAATAGAATGAGAACTCTGGGGTTAAGTATTAGGAGACTGTGAGATATTACGACCCACGGACACAACGAAAGCACTTGATTCTTGAATGGACTGAGGTACTCTCATAGAGTCACTAAAAGTTTATAGAAAATTATACGAGTAGCTATGACGTTAATGTCGAATCGTGAATTCTAATTTTCTTGGCTTTCTTCATAGAGAATAAGGGTATGGTAGCTTTCTTCATACACAATGGACAATAGTAGCTTTCCCAATACTCACACAACTTGATGCGAATTTCCATCTCCCTCCAATTTTGATATTAAAATTTTGAACGACTGAATCTTTGCTAATATTTCATATAGCCGGAACATTTACTCCTCGAAAGGCTTCTTTGATCGTTCCTGGTTCCTGGCGCAACCAGTCAATCAGTCAATCAATCAATTGCCCCCTTGACTGTCAAAGGGCGGAGTAATTCTCCTTCATCAATCAACCAATCAACCGATCAATCGATCAATCGATCAATCGAATCATTAATACACAATCTTTAATCCCGATGCATTTCCATATTTTAAGGTCTTTACCATAACCAAGATTTAGATGCCGATACCGATACTAGACCTTCCCACCGGTTGCGTACTACCGCATGTACCAAACCGCTTTCTCCAGCTTTTCTCCATTTAATGTGTTGACGTAAAGGATGACAATGTGGATTTGATATTATTTCCACGATTTATGAAAATTACTTTTCTTGAACCAATCAACAGTTATAATTTCGACAAGCTAAGGGTATATTTGTTATTTTTCATTACTTCATAGTTCCACAAGAGCTTTCTATGACAAGCGTCATGAACCTCCTCCTTAGCTTTCCCGTGGCAATTGAATATCTATATCAATCACTTGTTTTCATTCAATTTTTGTCTTATTCAAGCAACAATTTCTTGCCTTTTACTTGTTCATTTACATTGAACTTTTAAAAATGTTTTATCAGGCAGGCATCACCGCTAGCTTCATTGCAGCAGTCGCAGCTGTCCCAGCTTCCATTAGTCAAATTAGTGATGGACAAATCCAAGCTGCTACAGGCTCTCTAGAACCTTCCGGTTCTGCCTCACCATTCGGAGTCTATTCCTACAATCAACAGCCATCTGTAAACAGCGCAGCAGTTTCATCAGTCGCTTCAGTCGCTGGAATTCCAGCATCAGAAATTCCAGGTGCCACTGCTCCAGTTCCACCAGTTGTCAGCCCTGAAGTTACTGGTGTCACAAGTCATGGCCCATACAGTGGTACACCTACAACCACTGGAGCTTTGAGTACTATCGCATTAGCCAGTGAGGTACCAATTCTGCCAGCTAGAAAAGCAGAAACAACATATGTACCCGATGGTACACTTCACGAGCCACAACCAGTTCCATACCAACCAGCTGGTGGACTTGGAACCAATGGCACTGAACCAGTCTATCGTGTCCAATCCGATTTCGATTATCAATCAATTCTTTTAGGTCTTTATCAAGAGTGGATTGAACTCGATCTCTTCCATAATATTCTTGCTACATTCTCCGAGGAAGAATTCACAGCTGCTGGTCTCACACCTAGTGATAGATTCCTCATCGAATTTATGGCCGATCAAGAAGCTGGTCATGCTACCTTGCTTTCCAATTTACTTGGAGGACCGGGGGGAGCAACACCACAATGCACATACAATTATCCTTTCACTACCGTTACTGAAGCATTTGACTTTACTCAAAAGCTTACTAGATATGGAGAATCTGGAGTATGGGGTTTCCAAGCTCATCTTGATTCACGTGAAGTTGCACAACTTCTTGATCAATCAATTGCAACTGAAGCTCGTCAACAAATGATCTTCCGTCAATTTGCTGGTCTCTTCCCTATGCCAGTTTGGTTTGAAACTGGTATTCCGCAATCATGGGCGTGGACTCTTCTTGCACCATATATTTCTTCATGTCCAGCCGATTCCAAGCGTCTTGTTTGGCAAAACTTCCCACAACTTACCATTCTTAACCAACCAAACATTGCTCGTCGTAATGCTACACAAACTGGCTTTAACGAAACTGCAGGATTCGGCCCTGCTGCACCAAGTGATTCAAAGCTAGCACCAATCGATTCATGTGTTGGTAACAATGTTACTGGATTTGATTGTTCAGCATCCATTTCTCAAAACCGATCTATTCCTCTTTCATACCCAGGACGTGAGGTTTACCTTCAATGGGATAACCCCGGTCAAGCTGTTGGACCAAATAACTCTTACGTCACTTCAACCAGCGCTGGTACACCATCATGGGCAATGTGGGTTTCCCAATTAAACGTTACATATTCACCTCTCATGAATGTTTCATCAGCAAATGGTGTTAATTATGCTATGACTATTCAACCGGATGTTTCAACTTATGAGGGTGATCCAGCTATCAATGGTACTATGTTTTTGGCTTTGACGGATACCAATCAAACTTATACTGCTTTTAACTTGTCAAATGTCAACCCACATGTGGCTGCTTTGGCAATGTACCAAGCTGGTTAAGAAGTCTTTGGGTTTGAAAAAGATTTGATTGTTTTGTATAACAATTGTTGCGATTGGTGGGAGGAGGTTAATGAATGTTGTGGTATGATTTTTGGCGATTATATATAATTCTTTGTACATTAATATACTATAATAAAATAAGTACTGCTGTCTTTGAAATCATTTTGTTTTGGATGCCATTTGTGTCTTGCGTTCTTCGTTCTTCAGTTTGGTGAATAAACATCGCTCCATGCTAGTCTGTCTCAAAATTTCTACTTTTTCCTCTCCATGCGAATCTTTGAAAGTTAATGATTGTATAGTGTTCTTTTATGATGGCTGCTAATTAATGGTAATTTTCTGGTAGTGGAAATAGGGCTGCTGATTGATGGTAATTTCTGGGAAGGGTATTTTATGTGGTGAATGTGAGGGGAAAGTGGAGTGCTTTTCAACATGTGATATTGCTTAGGTACTTGTTGATACTCTTTCTCAAACGGAAGATCTCAAAGCTTTGGATATATAAGAGATCCTGTTACTCTCACTATCTCATACATCTTGAATGAAAATGAAGGAAATGGTCTATGATAGAAAGGATGGTGAGGTGACTAAATTGACCGCGGCTTTGGTGTCATATAATCATAATGATTTATTTCTATTTTCTACTTTGATTCCAGGTGGCATATTTAGATCGCATTTTTATCATCTAAATTATCTTTAACTTTTACTGTCAATAGTGAGACTTATCGGATCGGACATGTTCTTTCATCATCGATTCAGATGTTATTCTCGCTGTCAATTTTCAATACTTTTCGGCCTCTTTGATATTCAGTAGACGAGACTCTTACATGGCATGTAGTACCTCATCAAACAGAGATAGAAAATCTGAACGTCTGGAGCTAGCTACCTGATCCAAAAGACTCCGCCACATGAAAGGTTACGTTGCCAATTATCTACCATCTACTATGTTATTTTGAACTGCCGGTTCCTTATATATTGAGTATAATGAGGTGGATTGACTGAGGCTCATATTTCTACTCCTTTCATTCTCTTTTTCTTGGCATCTTTCAGAAAAATGCCGCTATTATAACTTTCGATGAGACCTGTGACGTATTAACATCTAAATTTGATACTAAATTCTTCCGAATCCCGTAGTCTATTACTGCCGATTTCTACAGATGATAATTACTACCATAAAAATACATTGCCCCTTTTCAACTTCGCTAATTCTTCGACATGGACCATAATTTATTATTAATTCTTAAGCTCGTATTTTTGATCTCTCTAATCTTTCTACATTTTATACAGAATCAGTATTTACAGATTGACGAGCAAAATATAAAAGTCGACTACCCTGCACCTTTCCAATGACAGTAAATATATCAGAGGCATGATATCCAAGAACTGACGAATTTCAGACAGGACGTGGAGAAATAGTTTGCAACGTTTTGACGTCAATGTAATGTACTTCAGGGTTGGATCCATCTGGTAGTTTGTAGTATGGTCCAGATATGGGGTGATTATTTGACCGGGTACCAGATAATTGAGGTTCAAGCAATCGAGGGCCGGATGATGAGGACCGGATGATGAGGGTGTCGTTAATGAGGATTCGGGGAATGAAAATCTACCTGATGGCGGTATTTTGATGTAGGCTCAACTGGTGAAGGCTCAAATGATGGAGATTTCAATGATGGAAGCTCAATTGATGAAAGTGGAAGTTCAACTGGTAATGGTCCAACTGGTAATGATCCAAATGATAAACAAGTAGCTATTAAAACCCCAGTTGATATAGAGGGTACTGATGAAGAACCGGGTAATGGAACATCATTCAATTGAAGAGTAATACATCGAGTCTATAAAATGCAGAACGAGTAAAACGAGAAGAAATCAACGAAGATCTCAATAGATCCAACCTCTGAACCCATAATTGTTTTTATCTTGCGAATATTGACATTCAGGATGGAGTGTTTAATTACGGTATGACACGAATAGGAAGAGTGAGATAATTCAAGGTGTAAATAAACACCTTGACATCGATTCGGTTGTAGGCAAGAACGATCAATACAAAATTATCACAACACATTTTCCTTATCTATTCAATACCATCTTCCAACTACAATATAAGATAACA